ATATCACCCCAAGTGAAAGTGCCTTCCGGACTCTTGGGGCAGCGACCACTTCCCAATCTTCTTCGAATGATTGCCTACAAAGAAGATCAAAGACACATCCAAGCGGAGAGTGACTAAAACCATTCATTGGGACAAGTTCAGGGCAACGCTGGAAGAAGGTAACTTTGATGGGTCCAGTTTCGAGAGCCTCCTAAACAGCGCACTAGATGCAGGAAGCTACGACTGCAACGAACGTCGATGAAGACTCTCCAAACCCTGACCTTCACCTACTACGGCTCTGGACTAAACGGATGCCGGTGATACAAAAGTACCCAAAAGGGGCGCCCCGCAAGGCAGACACGCCATAACAAGAGCTACGGTGGAGGCCAAGAAATACGCCCAACAATTAGATACACGCCGATGGCTCGATTCAGCTCTTCGCTCTCCGACAAAACCTCGACTATGAAGCTATGGGCTACAAATCCGACTGTGTTTGGAAAGAAGGTGAAAGGAACGACGCTCACGCTTGCTCTCAAGGTCAATAAGACGGAAGAACAGCTCACAGGAGTGGCGGAGGGTCTCTTTTTTCCCACAGCCATACGTGAACGACTGCCCTTCTCCGTACGACGTAGAAATCCTGGCCCGAACGACGGCATGAACCGACTGTTTACGAAGGGAGAACTCGAGTGGGCTCTACACAAAGGGAGATCCCGATCGGTGCCCGGGCCGGATAAAATCACCAGAAAACATAGAAGAACAGCTCCTCGGATGGGTGAACTACATCTGGGTCACCGGAAAGCTACCTGAGCAGTGGAAGCATTCACTTGTCATTTCCATTCCAAAACCCAGAGAAGACATGGGATCCCTCGGCAATTACAGACCAATCTCGCTAACCTCATGTACCTGTAAGGTCATAGAGCCAGTAACGTAGCCAGGAATTTTCTTTTCGGGGGGGGGGGGGGGGGGGGGGTGCTGCGGTGGCTGGGTTGTGCATGACTTGGGGTGCGGAGAGGGGGAAGGGGGTCAAATGCATATATATATATATATACATACATATACCGGGTGTTTTTGCGAAGGCTTTCAGAAATCCTAAAAATTAGGGCGTTTGAAAGAAGAAGAAACTGTCTTCGGGAACAAACTACAGGCCACGGCGGACGTCAGGGATTGCCAAAAACATATTAATTAGCCAGCTAATTAATTAAAATTTGTTAACTTTTTAATTAGGGTAAATAGACATATGGTTCCAATTAGAAAGTTGCTGAGCGTTATTGAAAACCACTAAATCAGTCGTTTTCAGAAAGACTTTTAGCGCTTGAGAAGCGTTGTAGTGCACTAAAGTTACCGCTCTTTGAGCAGGTACAAAGCTAGCGGTTGCGATAAGGCGCCCGCGCGATTTTTCCGTCTCTTATCTAGCGAAAATATTGCAGAGCATTTTTGAAGGGCCTAATAGGGCAGATCTGTGAAAAGTAGAAGAAAAATTAAAACGGCCTTCATTTTAAACTGATTTTCCAACTATTGCAAAATCGATAACCTGTCTACATTTCGATTTATGCAAATATACAACAAACGCGTCCAAATCCTAAAAAAAAATGAATTTCCAGTCTTTTAAGATCCGGATTTATAAAGCTCTCAATTGCTTTGTAATCGATAATACATGTTTATACCTCCTTTTATTTTATGTAGAGTCTCTACACAAAAACTATTAAACCTAAGACGACATCAGCTTTAAAAAAGACGGTTTCACACAAGTCGCAAAAACGTGTTTCCTCAAGAGAATTTTTTTTTCCGAAAAAGAAAAAAGAAAAGAAGTTTGAATATGTTTTTGCGGTTGCACAAATAAAATATATCTGTTGATAAAAAAAAAAAAAAGAGAAAAAAAAAAGTCGACCGGACATGGTCGTTTGATTTTTTTTGAAAACACCGAATACACACCAATCTCAGACAATCGGATTTTTTGTAATGTATATTTTTATTTTCTACGCTTTGTGCGGCCCTCCACGGCGGCGGATCTACTGGCGCTCACAGGCGGCGGAGGTTCAGGTTCTGCCGCGCCTTGGTTGTAGGCTGATCCGTTTGCGAAGTCGCTCCCGTTGCTTCCTTTACGTCGCGTAGACGGAGACGCTACACGCAAAGCATGTTACACGGTGGCGCCTCTAGATCGCTGCGGCCCATGGGCATTTTTGGGGCAGTTGTACGAAAATGTATTTGGAATTTTCCCTTCAAAACTACCGTCTACCTCTGTGCTCTCAATTTGTCTTTTCCTGACCACCTCGTAGCATTTTGCGGCTTTTTAATAATAATGAAATCGTGAAGAACGGGTATGTGCACGCCCCATTCATGGCAACCGCGTTAGCGTCAATTTGGCCTTATTTCTCGCTTTATAACTTAATAACCACACAAATATTGCATTACGTTTTTGCAGGCTATGTTAGTACATATTATAAACGTTAATTTCAAGAGTTTAAAGGATAAAAAAGGTAGTCTTTTATTTAAATGATTTTCAATATAATGCATTTTTAGTTAAATGCCCCTGTGGGAGCAATTCTTGTAAATTTCTCCCGCTAACCAGGACAAAAATATTTCTCGCAAATATGAACTATATACAGGGCAACACACTGGCAAAGTGTGAAGACCTTAGCTTTTATAGATACGGCGAAAAATATTCTTTAATCCAGAGCGCTATTGCGCAATGTGCCGTGTTTGCGATTTTTTTTTCTCTCAAAATAACTACTTTAATACTTGGGTGATTAATACTTTTTGTCAATCCTTCCTATGTCTAATTTGTCGGTGAATATTTCTGGACCCGTAGCCAGAACTGTTTTTTTGGGGAAGCTGCCCGAAATGTCAACATCGCGCGATACGCAAAACGCGCACGTGACTGAAAGGGTGCTACTTTTTTTTTTTTTCGCAAAGAAAAAAAAAAATTGAAAACAAGGATTGGTTTTATTTTTCTTTGTGTAAAGCCAGCAAAATATTTTTTTTCATCAAAATTAAAAAAAAAAATGGTCACCGGACATGGTTGTTTGATCTTATCTGAAAACGCCCAGGGAACGTTATCGTCTAGGTATTGGACTTGGCCACTGTGGGGTACTCCACAGGGACGATCTTCATTGTTTTATTCAAATTCCGAACATGAAACATGCCGTGAAAGCAATTAAGAATTGCAAGAAGAAAGTCGCAATGAGAATATACTTGATGAGATTTATTTGGGAGACCTACGTACTGATATTTCTGAAAGCCAGAACGGAGATTACAACATTTTAATCACTCCGTCTAGAATGAATGAAGACCAACTCAAAGCAGATACAGAAGCAGACAAAACTTGAAAGTATAAAACAGCGAGAACGTCCTCGTCCTCGCTGTTTTATACTTTCAAGTTTTGTATCTATTAACCAACACGCTCGTTTTTAATTGAAACGGTATGTGCTTACGTGTGCTGCACGAATTTCCGTCTTTCCTTTGTTCTCGCTCAAAGATGAAACTGCAAAGCAATAACTTAAAATCCCTAAGCCTTTTACAAAGCTAACCTCAGCAGATACATGTTGAGGTGTTTCATAAGAGAAAAATGTTCATTGTGATATATCTTATTTTTAGGTCAGCTATCGTATCGAGACTCGACCAAATCTGCGAACGTCAGTTATCGTTGACACTTAACCCAAATAAAATTCAAATAAAAAAAAAAAAATCAACTGGAGCAGTTAGGGTACTCACTACTTCATCTAGTCTTGACGTAATCGCCACTCGGCCAATGCAGGCGATTATTTTATAAAAATAAATGCAGGTTTTAGCTCACTCACTCCGTCGTTCCTTCACGTACCAAACATGTCTGACCCCCCTGCTTTTAGCATTTCAAGGCTAAAAAACCTTGCAGTGAAGCCAACTTGCGAAACTACCCATTTTGCCGATACGGGTGCATGTATGTATGTTTAGGCACTTCAACTGAAAATACAACAACAAAAGAAAAAAGAAAAAAAGGAACTTTGATTATGCGCAAAGAAAGTTAACATCATTGGCCATATTTATATTTCTTGACATAAAAAAAAAAAAAAATTATAACTCGGGCTCAAATTATGGCTAAATTTACTTTTGATGGAATTTCAAAATTTACGTAAATTATCTTGTGAAAACAAATTTAACTAAAGTGGTACCATTCGATAGCACATGTACAGGCTTACAGGCATACAGTACTTAATAATCCTAAGATACAAGGCTTCAAATATGTCACCAAAATGTCAAAGATACGATGTTTGGCTTTTTGTATTTCTGGCATAAAATATGTCGAAACAGTTTAATTAAAAAAAAAAAAAAAGCGTCATACATTTACAAGAAAAAATACCGAGTGCTTTTATTTTTACCTATTTATAAGAAAAATCAAGCAGCCTAAGCTTAGCATTACACCTTGCTCCATTTGAAAATTCTTGTGGAGAAATATATTTATAAAATATAGAAAAAAGTGGTTTTGTTCATTGCGGAAATCGGGCAATAATATGTAAATTTTTTAGGCAAATCAAGATACCTTGACACGCGTGTTCGATTTCAAATGAAACCATCCTGTTTTGAGGACAGCAGAGTGTGTGAACCAAACCGCATTAAATTCCACCGTTTTTTTGTTTTCTTCTCATTTTTTTTTATCGACTTTTGGTGTGTCCTGAAAGCTTGAAATTCAACGAGGTCGTATTCTGGTTCATTGACATGTACTGTACAGAACCCTTGCGGACACTGAAGTCGCTCCAAAACATTTTCTTTTTCTTCTATAATGCATTCACATTCATTTGCACATAATCATCTAGCAGATTTTTGGTTGTCTTTCTGTACCTCATTAGCGTCGTCAGAACAAGGGAGGGGGAGGTGGGGGTGAGTTCCGACGCCCCTGATTCTGTTAGTATAATTATTGAATAGACCACCCATTTTAATTTGCATCTCGAAAGGATATTTCCCTCAAGAACTAGGACTTTTGTTCCCGGCTGGCTCGAAATTTTATTTAGTTTCTGAGACCCATACTTCCCTTTGTGTTTGTCCAGAGTCTGGAGGAGACGGCAGAGACGTGCTCACGGAGGGCCATCATGAATTCAACTTCAGCTTCCTCCTTCCAACAAGGTGAGTGTAGATACGTGCAGATAAGATAGAAGTCTAAAGTAACACCGGATGCTACCACTGCTGGCCTAGGGTCTTCAACGTGCGTCAAGCATTGGTTGTACACGACTGCTTGCCAGTATGATGCCCGTCCAGATTAGCCCAGGATCCTTGGGTTCTGCGGCGTGAGCTTTCGCTCCGCATGCTCCGAGCTGTGGCGCGTTAATTAACGTACTCGGCCACTGACCCCCCCCCCCCCCCCCCCCTCCCCTAAGTAGAAGTTACAAATGACAGCAAAACAGATCTAAAAGAAGTAACAGAATTTCAATGTGCATCGCTACGGCACATATAATTCAAAATGACTTGCGATACTAGTCAGCCATACATGCGCATGATACATGGCTGTTTTCATGCAGTTCAACTTGGAATTTCTCTTTGGATGCCATAGCGTTTGGCGGAAAGATTTCCTGCAAAGGATATTCATAATGAGGCGGTTCCCATTTTACATTAAGTGTTTGGATTGCGAAACGCCTAAAAACGCTGGGTTCCCAAACTATAGCAAGCAAGGATTTTTAACACCTGGAGATTCAGCGTATCGGCAACCGAGCCGAAAGATACAACTTTGATACTGCGGACTTTGCGGTGCTGGTAAAGCAGTGGCACTTATTTTAAAGTCGTGAAGAATAATACGGCGCTACAGTATGCCTTAATTCATACACCATTACAGGGTGGATGCGAAGTAGCTAGCTGATATTAATTTATGGCTACAATTTTATTAGAAATGCGTAAATAGACTTGCACAAAGGAGCATTTTGTTCCGAAATCCACGGGAATACTTGTACATTAAATTGCCACATATGCGTACCCGCATTGTTAACCAGGCGTTGTAAGTGTTGCGGCATGTCGGTGATTGTGTTGAGGAGGAAATTTGGGGAACATTTCCTGGCACGGCATTGCAACATTCCTCTGGCACGTGCTGCCGACCGACTAGTTGTCATTAATTGTGTGTGGCAATTTCGGATTGCGTTGGGACGAAACGTAGTGTGCCGACCGCGAGCGCATCATTACCATCGTTGCATGAAGACGAAGACGGCACAATCTTGCGGGGAGTCTGTCAACCATTTCTTTCACTTGCTCACAAGAAAAGCAGGAGAAGCTCCCCTCCCACAAAATCCTCCACTCTTTCTATTTTAGCAGTGGAGAAGAGGAAATAAATAATTATGGTGAAACCGTAATCCAGCATCAGAAAAAACGTATGTTTTGCAAATCGGTTAACATTTATAGAAACTACGGCCGTTTCAACTCAGCTAGTGGCTTCCTGCACACCCTGTAGATCAGGGGGGTAAAGGTGGGTAAGGAGGAGTGGCAAATTCCGTGCGCCGAAACCCGGGGTCCCGAGTGAACGATCGCAAAAGAGAGCGACAGAACACGAGAGAAAGAAAGCAACGTTGCCATGGTAAACGCGAAGAGTGAAAACTCTCAGCAATATAAACAGTGATCATTTAACGTTGTAAACTAAATTCTGAGCTATTCTAACGCTTATAAAAAGCAATAAAGTCATTACACTGCATTAACTTCCTTTCTGTCGAAATCTCGGAAATCTGGTGGTTGTGCAGTTTCGTATTCCTCAACCGCGCCCACCCGCGCCCCACCGGCGAAGCCGGGTATGCGGAGGGCAAGTTCGTCTGCTTCTCGCGCAGGGGGTAGCGGTGACGTCAGAACGCCGAGCCCTGATTGGCTGATCCCGCCCCCCTATCTGAGCGTCGTCTGCTCCTTTGCAACGTCGTCTGCTCGCAACGTCGTCTGCGTCTGTCTTACCTTTCCTGCGACTTTCGGAAGTGCAGAGGCCAGATTCACGAAACGATCTTACACCAAAAATGTGCGTAAGACAAAACTTAAGAACAAATTCGTATTCACGAAACGAAATTTTCGTAAGTTTTGCGCAGGTTACGACAAAATCCTACGACAGCTCCGAAGCTGTCTCACGCACTTCTTACGATCAAATCAGCATGGCCGACAACGTCGCGGTCGCGACAACCCACGGACGTTTATTTTTTTACGTGCGGTTCTGACGCGTCCCGACTTCAAGCAGCAAGAAAAAAGTAAAAAGTACTTGAAACAGACCACGACGAACAAGAACGCTGGATCCACAAACACCCGGGAAAAGCTCCCACGGCCACGATCCCACCGAACGCGACCAAACGAGCTGGGCAGTTAGGCCTAGCAGGCTCTCCGCGACTCGGCGACTGTCTGCCCACGACCGGCTGGCGTGTTGAATGGAATATGCCCGTGCGACCCTTGTGAACCCTTCCCGTATAATATTTTGATTGCTGACCTCAGTTTTAGATTAAAATGTCAATTTCTTCCTCTTGTTATCTCCTTGTTTCCTGAGGCAACGGTGACTCTCGCCGATGAAAAAGCGGTGAATCTCCGACAGACGCAGCAAAGCTAAAGCAGCCATCGCTTTGACAGCTTTGACTAGCAGACGTAAAACAGACGACGTTAACTGCGCCTACCCGCCGACGCCGTTAAAGAGTGCGGGGTCTCGCCGCACACGAATGGAGGGAAAAAGTATTTGGGAGGGAACTTGCCTCGGTTCTAAGCAAAAAAACCTCGGCGCCCCGGGACACCTCGCCAGGGAGTCCTTTGACTTCCCTCCTTGATGCGCGTCTGCTAGTTGTTAGACAAAAACAACGTACCGCTCGAGTTATTTCGTCTGCCCTCTCTTAAAGGCGAGGTCGAGTTCGCTCCGAAAGTCGCAGGAAAGGTAAGACAGACGCAGACGACGTTGCGAGCAGACGACGTTGCAAAGGAGCAGACGACGCTGAGATAGGGGGTTGCGATCAGCCAATCAGAGTTCGGCGTTCTGACGTCACCGCTACTTCCTTTCTTATGCGCAGAAGACGAAAATGAGCCCACTTGCGAGGCGTATATGGTTTAGTTTAGCGTTAACGCGAGGCCGTACATCTGCGCGCTATTCAAAAAGAAAGCTTCGAAAGGAACGCGAATATCTTTCCACCGGTAAGTTCGTGGATTGTTGAAGTTCACGAAACTGCTCCGATGATGTAACCGTGTTTGGGACCCCGAGGGTCTGCCTGCATGATCCGCCGCTTGCGGCAGCCAGAATGTATGGGAAAATGGCGGACCTTTTCCTCTAGAGTTAGTATGTATGATCTCTATGCTGTAGATACATAATTCCGAGAAGACATGTTTCTGCTGCATAGATATCCACTTATATCTGTTCTTCGACAGTAATTCAGTTAGATATACCCAGGTTACTGTCAATAAATAAAGGTGCTGAGTAATTCTAGTCATAATTACCTTTGGTCAAGAGTAATTGTAGTTTAATGGACTTATTCCAAAACCGACGCGCCCCATCGCGGCGAAATACCACGCAGTGCACTCTGGGAACTAGTTGGCCATTCAGTTTCGGTTTCAATTGAGCAGCTTATTCATCTCATGCTATCACGCCGCGACCGAACGCGCTGCTTGCGTTTTGAATTATCTGACTTTTTACGAATGTACAGTACACTCATTCTCGAGCGATATAAAACGAAGACTGGGGCACTTTCCTTGGTTCCCGAAACACCGGATATTGTGCGTGCTTATGCAAACGTAGTAAGACGTCGCCCAGTCACCTCACCCCACGAGTGCATCTTTAAGCTCGGATTTCAATAATCCCGTCTAGTACCAGTGAACTACAACTGAAATTTGGTCACCTTTTGTTTGCCACACGTCCGCTTCTTGTTACTTCATTGGGCGAAAACCAAGCCGCATCCTCACAGGAGTATCAAAGCTGAGCCCAGCGTTGACGCATAAACTTTTAAGAAAACGCAATAAATTCGACCTCACTACTGCATACTATGATGTCTTCCTCGTGTCATCATATATCTCCGACTCCAATTTTATGCTGATAGAAGATTAAGCTTTCGCAAGCGCTGAGATCGGCTAGTACGACGGAGGCCCTAACAAGCGTCCCCTACTCCTCGCTAAGCCTTTTTGGACGAGCTTTTACTGACACTCAAGATCTGTGCCAGAACGGTGTGTGTGAAATTATCTCGGCATACTCAGTCAGGAAGGAAGCAAACACATAACAAATAGTATGGCCATTAGCAACCGTCAAATGCACTTTGAATAATTTCGTTCGTTCGGCGCACCGCATAGGGAGGGGTACATGCCCGTCCGGCGCACTTCCAGCGAACGGTGCGAGTTCTTCAAACAAGTGCTCGACTTTTGCTTTCTTAGAACGGTTTGTATGTGCGAATGTGCCTATATGAGTGCAGGATAACTTTATGTGGATACACGATGTTGAATATTAGTGGAATGCAAGCGGGTGGGGACTTCACTTCGTGCAGTGCTGCGGGTCAGTACAGCTAAGAGATAAGAAGTGTTAAAAATGAGGCGTATCAAGAAGAACAGTAATTGCGAAAAAGTTATATTTCGTCTATGAAGGTACTAAACAAACAAACTTCCTGATCAACAACACTAATGTAAAGGCGCGAGCTTAGTGCATACTGATTGGTTGCTACAGCTTGTTGACTCGTACACTAGCAAGATCCCCGAGCTTCGCGGCGTCGAGCTGGTTCGTTCACCATACCTCGAAACGCTAACATAAAGGCTCATGTACAAAAATACAACAAGCATATGTTAAGACAAGCTATACGTCTCGGGCTTGTGCTAAAGCTTCAAGATCTGGCCATTTAGGTTAGTTTAGAGACAACAAATGACGCTCTCGGGACCAGAAAACATGAGATAACGGCCGTTAATAGCCCACGCTCTGTGTATAATCTCTTGTCGACGTGTCGATCGAAACCGAAACCATGCCGCTCTCCTCCCTGGCCAACTAGTTCCCAGTGTGCAACGCGCGCCGTGTTGCATGCAGGGGCACAACTAATTACCATCCCAATGGACGCAATATTGGACCTTTTCCGAGAAGCGTTCTGCGCACGCGCGAGCGCCCGATGCCAAGCGGTGGAAGTCGGCACGAAAAAATCGAGGAAATTCGGAATGAGGCTGTAAATCGACGAGTAGAACACGTAATTGCAGCATATATATAATTGTGTTACACAAAAAAAGAAAGTGGACGGAAAGAAAAACACGACGTTTGGGTGGACGCTACGGATTTCCTTCTTTAAAGTCGCGCTAGGCCTACCTCGTTGCGTTGGGCACGCGACGCTGCTCAGAGAGCGAAGCAACTGGTAACGTAGCTCCCATTATCGATGGTAGCGCAGGTAGGTCACTTCCGCGATTTTTAGTTCGTGCAGCCACCGCCTGGTGCCGTCGGTATTTGGAAAAGGTCCATTACAACTGCTTTTGTCACACTGGAGCTCATTTGTATGGAGTCACTCAATAGAATTGAGCTCCGTAGAGTCACTCACACCAAAAAATGAGACGTTTGGCTCCTTGCACTGGCGTCACATCGCATACTTTTGAACACCATGTAAAGAAAGGAGAGAGAGGCCGCTTTTGTAAGAATTTTGAGTGACGGTTTTATCTTCTATAATCTTCTGGGAGGAGAATAGCGACGGTCTGTGCTTATCCGGGAGTCACAAAGGAAGATCCTGATAAGAGGGGAGCTCCTTCTTCCTCTTTTCTCTGGAGGGCATCTTAAAGGAGGAGGGAAAGGTATACCCCTCCTTCCTCTTCCTCCCTGCTGCTACTCCTCCCTCCTCTTCCTCCTCCCCTCATCCTTCAAACTCCTCCCCTCCTCCTCCTCCCCACGCGGTGCGTCATGGAAAATGTCCCATAATGCACCGCGCGGTTACGCCGACGCCACTCAATCCGGAAACGGGCGCCTAAGAGCTGCGCTCTAAAAGCATCAGCCAAAAAAACCTCTGGGCCTCTGCCCTTCTACCAGCATTTGGTTTGGCTGGTGACTTCAGGTCAACAATTTGTGGCACAGCACAGATACTACAGGGTGATTCAAGGAGAGGCCAGGATCTTTAAATCGACCGCAAAATTCGGTTTCTTAACCTATCGCGCTACGATTTTGTGCAGCGTTGCCCACAGATTGTGCATTTTTTTTTGTAAAATTTGCAAAGAGCGAACTTACCTGAGGAAAAAGTAAAGAAAGAAAAAGGCTTAGCTCCTATGGAAACGCAGCGACGCCACCGGTCTTCAAACAACACGGCGCCGTTTCGCACGGGAAACAAGAGATGGCGCAACGAACGAGCATACGGCGCCGAGAGCCGGCGTCTCTAGCAGACAATCTTTTCGACTCAAAAGCGGCGCGCGTTCCGCAGGCGGCGACAGTCGCAGAAACAAAAACAGGCGCGGTAACAAGGAACTGCAGTTTCTTGTCTGCTAAAGACGCCGGCTCTCGGCGTCGTATGCTCGTTCGTTGGCGGCAGTTGGCGTCGCGATTGCTTGCGCCATCTCTTGTCTCCCGTGCGAAACGGCGCCGTGTTGTTTGAAGACCGGTGGCGTCGCTGCGTTTCCATAGGAGCTAAGCCTTTTTCTTTCTTTACTTTTTCCTCAGGTAAGTTCGCTCTTTGCAAATTTTACAAAAAAAAAAAAAAAAGCACCATCTGTGGGCAACGCTGCACAAAATCGTAGCGCGATAGGTTAAGAAACCGAATTTTGCGGTCGACTCAAAGAGCCTGGCCTCTCCTTGAATCACCCAGTACTTCATCTCCTTTGCTATGAAAATAAAGTTTCCTGAGCATCACAGATTAAATAGCTCATACAAGTCAATCTAGAGACTGTTTCATTTCCCAGAAGAAATCTAGCAGAAGTGACACACTAAATTTATTCACGACTTCTCACCTAGTAAGACCCTAGAAATATGTGCTGGCCTACTTGACATTAAAGGTTCTATAAAGCAATTTGCTAAGTGCTTTGGTCCTATATGACAAAATCACGATACAAAGAATATGTTTTTGGGTTGGTAAACCTCGGTGCAGTCGTGCGTGTATCCTTACTGCGATTTCAGACAAGAACGTCACTGGTTGCTATGGTCACATGATCGCTTGCGCCAGCCACTGGGAGTGAGATGCCATCCACAAGCGTAGGCGTGCACAGCGGGGGGGGGGGGGGGGGGGGGGGAGCATTTTATGGCCCCCGCTAATGTCTCCAGAGCTGCACAAATTAAATAAGGTATACATTTTGTTGTGCAACACAACAAATATAGAACCCTACTTAATTTGCACCTCTCTAGAGTCACTGGGGTAGGCCATAGCACACCTGCCCCCCCCCCCCCCCCCCTCTCTGCGCACGCCTATGAACACAAGGGAGCTTTGCTACAGCGACCACCATATATACCGTAGTAGTAGAAGTGCCTTCTTGGTTGCAACGCTTTTTTGCGTCTTACGTTTTCACAGAGGTGCCGTCACGAAATCGAAATGCCTTGTTATCCTTTTGATACAGTGCAGTTTTTTTTAGTGATAGGTTTGTACGGGAGCTCTGTATAGAGAGCTCCCGACGTCCTAGTGTCAGGTGACATGACGTCGCAATCTTCCCGCTAAAATTTAACGGGAAACTTACGATCAGCACGTCCAATAGAAGGTGCGTTTGTCAGCAACCGAATGAAATGCCATCACACCTTCGGTACTAAGCCAGGTGATCTTTTTCATGCAGCGGCGTCACGACGTCGTTTGAGGGCAAGTACGGCAGCGTGCGCTACTGGCTCAAGGCAGAGGTTGAGAAGCCGTGGTCCTTCAACCACAAGACCAAGAAGGCCTTCACCGTCATCAGCCCCATCGACATCAACCGCAACGAGTACCTGGTACGCTGGCCCATCCAGTTTGACTGCTTGTCTTTGCTGCCGGCTAGTTCAGACGTCCAGTAAGCCGCAGTAACACTGTATACATAGGGTCTTCCGTTTTCGGGTAAAACCCATGATTTCCAGGTATTTTGCAACCCGTTTGTGTCTCTTCGAAATCGAGTTAAATCTAATTTTTAGAGCGCAGCTCTTAGGCGTCCGTTTCCGGCTTGAGCGGCGTCGCCGTCGGTGTCGCCGTCGGCATAACCACGCGGTGCATTATGGGTAAATTTCCCCGCTAAATTTAGTGAAAAAAATTCCCCGCTAAATCTAGCGGAGAAATTCTAAATCTAGCGGAAAATTTTTCCCGCTAAATCTAGCGGAAAAAATTCCCCGCTAAGTCTAGTGGAACAATTTCCCCGCTAAAGCTAGCAGAAAAATTTTTCTGGGGGTCACGTGACACCCCCCCCCCCCCCTCCTAAGGTAAATTTAACCCCCCCCCCCCCCCTGAGAACAGGTGACCCTCAGCACCATTCCCTCCTCCTCCAAAAGAGCTGTTTTTTTTTTTCCCAAATTTAAAAAATGGAATTTTATCATTTTTTTAATTCTTTTGCTTCAAAATTCTTTTTTCTAGAAAGCAAGAAAGTTGGTAGGAACAGATGTGCTAGCTACCTCAGAAGCGAAGCTAGAAAGAGAAAAGAGGAGGATGAAAAACTTCTCTCAAAACTTTGTTTTGATGGGAACAGCAAATATGCTGTTCCTGTCGAACTAAAGCAATGTTGTGCATTGCAAATGTACGCGTCAGCTGCGACGTTAAGAGAACATTCAGATCTCCGAACACTAGGATAGAGATGGGAATTTTTCTATTTTCAGGGATATTTCTAAGAATAACTTCAAAATCCCAAATTCTGTAATACTTTCTTGAAAACCTGGATTTCTCTCCAATTACCAGCTCGGTGCAAAGCGCCAACTTTTATACCCCCCCCTCCCCCCCCCCTTGATTTTTGTAAAATGACAGAAAACTTGAAAAGGAAGGACCCAACTCATACACTAAACAAAAGGCACGGTACTTGCAGCAGACATGATGAGGACTACCTAAAGACATACCTCTAGCATGTTCAAAGCCTCTTTGCTTCATACATAGATATATACGTATGCTTCGAAGGCAGCGTATGCAGACTCATTTGTACGATGTATCGGCAGTGTGACTGCGGCTTCAGACTGCCTCCCCTCACAGCCCGGTCGATCAGCTTGCTTTGCTGCTGAAGTCGCACACTTTCAAAAGTCTTCCATGTTAAAAAATGCTTAGTTACTGGCAGCCAAAGGAAAAAAGTATATGATTGGGGTCCCCCTTGCTGCCGACATTCTTGCAGTAAAATAATAAAGTTTACATTCCTTTCTGCCATCAGTACCAAAGCTCGCCCTAAGGCAGCCCAAAAGAAATTCGTGCCTATGCATGGAGAGCTCGGATTTTTGTCAAAGGAGCGTTTTAGTGGTAGATGTCGCTTCTTGAAATTTGAAGGCTAAGCTCTGTTCCTGCGAGAAATGAGAATGACGTCCTTGACATTTTTAGTGACAAGCTCCGACGCAGACTTCCGAGAGTTGTACCTGTGGTGCCGTCGCCGAATGGGCACAGCAAGCGTTCGGTCGAAAGTCGGCAATGCTGTGACGAGTGCTTCCTGCAGCTATCGCGAGACGGCGTGGCGAGCAACGGAATTTCTTAAAATAAATCTGTTTTCCTAAGCAATTGCAATCCCGGGACAAGTTATTTTGTCCACCCCATATAATGATCCACATAATATTGATAGCAGTTAGAATGGCCATGTGTCTACTACACATCTCTGAAATTTATAGACATTCATAACTACTTGTATAGTCTTATAATTTTAAGAGTTGATGTACGTGACCTACCCTAGAATACCGCGCATCTGCCCATTCCACATTAAGCGCCCATATCCAAATTTCTAAGATCTGAGAAAATATGCACAGTACATTTATATGTAAAATTGATGACCGGACAAGTGCTCATTCCCCATTTTTTTTGCGATTATCTCTAAATTTTGAGTGGGCACTTGCCCGGTATTTTACGGTATGTGGTTCATACAACACAAAAACATGGGCATGGCAGCTCTTAAAGCGCTTTCTTAATAACAAGAAACATAAAAACAACCATCGGGAAATTAGGAACAAAGTGATAAGAAACACGAAAAGAAAATATTATTGAACCAAGTTTTATGAAACGAAAGATGCAGCACAGTGTTGGTCATTAGTAAATCAGCTGTTAGGACGAAAAAAGAAAAAATCGATTAAACAGAAATTAATTTTGGCCCTAATTATGACATAGAAAAGCTCGCCAACGATTTTAATACAGAAAATGTACAGTCAATCAAACCTCTTTGTAGTGGACCAAGGGAACGACAACATAATCAAATAAAAATCTGCGATTCATTATTTCTTCCAGATACGGCTCAAAATGATTGAATAGAAATAGTGGAAAAAATTTAAATGAATAAAGCAGTGGGGTTAGATCAAATAAGGCCAAAGGATATTAAATACCAGATTCATGTGTTAAAACCAGTACTGATCCAGCTGTGCAATTGTATATTCTCTAGGGGTGTCATTCCTAGAAAACTTAAAACAGCTGTAGTAAGGCCAATATACAAAAAAAAAGGTGAGAAAAACAAACTTCTTAATTATAGACCAGTGTGTGTACTCTTGATTAATAAAATATTTTAAAGCTTTAACACAAAGCATAATATAGTAATTCATATACAGTATCAGTTTAGAAAACATATAGGCATATGTGATTTATTAGAGGACTTTTTTGACGTGTACGAAAACATGGACAGCGGGAAATATATAGTAGCCTTGTTTGTAGACTTCTCTAGGGCCTTTAAAACAATAAATCATTCTGTATTAGATAGGTTACATAGCATAAGGATTTAGGGGAGGGCATATGATATTTTTTCAAATTTCTCTCCTTGGTAGACACCAAGGGTGCGACTAGCTTCCAAATATAGTAGAGAAATTAAAGTCAACCACAGAGTACCATAGGGAACAGTACTCTCGGCCCATCACTTTTTAATTTATATGTTAACGAGATAACCCAGGTCAAACTAACAACTTTTTCAGTTTGCTGATGATACGGTAATTGTCTACGCCCGCAAGGAATCTGCAAGCGCCGTAGGTGAGGTTCAGGAAGATATTTTCAATATTCTTTCAATGGTACAGTAAAAATCAAATAATCGTAAATTTTCCCACAACCCAAGTAACGTGCTTCCGAGACACAAGGAAAAAAAAATACATACCGAAATATAGATAAAAATGCACGAGAATAACTGTAACAGCTTTTTTGCCGACACTAGAATACGTCGACAATGTAAAATATCTTGGAATGTACATAGATCATCATCTTAAATGGAAAATTCATGTAGAACAGGTATGCAAGAAGTTGAGAATGCCGACGGCACATGTTTCATATTCAAGATACGGTTCTCCGTTCTGTTCTTCGAATGATATATAATTCCTTAGGAAAACCAGTATTACAATATGCAATAACTGTTAACGAGTACTGTGCCAAATATCTGTAAAATAAAAATCAAAACTTCCAAATACAATACTTAGAAAGGTGGGACATAATAGTGAAGAATATGTTTTTGATAAGTTTATGCAGAAAGATTTAGGAGTGTTGTGCTTTAGTGATCAATTGAAGAATCCATAACAAAACATTTTTTATACAATAAACATAAAATAGAAACAGTTAAGGAAAGAATGTTACGTCCAAGCATAATATATGTAGAATCATATATAAAAACGAAATATGGAGAGGCAACAAGAAAATACTACGTACCTAAACTTTTAACGGACCGCCTGAAGATATAACTCAATGTAAAAATTCGCGCAAAATAAAACTAACTAAAGAATTGACGAATGAGGAGAAAAAAAAAGGAAACCAAAAAGGCAACTAATTATAAAGAAAATCAATCAATGAAGCGGACCACCCCTTTCACCATGTCTATTATAGATATTTTGTTTCTTGTAATTTGTTCTACCTCAGATTGTAAATAAACATTGATAATATTATACAATTTTTTGTGGGCTTTTGGTTTAAACTCATAAAACAGAGCTCACGACACCCTAGCCAACTTTGAGATTGTTGATCGTTGCCAGTCAGTTGTTATAGATTCAAATAACCTTTCACAGTAAGGCCATCCCAGAAATGACACCACTGCTTCGTAGACTGAACCAAAGTTAAAAATGAAACATTTATCACACAATGTTCGAGGGATTTTACGAGACTCTAATCAGCTTTGAGGTCGTCCAACCCATTGAACTCTTGCACACAAACGCACTGGCACTTCACACTCTTTTCAGCTTTCACGACCGGATCGATGTTAGCGTTTTCTATCTTCTTGATGTCAACTTGACCCTCGGTGTCGGCGCTGTTCATGAATGGTAGTGCGGAGATGTCGAAGAACATCATCAACAGTGCACCGACAGCAAGCAACGCAATTGCAGACGATCCCAGAATGAGCGGCGCTATGATGAAGATCACAAACAGCGCCGTTGCAGCGACGACTCCGCACACCACAGCCAGGAACACGAGCAAGGAGACAACCAACGCAGCGGAGGCGGCGAGCAGCGTGCAAACGAGCATTGCGGCGGCGGCCAACAGGACCAGCAGAGTTGTAGACAAGATACAAGCCAATATGGCTGCCACTGTTCCTTGCAGTAGGGGACCGACAACCATTCTTTCGAAAGTGGCCATGTTGTTGCGGTTCTGTGTGCTGTGTGACGGAGGGGCCCCCTCTGGAATAATGAGAAGAACCCTTTATTTATCTTTGGGTTTTAGCGTGGAAGTCAGTTGGTTGGGTGTACAGATTGTCGTTTGTTTAAGTTCCGACTTGTGAGCAACCGGACTGAAGGTTTTGCAGCATTTGTGGTATCAAATCTACACATTATTTATGAAAAAGAGTCTCTTGTAACACTCAGAATTATTTCAAACCCACGATGATAAGAATAATGCATAAAATATTATAAAAATGTGTATGCAGGTTTAAAAGCACTCCAGGGCTATTCGACGGACGGTACAAGTGTGCTAAATAGTTACAAGAAAACGCAACTCACTCAACACTAGAGAATGCAAATGTGCAAACTAGCTTTTGGAGCAGTGGTTCCCAACCACTGATGTTTTGGAGATTCTTCTAGGTCAACAGAAGTGATGGGGGCTTACTAGGTGATTACAATGACTACAATCGACTTTGAAGCCACTTTGAAGCTCTGAAACGGAGAATAATAAGCCCATCAGCCCTACTCGCTCGGCACACAGGGTTGGGTCCAAGTAGACTCTCGCTAATTCAAACTCCAGGAAGTCATGAATTTTGTTTGGATTATCAGAAATTCATTGAAATATGATGCAAGATAAAATTATGATTTGCTATATGGATGGTTCACATACAAACTAGATATTTGATCCCCAAAATGTTGTTTATCATGAACTGTTTAGACAGCACATGACATGTCAAAACAAAATTAAGTTTGTTCATCCAGCAAAAAAGTTGCAGGGAACACGAGCACTGAAAACGGGTGCTGCGCGGCAGCTTCCATAGCAACTTGCGTGGACGTTGCAACATGGACCTATGCCATGCCGCCACATCACAGCGTCCGCGTAAGTTGCAATGGAAACTGCCGCGAAACTGCCATGCTCTTGCCCCGTTGAGCACGCTTCTTGCCGAACACCAGCGCACTACAGAGAAAAAACACCCACGGAAGCAAGCTCCGTGGGCGTTGCTTCTCCGCAGTGCACCGGTGCTCGGAAAGAAGCGCACTCAACTGGGCCGCGAGAACAAAAAGTATGAATTACACGAAAACGCTATTCGAACTAAGCAGCTTACACATTAAAAGCATAGTGGGACAACAAAAAATTTTTGTTGTCCAATTTAGCGCGGAAAAATTCCCCCGCTAAATCTAACGAAAAAAATTTCCCCGCTAAATCTAGAGGAAAAATTCCCCTGCTAAAAAATTTCGCCGCTAAATCTAGCGGAAAAATCTTGCCCCTAGGTCACGTGACACCCCCAGATCACGTGACACCCCCAGGTCACGTGACCCCCTAGGGGAAAGGGTCACGTGACCCTTTCCCCTATGTCACGTGACCCTTTCCCCTATGTCACGTGGCCCTCAGTACCCTTCCCTCCTCCTCCTCAAGAGCTGCGCTCCAATTTGGCATTACAGGGAGTTGTAAATGGCTTTCACTTTTTTAACTGGGCATTTCGGCAACACAAACATAGACAAGCACAAGATCCATGCTCTATAAGCTTTGACGTGATGCCAGATCTAATCAGCTACCTTAAAAAGCTGTGCTATAAAACAAATCCCGAAATATTTACCTCTTTTATAGGAGAGCGAGCCCTTCTGCTGTTGCGGGGCAAAACATTGACGTGCGTCCTTGCGTTCATGCACAGCAGCAGTCCTCAGCTACCGACAAACTTTCGTTGCAGCGATAAAGGAGTTCTAAATATAACTCGAACGAAGCTTTCAAACGTTTAAGAAGTCTTCGAGCTCTTGTCTCACAAAGCCAACCTTGGCCTTGATAACTCCGAGGTGGAGGGGAGCAGGAGGGAAAGTACCTCGCTGATTAACAACGCTGCACCTTGCGCTTGAAAGATGTTGCAACCTGAAGTGCAGCGAACTCCAAACGCACAACTACAACAGACAAAACCGGAAGGCTATCACCACGCTGACAAGAGCCAGCACGAAACCAAAACCGTTGTTATCTGCTATCAAGCGAGCGAGCTCCAGTGCCTGAGCTCCAGTGCCGTGGTGTCTACTTCGTTGACAATCTGCATTGTGATATGTCTGGTTCGTTGAACCATGCTCGCGTCACATAGTAAGATCCAGATCTAACCAACATGTGCTGCTTGAAACTGGGCTGCCCCTTACTTAGGGCGGGCTTTGTCAAAATTTTAGTTTTTGGTGAATCCATGGTGTGCTACATGGTGCAAGGCCCCCACTGAACAGTTTTGTGGCCATGGATAACCACAATCGTCACCATTGCATTGCTTTTTAAAAATCAGCTGAGTTAAAGGAACAGATCTTTGTTGACAAAGTATTGATGTTGATTATCTGCTATACTGCTATGGAGTCTTTTCAATTGCATACCTTTTAACAATGAGCACCATTGGGGAATGGCATTATGGCATTAGAAGTGCATTACCTGAGGCAGTGGAATGGGATGTGTCAAGGGAACGAATCTTTGTTGACTCATTATTTTCTAATACATTGTGGTAAAATCTTATCACATGCATTTTGACAATGAGCAGTACTGTGAAAGGCATGAAAAGTGCATCGTCTGTGGCAGTGGAATGAGATGTGTCAAAGAAAGAAATCTTTGTTGACATACTGATGTAGGTTTTCTAGTACACTGCTCTTGAACCTTCTCTATCGCATATCTTTTGACAATAAGAACCTTTGCGGATAGGTATTTTGAAATTAATTATCTGTGGCACTGGAGCTGCGCCGTCATCCATATACGAGCAGACAGTAGTGTGGTGCAATTGCACTTCCCCGATTTTCTTTTGTTTCAAATCAAACAGTCATCATTTTGGTTAAGATTTTGACAACTTGAAAACAATAGAGGTGTAATCAGTTCCTCCTAGTGAAACCAAACTCACATATATCACAAATGGACAGAATTGAGACTGCTTTGCACGTGCTCTCCCACAAAATATTTAACAAATGAACGCTTAACATGGGTCCAGCGACACACCTGTCCTGGTGGCACATCCCGGCAAAACACTCTGGCCTTCCGACTCGTCCACAATTAACCTGCTTCGGCAGCTATAGTCAATGACAGGCTGAGAATTTGGTGGAAGCTCCGTCTCTAGCACGCGCTTGTTGCCTTCCACCAAGCTTCGGCTTCGCGTGCAACCAAGCGTTATCAAGGGCAGAAAGCTCGAGATGTAGGCGGAGCATGCACCGGCTTATCAGCCCGCCACCGACTAACGAAATTTTACGGGGTGCGAGAATAACGAGACAAGAGAGCCACGCAAACGAAGCTTCCTATCATTGTACTTTCTGTGCACTAAAAGCTGGTTCACATCTGAGCATTAGAGTGGGATTGAACATGCTGCAGCCGCTTACAACCGCCTATGACGAGAGGTCGCGATGGCGTTGCCCGTCGAGTCGCTCTGGAATGCCTCCGACCTGTGCATATTTCCTCACTTCTTTGTGACAAAATATAAGCATGTCAAACCATTTATAGATCATTCTCTCACACCGGGCCCGAGATAATTCTGACAACGTTACAAGCGACTGTTTCTCATGGATGGTGCGCAGCTTTGATCTCGCAGATGCTGCAAAACCTTCAGTCTTGTTATGTGCGGTACCGGGGCTACACGACAGGTGGCACCACTGTGCCAGCGCATTCTATCACCGTACATAGTTATGAGCGGTCGCGAAGGACCCGGTCGCCCTTCGACGCAAACGTGCAAAACAACCACTGAAAAGAAAAAAAAAAAGTTTTTTTTTTTAAACAGTCTGGTTGGGACACATGTGTAAAAAAAATTAATTTTACGCCTAACAAAAATACTTTTAGAGCAATATTGACGGTGCAAGAAGCAATTTAGTCGGCAGTCACCTCCTTTCCACTTATTTTCTCTCTTGGCATTTCGGGCGCGTGGAGGAGAGAAGCTCTAGGCATCACGTTAAGGTGTAGAGAGTGTATGACCATCTCGTTGAGGTGGAAAGAGTGTATGACCATTCCGTGACGTCATGGACTTTGCGCGCATAATTCAGATGCAACTACAATAAATTTCGTGCCATCAATATTGGTTTAAAATAATTTTTTTTTGCGTAAAATTTATTTTTTGACGCACGTGTCCCATTTAACCAGACTGTTTAAAAAAAACATTTTTTTTCTTTGCAGTCACCCTTTAAGATGGCATGTGCGAGCCAACTTATCCTTAGTAATTGAACGAGAGCGATTGTGATGGGCCAAGGTTGAGACAACGTTCGACCTTGGCGATGCGGCGAGAGTCCGAAAGGCATCGGCGCTTACGGCACATGCTTTCCCATTCCAGATGCCGGTGGAGAGCAGCGTGGAGAAGACGCTGTGTTGTTGGTGCTGTACCTCGGGACCCATCTCGCTGTACGCGAGGACGGATCGCAAGGGCTACTGTCCTGGTGAGAACAAAGCTTGCTGCCGCGTGAGTCTCGGCTTGCTTCCTGTTTAGAGAAACGCGCGCTCTAGTCAACTGAAAACTTGCACGCGTACCACGTTGGTGACGTCCGTCGTCGATGTCGTAAAGGTTTCGGGCTGTTGCTTGTTACGATCCTGCTGGCGGTGCAGCGGTGGAGGCACATGCAGCAGAAACCTGTTCTGCTGCGAGTTTGGATTGCTGCTTAATAGGCCGATTTTATGAGCTGTTCTACTAAACTATCATTATGGGCCGAAAGTTCTGGGAGCTACAGCCTGCTAAATGGTGACAGCGCAGACAAGATCTGCATAGATGTGGTGTCCTATTTTATGTTTCGTTCAAGGTCGTAGTGACGATTAAAAGCACTTCGAAGTCTGAACGACTCGAATGAGATCCGAGCTTTTGAAACAATTTTTGAAACCATCAGAAATAGCGGAACAGAGGCGTTATGCGGCCGGCGTTCATCAGACAAGCATAAAGTTACGAATGAGTGTCGTGAGAAAGTGTGACACTCTTTTCTTGCTAAATTTGGTGGGCGAGACGTCACCCCCTCCCCCCCAAATTTAGCGGCAGACTGTCATGTCTTTGGCGTGATGTGGCCGCATGATGATGTCCTGTGACGTCAGGATGACATAATCATGCATACAGTGATTCTGTTATATGTACGTTTCGACAGCGGGAGGTTAGCCAGCCCCAGTGGGCGTCTGGCATCTCCACTGTGGATGAAAAATTTAGACAGAGCAGTATGCCCGTTAGCCTGGGGTCTTTAACGCGCATCACACAGCAAGGAGACCCAATCGCACTCCGGTTTGATGCTCATTCAGATCAAAACGGGCAGAGGTGGGGACTGAACCTCGAGTACCTGGGTTCCGCAGCACGAGCATAATCATGCAGAAATTATCCTGATGTCCAGTCTTGATAACGTCATCACTCGGAGAGCATGTGGTTACCGATCACTGTAGTAATTGCGCCTCATCTTTTGTTGCGTGGCGAGTCACTTGGAAAACACAAGTTTAGTGATCACTGTCATAATCGAGCCTAGTCTTCTGTTGCATGCAGGAGAGTCGCTCAGAGAGCATTAGGTTACCAGTCAGTACAGTAATTGCACCTTATCTTTCGTTGCACGCAGGAGAGTCACCGAGAGCATGCAGTTACCAATCACTATTTCTATCGAGCCTAGTCTTCTGTTGTGCACAGGAGAGTCACTCGGAGAGAATGTGGTTGCCAATCACTATTGTAACTGCGCCTGACCTTTCGTTGCACGCAGGAGAGTCGCTGAGAGAGCATGCTGTTACCAATCATCATCGTAATTATGCCCCGTCGCCATTGCGTTCACGCAGGAGAGTCAATCGCCATCACCGCAGACTTCGAGAACCTGTCGAGCCGCACGGTGGTTCCCCACGCCACCCTGCACCAGACGCAGACGTTCCTGGCGGGAGGCAAGTCCCGGTCGCGGCACTGCAAGTTCACCATTGTCACGGGGGTGGCCATCCAGCCCGGCCGCTCGGCCAACTGGGACGCCCAGCTGCTCAAGATCCCCGCCGTGTCCCCCTCCATCACCAACTGCTGTCTCATCCATGTAGAGTACGCCGTCAGGGTGCGTGCCGACTCGGTACTTTTGACCCCCTGATGGCCATTGGCATACATGTATGGCAATGGTGCTGGAGTGTCTCATACAGTCATGCCCTAGATGTACGTCCAGAATTACACATTTGAAAGTTCCCACCCAACGCAGAACCGTGGGCACCCCTGCAAGGGCCACTATCTTTTATGTGTTTGGGGAACTATAGATGCTTTATTTGCACCGTGTTTTGCTTTGCCAGGGCTCTTTATAGACAAACATGCAGCTCCGACGTCACATTCATACAATAGCGCTGCTGTTGGCACGGCAGGTGCGTCACCTTGTGGAAATCTAATGTTTTTGCATGTGCAGTGCCCACACCTGGTGTGGGCAAACACCAGCTTGTTTGTAAACAGCGCATTGACGTATAGATACGAAATTGGACTCTTTGCACCCATAATACGTACGAGGGGGTCGCTTCGTGTGTCGGCTGCTCTGGCGGTAGTGTCAGTCGGAACGCCAGCTTTTGATTCAGACTTCAAACGCTTCTCACACTTGAATTCAGAGGACGAGAGCTGCTCATCATCCGATTGAGAAACTCCGTAAAGTACCTCCAGTTCAGCGTCTGAGACCGCCAAAACATCGCGGAAGCGGATGCGATAAAGTGAAACCAAATGAAGAAAAGGTGGCAATTTTTCAGCCCCAATATTTCCATCAATGCTTCTCAATCTGGTTGGCTTACATGCACCTTACATGCTCCTGTTAGATAATTAAAAGAAAACCTGTGCATCGGTTCTTTCTTTGTACCGTCCCTTCGGCGAAAGAAGACCTAACCTTTGGGGCACGTCTCTTGGGGAAACAAAACCTATTTGCAAAGGGGTCAAAGGGATGCCCAACTCCCCCCCCTAAACAATAAAAAAGGCACCGCTACACACACATGACCAAAAAAAAAAAAAAAACAACAAAAAAACGTAAGCATTTTTGAGACAAACATTAGATCCGACAGATCTGAGGGTGTGTGGTAATTTGTGCGAGTAGCAGCATCAAACCAGACGGTGTTTACTGTTTGCCTTCCCGTGCATAGAAAAAAGACATTTTCTTAAGGCTTAAATTTTTCTTCTGAAACACGTGCTCGTGCAATTCGAGTATACGATAAATCCACCACCTAAAGAGACCTTCGCAACATGTTTTAGTGCACTCTATTTATAGACCAACAAACAGAGTGCACTCTTTCATTGTCAAAGCATTTTTTGCGATTATTTGGTGATATCTTTTATAGTACCTTTTCACGTGTGTGCTGCTCTTGTTGTTATTTTCTTTGTACACTTGTACACCCACCCTATCATAGTCTCAATAGAGACTGATAGTATTTTGAGATAAAAAAACTAATAAATAAATAATAAAATTTTTTTTTGGGCCCCAATTATGCTTTGAAACAACCCTGTAGAAATTGGCGGGCGTTACCCCGGGCTTGAAGCTGACCGATAAAGAGTGACAGAATGTTTGGCCACCCTTTGCAGATCACCCTCCAGATCCCCGGAGCCTACAACCTGTCGGTGGACCTGCCCATTGTGGTGGGCACGGTGCCCCTGAGGTCCAGGCCCCCGCACTACCGCTCCGTGGGGGCCCTGGGCAGGCCCAGGATACACTTCTACCCGCCAGCACCCCCCTACTCGGAAGGAGACGACGACGACATGCTGCCTGTGGAACGTAAGCGACTCTCCAAGGCGGGCCCCAAAGGGGACACCAAACCTTATTTGAAGGGGCAGCACAATGTTTTTAACATTAAAAGAATTTGCGGCTTGTACTATTCACATTGTTTTTATCTTGGCACATGAGAGAGAAAACCTGCCAGCTTCCCCCAGAATACTGTAATTCTGCTGCATAAGCGCAAAGGAGAAGACACATTTTCTGCTGTGTCTCGTGGTGTCTCAAAACATGAAGTTGGGCTATTGGTAATACTGATAATATAAAGCACAAAGGGACAGACAAGGACATCTGTCCTGTCTACTTCTTGCCCTTGACTGTCCCTTTGTGCTTTTCATATTTTCAGTAGCCACAGTGTCACGTCACACCCTTGTGGTGCCATCTAATGAAAGTCGACAAAACCACTCTTTCTCCCCTGCCACTCTCCCCGTTGTTCCCGTGGCAAACCATCCTTTGTTTCGATCACTTGCGCGACCTTCAACGATGCGCGGCGGGTTAAGTGCTCTATTGTAGCCGAACCGGACCTTAAAAAATCAATCATTGCGGAGGGAGGGCAGGGGCCCTGTAGACAGAACCAACATGGTTGGGACGTCAATGTGACTTCATAGTTTCATGCAACATCACAATGTCAAGGACACAAAATCTCAGAAGCCGGCCCTATCAATGCTACTCATTTCAGTGATGAATGCAGATTTGCATCCCACGAATGCATGAATTCTTCGTGACGCCCATTCCACCCTACAATTTGTCGTTCGGATCTTTCTGTGGCAGCTCCCCCGACTTATGCGGAGTGTATAGAGGGGTCCGTCGACATCGGCGACGACGAGGAAGGGGAGGTTCTGGGCGACACCCACTTCACCCCCATGTACGCCTACGTCCACGACTACCTCTACCAGCCGCCTCCAGCCTACTCTGAGGTGAGTCCATGCTGTCTCACTTGAAGTGTGAGCGTTGCAGAAGCTGTGAGAGTGGACGCTGGCTTTTCGCTGTTCGTGCCAAGTGTGCACACTTGTGCGGTGCAAGCGTAGTTTGGGGCAACACGCTCGTGCTTGTAGCTTTGCTTGCACTTGAAGTGAACCAAGTTGCGATGGAAAGACGCAGTTCAGCTTCAACCCTTCCGGTCGACGCTGAACTGCACAATTTGTTTCACTTTGGACCACAACCTGCTTATGACCTGCTGCATTGCTGCACAGCCAGTCATAAGCGGTCAGAAAAGGGTTAAAAACCGGCCGTGGAGTAGCCGGTCGTAGCCAAACAAACGCATGTGAGAAACCGGCTTTTAGTCGCCGATGAAACCGTGGACACATATTGTGCAGAATAAATGCACACTTCGAATATGTTCTGCGCATACTACTCCTGTGCATAATGACATGCATTCCCCTTTCTTGTAGAACAGATGCGACTTCCAGGCGGTGATTCCGCTGCATGTATGTTGTCAAGTGCTGCCTTTATGGCTGTATAAGACTATAGCACCATTAAGCACATGTGCTGGTGCATTGGAGTAAGAGCAATGCAGTTCCGATTGAAAGGCAAAACCTGCAAGACATTCTTTGTACGTGCAGACGAATAGTTCAGAGATGAGGTTTCACACGCGTTCCAGACAACCGGAGCCGAAACATCTAGACACCAACATGTTGCTCGCTCGCTTTGGAAAGACTTGGAAAAGAGAAACCACTTTCCAGTTTCGGTCTCTTGTCACTAATTCATGCTATTACCTCTTCCTCACCAGGTGGATCCACATCCATCGCCACAAGGTGAGGAAGAGAGGAACTGTCCCGACTGAACCTGCATCCAGCAGAGAACGCAAAACAGACCACATCTAGCAGACGACGCTTAGCAGACGGTGCTGAGCGAATGCCAACCCAGGAGGCTACATCTAGCAGATGACTCCTCGCGGGGCAGAACACGGAACTTCCAGTGACTGAATATGCCGACGTTCAACACGTTAGCACCGGTGATTCGTCAATCCGGCGGCGAAATCCAATGTGCCATCGAAAGACTCGAGAACAGAATGTCTCTTTTTCTTTTAATTTTTTTTTTTCCTCGCACATAACTGCCATTTCTCTTTGTACATTTTTTTCCCCCACAGCTCTTACCGTAAAGTTTGAGCATTTAGGGTTAGTAAACACGTCGAGTCCAGTTAGTGAGTAGGCGAGGGGCGAGAGTTCCTTGCCCTGTACAAAGATGGCGCTCACCTCGTTTCTTCGCTGGAGCGAGCTGTTACGTCGTCCAGCACTTTGATGCAGATGTATCGAAGGGTGACGAGCATGCAACAAATAGGGTAAGGTACGTCACTATCATAAGTGCCATAACGAGTGATATTCTCTTAGGCCACATATTAATGCCATCTACTAAGTGCACAACACCCACGCAGACTTGTGTCGTGTGCTCCAAAGCCATATTATGAACACAGTTAGGCTTAGCACAAATATCTGCACACATCATTGTGAAAACCTTTTGAGAGGGGAGGGAGGGTAGCGAAGCAGTTGTGTAGTCACAAGGTACTACTGACATGCTCCTACTACAGTCAACTCTCATTAATTCAAACTCAAGGGGGGCCGAAAATTTGTTTGAATAAAGCAAAGTTTGAATTATCAGGAGTTTCTTCCCATAGAGACGCATAGGATGGGACCTGCACGTTAGTTTGAATTATCCGAAAGTTTGAATTAAGAGATTTTGAATTAACGAGAGTCGACTGTACATTCATTGCAAGGCAATCTTATGATCACACAGTTAGGTTTAGCTCCAATAGCTACATCACACTGATAGGGAGGTGTGAAAGCTCAGAAGTGAAACAATTATCGGATTCGTAAAGTACAGAGTGCTTCTGAAAAAAAAAAAAAAAAAATGTACAGCATTTTTTTTCACTGTTAAAATAAACTGTGTATCGCCAAACGCTCAGTCTTTGACCAAATGTAGTGCTAGCGGTTCAGACCAGGTGCCAAAGTTTTAGAACAGTTGTCTTACTCAAGTTTTCTGAGAATCTCTTCCAACTTTCCAATAAGATAATGACAAGCTCTGAAACTCTGCTACCTAGTCCGGACCACTAGAGCTACACTTTGGCAGAGACTGAGCATTCTGCGATGCACGGCTTATTTTTGCGGTAGCGCAGTAAAATTCTTTCGGTCACACATTGTACTTACGACAGTCATAAGCTATACTATAATGGCATGCTGATACTTACATTTCAGGGCAACATTATGATAATCAGCACACGGAACAACCGCTAGTTGCGTTGTGCCGTGAAGCCTGGTGAGAACCGGAAAATGAGCAACTCTCCCCGAGTGGATGAAGCAGTTGTGAAACAACGCGCGGTGAAGTGAAGGTGGTTGTGAATGTGTCCACATTTGTGTTTTGCAAGACAAACCTTTTTTTTTTTTTTTTTTCTACTCAATCAAGTTTGCATCTATGCCAACACGTGCCAACGAAAGAAGCGCAGGTCTGCGACGACACCGCCGTACGGAGACCAAGTCGCGCGAGTTGTGAACACTTTTGCTTGACCTGGGTGATTGACGAGAGCTTATGTGAACCCCTCACCACTCGCGTATAAAGCGAATAAAAAATGTCACTCGAGAAACACAAGCTTTGCATGCCTGTGTCATACTTTTGTTTATGCGTCTATATTATATTTTTTTAGCCTGCGTATAACTAGACTAACATTTTGGCAGTGTTTGCGAGATCTATGCACTGTCCATCAGATATGGTTGCTTATAATATTGTCAGAATTATTCAGTATATACAAAAGTATGCAAAAATAAGAGTGTGACATGTGGGTGTAACGTGAAACACTACAAGTCAAATATATCAAGATGCGCATCAACTTTAAAATTAAGAGCAATCCTTTTATTTTTTTTTTCTAGTGACTAAGAAAAGGCTCATCTGGAGTAGAGGTTGCAATGGTGGGTGAATATCTATGTACACGCAATTCTCCCGTCAGCCCTTCAGCACGATATCGAACACCTTGCTGTAGTGGTCCACAAAGTGGACGTCCAGTCCATCCGTGATGAAGCTCGGCAGGTCCGCAAAGTCCTTCTTGTTCTCCTCCGGAAGGATTAGACATCCAATGCCAACCCTCTTTGCCTTCATTGAAAAAAAAAAAAAAAAAAAGCTGTGAGTGCAATTTACAAGTTGGAACAGAATGTTAAAGGGACACAAAACTTAAAAGGGGGATCGGTGGCTAAATGTAACATATTTGAGTTAGGAGCGATTTCCAATTTGCTGGCACGCTAACCCAAAATAGAAACATGTTTCAGAATCGGTCTTAGACACTGAACTCTGAAATATATTTTCCTAAAAGCCGTCCTACACAATTGACTTCTGCCAGGAAGAAAATCTGTGCCCAGTTTCCTTCCCTCACCTCTCGCACTCTGCCCTCTCCCCATGGGAGCGAGTCTCATAGCCACTCCCCGCAGAAAAGAGGAGGGTCCCCCTCTTTCTCGAATGGAAAGGAGGAGTTGAGGGAGAGTTTTCTCCTTTTTGGCTGCTCATCAGCCTTCAAATGTTTAGATTGCACGGATTTAAAAAGAAACAAACTTTCCACACACACAGACAAAACAAGAATTCATCACAATATCTACACTGTGACGCTCACTATAAGTGAGAAGTAATTCCAAAACACGGTTCCGTTTAGGTATTTACTCACACTTTTTTTCCCCCAAAAAATGACATATTTGGGGGGGGGGGGGGCGTTCATTACGTGGGGTAAACTTTTTGCATTCACACACTTCGTGCAAATGTCATTTTAGGTGGTAATATGACATGGCAAGGTACTGTAACATGTCTCCACTGATGGAGTTGCACCCATGGCTGGTTGGGGGCATGCCACAGTGACCAGGCTTTATAAATTGCAAACCTTTTTAGGGCACTTTCAGCGTGCTTTTTGCCGAAGGAAAAGCGCACTACGAAGCTCACTCAGCATGGAGAGCAACGACTGTTCTTGGGCCTAACCCCTTGCACAATTTCATTGTCCGAAAGCAGACCAGAGACGATGGCGTGTTTGTTGACATCAATGCATCCAATAGGCCTCCAGGCAATCTCCAGGGCTGGGCAATTCCTCGACCCAAGCTCGTCAAGTGTGCGTGCCGCTTGGTTTCACAGTTGATCACTTCCGCAACTATGCATTTGCAGCCATTACGAGAGCGGCTTGGCTTGCCTTGACTTGATCTGACCGCTTGGTGGCAAAAGAAAATCGGCTTGGTGGCTAGCTAAGTTGGACGCGATTCGAGACTCACTGAGCCGAAAATTGGAGGTGCGTTCATTACGAGAGGGAAAAAGTAAAAATATTGGTACCTGTTGTGGGGGGTGCGTTCATTATGTAAGCAAATATGGTAGTCCAGAAATAGATGCATGTTCCGATACTCAAAAAAAGTATTGTGCCCTAAGCATTGTACTAAAACAACTTTTTCCAAGAAAAGTTTATTTTGCCACCTTAAAAAGAAAAAAACTTATTTGTTATTTTTTAACTTTCTTTTTAACTTTTTTTTTTAAGAGTCTCAAGTATTGAGTTTTTCGCACACCGTAAACAAAACTGCACTCACGGCAATGGTCTTCTCTTTGATGCCTCCGACTGGGAGTACTTTGCCCGTAAGCGACACTTCCCCGGTCATGGCCACACCCGGAAGTACCGGCCTGCCCAGTGCCAGGGAAAGCAGGGCCGTCACCATGGTGATGCCGGCGCTCGGTCCGTCCTTTGGAACTGCGCCCTGAAAAGATGCGCCGGCCCAAAGGATGGTGTTAGCATTTCATTGAATGCCGCGAGGCTTGAAAATGCCTTTGAAGACCACAAAGGATCCATGGACCTTAATTTGAAAGCTGCCACTGTACAACGTTACTCAAAAACTTAAGGGCAGCAGATTTCGAGCACACGCACATTTGTAAATTCTCAGCTTTTTGCCACAGTGTGCGAAGAAATGACAGCGACAGCTCTCGCTGTGCAGGGCGACATCCACTTTTACGCGTATCCACTTCTCCTTTATTCAATCACACACAGCCTTGTGGTCACCCATTTATGTAGGAACGGGAACACACTGCACACATTAGTCAACGTCCCTACCCAAGACTAAATTGAGCAGGCCGAGTTTTACGGTGAAGAATGTGTAGTGGCATCCCCCACCAACCATGGAAGGAGAAGGCACTGCACACCAGCAAGAGCCAAGTGCGTGCGCTTCGTCTGGCGTCGCAGATTGGTGCATGCACGAGTGCATGTGAAACCGAGTTTTCTGCCTGGCACAATGGCGACGCTGTGGAAAGACCCTATACAGTCCTCGACCGATTTTTCGGACACCGAAAATTCGGACCCGCCTGTTATTCAGGACATTGACGAACTGTGGCTTACCCAATTGAAATGGTATGTAATAAACAACAGATTTTTTTCGGACAGTTTGCACCCCGAAAGTTTGATTTTATGGACTAAAATACTGCCGTAATATCCCGAGAGATAGCCCACCTACAGTCGAAAGCAAATTGGATGAAAATAAGGAGCAAGTTAACTTTAGGTGTGCAATAAAAAAAATGTTGATAAATAATGCAAGTTTTAGATTCTGTGACCTGCGACACCTATGATTGCAGGGAGAGTGACGAATCAAAGACAATTGTTCTTCCCAGTCAGCAATGTTTGCTTATCTCCCGTCGTGGCCAGGGACCTGCAATTACTAGGAGGGGGCTATCTTTCGGTGTTTTTGAAGAAAATAGCAAATCGTGCCTAAAATAAGGGGCGGGTTATTTTTCGGCGGTGGGCATCTTTGGATATTATGGCGGTAACGAGTGGCTGCTCCAGAGGGGCTGCCATCTTGGATTTTTTCGCTGGCTTGACTGTGGGCTTGGCCCGATGTTTCAGACAGATTGGATAGGTTCGACAGCACTATTTTAGTGCTGCCAAACCAGCCGCTAGGAGTGCCATGCTATGCATTTTGTTTTTTCTACGCATCATCATCGTCTTAGTTTCTTGGTTTGGTTGATTTTCCGGTCACAGCCAGCCAGTCGCCGACTCTCGAGTGTCGTCACGCTGCGCGTTTCTGTGGGTTTGCGATTACCTGCTAAACCAATCGCGCACAGAAAAAATTATACAAGCTCGATCAAGCTGACAAAGACTGCTAACCACAGAATGTGTGATAAGCCTTTCAGGGATGAAGAGAAGGGCATCCGAATGGCACCGCTTACCGAAGATTCACACCCACTTCTCACACACGCCATGAGATGGCGCAGCATGACGGAAGGCCGCGAAGCGCGCGAACACGACTTTGCGCGTCCTGTGAAACGGTTCATTTTTGTGCGCTCCGATCACTGACTTTGGACAGCTCAGCCGGCAAAGCACTTGGCTCACAATCTCAAGGCAGTGAGTTCAAATACCCCTAGGGAGTAAGTCTTACAATACACCTTTCCAAAAACGTTCCTAGGCTGCCGCCATGTTGCTGATGCTGATGCGGCTGGTGCGACTCTCGCGCCCTCTGTCAGCAAGAAATTTTCTGCCACTCTCTTGGACTGTGAAGATCCGCTCAGCGCGGTTCTCTACCTACATTTTTGCGGTTTTGTATTCAACGTTTTCTCGCCCCTCTTAAAAGATTTCACTTAATTCTTTTTTTATCTTCCATTGCAAGAAATAAGGCTGGTAAGTGCCTGCCATTCAAGTTTTTCTGCTTTACATTCACAGGAAACAAAAGAGGTGAAGGACGTCGAACGACCCTCGACGCGATTTTGCGAACATTGTTTTCCCCCCTCTTACAGTAGTAGATAATCCGCGTAGAATCCTCAATAGCCTCCAAAAATAGTTGTCCGGGTTGGGGTGGGAAACGGGTCAGTCGCGTTCGTTTCTTTGCCTTGGCGAGGTTGTGAAAAAAGGAAGCTCTCCCCAAAACGTGCCCCAAAACGAAGTCATCTCGGATTCTGTCTGATCGTCAAGATGTGACTGTCCTCACTTTGGCTGTGTTATTTGGGATCTTTCTCAAATAAATTATTTTCGGATCGTACGTACCACGCTGCATCGCGTGGTACGTACGATATATTGTTCCAATGTTAACACTTCCTCAATTGTATGTCCGTGTCCTGTCCATCAGTAAACACATTATTTGTGAGCGTGAAAAATGCATGACTTTCGGCCCTCTTCTGCTGCAATTTATTTTTGACAACAAAGTGCTTTGTCGTTTCACATGCGGCAAATCCCGCGGCGCCATCAAAACTTATCGTGAAAAAGACAAACAAAGAACTATACATTCCAGTCTCATTCGTTCTGTCGCATGCGTACCCAACAAAAATAGTTTAGTTTTTCTTGCTTTTTTTTTTTTTGCTTTTTTTTTTTTTTTTAATGTGGTGCATGTCCTTGGGAAAATACATGTACCATGAAACACAAAATATAGCGGGAAAAGACGAGAATTTAGCCGCCAGCAGCGTCTGAAACTGCGCCTACGCAGGCTGCACCTATTGAAATCATAGTCCACTCAGTTAGGGTTAGGAGGGACGCCGGTGAGAGTCTAGCCTCAAGCTCGGTGACTGGGCTCGAAAACGGTTTGTTGCCCCTGGGGTCGAGTGTTTTTTGGAAAGGTGTATATGGTTCCCTATGGATGTAAAGCTTTTCAGTGTCGGTTTTTCTTTACAGCCAAACATAAAAAAACTCCAAGGAAATCGGCTGATAAAACACATTCTGCATCAAAAGACCAGAGAGTCAGTCACCTCAGGCACGTGGAGATGGACGTGTGCTTTCTGGAGGAAGTCGTTCTCGGGATAGTGGGAGAGGAGGAAGCTCTTTGCGACCGAGAAGGCGATGTTGGCGCTCTCCTTCATCACGTCGCCGAGATGGCCAGTCAGCTGTAGCGAACCCTCGGCCCCTTTTTTCTCAGTCGAGCTCGCCAACGGGCGTGGCATCGCCGTCTCAATGTACAGTGCCGAGCCACCTGAAAGAGCGCCGACGACAAAAAAGAAACAAACTAGAATAAGCATTGTGATCGTTGTTTGTCGTCTTGCCACTAAATGTTGCTACCATACTAGCATCTTCTGATGACTATAGTCTTCCAGTGAATATGGTGAAGAGCTGTGCCAGCCTGTGCCAGAAGAGGGGCACAGGCTGAATTTGAGCACCGCGTCGGCACTCGGCAACGTTACTCGACCAACTCGGTTGTGGAACTCCCGCAGAGAAGCAAACCCTTCGCCCCCTTTCTCCCCCTCCCAAGGACGCCATTCATCGTTCAAAGCGCCATCTGTAGGCAGTGATTCAAAACTGTATTCTTTGAAAAGGCTACAGTGAAGCGCCATCTAGATGCTGTGTGTGCTCAAAGACCTGTGCACTCTATGGCGTACACCGCAGTTACCAGAGCAGTTGTCTCTAACCTTGGTGCTTCGAATGGTTGGAGGCAAATGTTTGAGGCAGGAGAGTTACTGCGTGTGAAGCAGATGCAAAACTTAGTTGCGGAACTGCCCATAGATGCTATGGGCAGTTACCATAGCATCTATGAGCAGCTCCACAACTGGGTTTTTGAGGCAGCAGTTACTGCGTGTGGAAGGAGGCGCTGCTTCCACAAGCAGTAACTCTCCTGCTTCCAAAACACAGTTGCAGAACTGCTCATAGATGCTATGGGAAGTTACGCACCTAAACTGATCTACAGTAGACTAATTAATTCAAACTCCAGGAAGCCACAAATTTCGTTTGAATTATCGGAAGTTTGAATTGGAAATTCATCTAGATATGATGCAAGATAAAATTATAATTTTCCATATGAATGGCTCCACATACAAAGCAGATATTTTGTGATTTCCTCTACATAGGGTTACTGATCATAAGCAGGTATGCCACACATGACACATTTGTGAAATGTTTGACATAAGTTTATTTATCCCTCAAAAATGTTGTTTATCGTGGATTGTTTAGACATCGCATGAGAACTCAAAACAAAATTAAGTTTGTTTATCAGGCCAAAAGGTTGTTGTCTAATGTGGACTATTAAGCAGGGGACCCGTGAGCAAAAAAAACGGGCACCGCGCAGCAGTTTTCATAACTTGCATGGAGATCAACGTTACTAGAACAACTCAGTTGGGGAACTACCATAGAGCCTGCTTTGAGAAAGTGGCTCCACTCCATACTTGAGAACAGACTAAAGGCGATCGCAACGCTGTCAATTCTCCCGCAGCGGCCACTCCGGGAACCGCACGGCTGCACGTATAGGGGGAATTCACTGGACGTCATATTTGAGGGCGATGTTTAGGGCGCATGCTCAGAACAAGCTCAGATTAATAGGCTGCTAAGACCGGCAATCTTGATGGTGCAGAGTGCACGTGGCGAAATAATTGTGGAAGTGTGCCGTCAGCACGCGCTCAGTAGTCGCGCACACAGATATGGCCGCCAGTGAATACTCCCTATTGCTCCAGGTTGAATCGCGCAAAGGCCGGTGCGTCATCTTGCAGTGCCAGTTCGCAGTAGCTATATAAAGCAACCTTCATCCAAAACTTGAAAGGATAAAAACAGCGGGGACGACGACGGGAAAAGGACATCTTTCATTTAGCAACAACACAGAATGGCACAACAATATAACTGCCCCCCAAAGGTTTCAATTCTCTCAAAGAGGGAAAGGAGATTATTGTGTAAAGGAAAAGGAATTCAATGTAAATATAAAAGTTAAAAATGCTGGCTTCAATAAGGGGTATCACCAATTTAGTTATCTCCGATTACTTGGAATTCGACCTTTGTCATTGTCAATGATAATGAGGATGCAGAAATATTGTTTTTTACAGTCCCAAAGGGAAATGTGCTATAATATAAAAGTTTAAAAAACTCTAGCGTCACGATGAGGTTTCAGTAATCTAGTCATCTCTGGTGTTAGGAATTCGACCTCTGTCTTTGTCAGTGATAATGAAGGTGCATTGACAATATCATTGACAATGACAAAGGTAGAATTCCAAGTAATCGGAGATAACTATATTGGTAAGACCCCTTATGGATGCCAGCATTTTTAACTTTTATATTTACAGTGAATTCCCTTTCCTTTACACAATAATCTCCTTTCCCTCTTTGAGAGCGTTGAAACCTTTGGGGGGGGGCGGTTTTATCGTTGTGCCATTCTGTGTAGTTGCTAAATGAAAGATGTCCTGTTCCCATCGTAGTCCCCGCTGTTTTTATACTTTCAAGTTTTGTATCTATTAACCAACACGCTCGTTTTCAATTGTAACAACTTTCACGTTTTGACTCGTCGCCAAAAGGCGGTGCTGTTTTCATATCTAGTTTGGTCTCAGTGGATACGAGCGGTGCGGGTTTCAAGGGTGAGTTTCCCAACTGAGTGTTTTAATAACGCTGGCGGACGCTGTGATGTGGCGGCATGGCAAAGGTCCACGTCACAGCATCCACACAAGCTGCTATGGAAATTTTCGCATAGTGCCCGTTTTCATAGCTTATTTGTGCCCTGCTTGAGCCCCCGTTGGGTGCACTTCTCACCGAGCGCCGGTGCACTGCGGAGAAGCAACACCCGCGGAAGCAAGCTCCGCGGGTGTTGCCTCTCTGCAGTGTACCGATGCCCGGAAAGTGCACTCAATGGGGCTGCGAGAACAAAAAGTATGAATTGCATGAATACGCCGTTCAAATTAAGCAGCTTATTAGTCCATTAAAAAAGTCAAACCCATTTACAACTCCCTGTAATGGCGAATTAGAGCGCAGCTCTTGAGGAGGAGGGAAGGGTATTGAGGGGAGGGTAGCCCCTCCTCCTTCTCCTCCTCCTCCCCTCATTCATCAATCTCCTCTGGGGGGGGGGGGGGGGTCATCTGACCTCGGGGGGGGGGGGGACGTGACTTGGGGGCACCTAACCTGGGAGTCACGTGACCTTGTGGTTACGGCGACGCCGCTCAAGCCGGAAACGGGCCCCTGAAGGCCCGTTCACACTCTTGCGACTGCTTGCGACCTCTTAAACCTGGGTTCCTTAAAACTTCTTAAACCAGAGAACACACTGGCGCCATATATTGGGAAGCAGTGTAAACTCGGCGGTCCGGCATATTTTTTTTTATTTCTCGCGCAATATCCTTTCTTTTTTGGCTCGAAAAACTTTTGTCAATGTTATAAACGAGCCTTTTTATGGGTATTACGCACATTTGACCTCGGAAATCCCGCAAAACCTTCGCTTTTGTGAAATGCAGTTCTAGGGTCACCGCATAGATGGCGCCACAATGTCAGTGTGTCCCCTCATTCTAGAAACATTTAAGAAGTTGAAAGAAATCTCGTCTCTCTCAGTCGTACTCGGTTGCAAGAGTGTGAACGGGCCTTAAGAGCTGCACTCTAAAACATAGCACGACAGTCAAAATATTGAAGCTGAATCAAATTAACCAGAAGTAGGAAATATCCGAGATTGAATTATCACGGGCCTACTGTAATTACGTCGGTGTTCGGCCGGAACTTTTGTCCTCGCCGACCGAACGCAAGTCCCAGCCGAGCGACATAAAAATTTCACCACCGAGTTACTCGTTATGACGGTGCTAGCTGCACCATCGTAACGAGGGTACAGCCAGCACCTTCGCTATGACGGAAGTGCTGGCTGCACCCCAGCCGGGATTCCGTAAAGGGAGGTGTGCAATGCTCACCCATGGCTGTCCAAGCCAGGCCCATGACGACGCCGGGAGGCGTGACGTCGTACATGCGGTCATGCGTGAACAGCTGCTTGCCCACAAAGTCGTTGAGGTTGTCCGGGCGCACCTCCACCTCTTCCGCTTCCTTGCTCACTATCCTGAAGGCCGCCTTCCTCAGGATCTGCCACGTAACACCAGAAACGGATAGGCTCAGCGGGCTGATTTCAACGAGAGATCCGTGGCCGCAAGGTACCACTGCCCTTGTTCCAGAGATCTTCAAAACCATTCGGTTCCACGGTCCTTACATTCTTTAAAAGTTATGAATGCAGGAATAATATTGCATAAAAGCCTACTACTACCGTAAAGTTCCGAAAGAATGCCCACCCAAAATGAAGAGATAAATGGGGGAAAAACATGGGGTGGGCTATCTTTGAGGATGCCACAGCAAAACTTTATCAAAAATTAATGATAAACACCGGGGCACCCGCTATAAACCATGTGAAGCGGGAACTGATACTCCAAATTGCAAACTCTGCAAATTCGCGGTTCACGAAGCAATAAACACGCGGGAATTCGCTACGAATTCCTGTGTCACGGGCAAAGGTACCGCAGGTTGCAGACACAGCAAATTCGCGTTTTACCGTGCAAAGGACCCGCGGAAACCCGCCGAGAACTCGCATCTCACTTGAACAAATACCGCAAATCATGGACGCAGCAGATTCAAGTTTTATGGTGCAATAAACATGCAGAAACCTGCTACAAACTTGCCTGTCACGGGAACCGATATCGCGTGCACAGATCGAGGACAAAAAAGCGGGAACCCGCTTATGAGACGTACCGGTACAGCATATCGCACGGCAAATGTAACTCCCGTCGGACATCGTGTGATATCCGACGGGAATTGGGGAGTGGGCGATGTTTCGGATTTTTTATGTTACAGATGTTTAGTCAGATAAACAAGGTGGCCGATCTCGGGGGCGGGCGTCCTCTTGGAACTTTACCGTAGTATATTTCCAAGCACAAAATATATCTTTTTCCACTGAGCTTCTGGGAATGCATGCTCCATACACCAAAACCTGGATCTCCACTGTCAGTACGTAGTCTCTTTTATACTAGTTCGCCTTTTTAGACAATTAGTTCTACAAGTAGTGGTATCGGCGCTAGTCTGGCTGTGCCAAAACACAGAGGAAACCGAAAGGTGTTCGCATCATGCTAGTAAATGAATAACGTGACCACGGCATTCATACAGAGCAATGAAATATGGAGTGTGAGCGCGCTCCTCAATTCTTTGTGCAGCTCACGCTTTTTTTATTATTATAATTAGAAATAGTTGAGTGCTTAAACACCGTGCATTGTGCACACGGTTCAAACTGAAAATGAACTGAGGTACATGCTCCACACCTCTAATAACCTTACTCAGCGATTTGCAAACTTCCTTAAATGCACTCCACTACATTTCGCTTCTGCGTTTCAGTCGGTTGAACTGCTGCACACATGAGCCATTAGATAAGTTTTCACAAATAGTTTGCACAATGTTAGAAATTGTGACAGCATAAATTGTAGTGAAATTAAGTTAAATGGATGATACAATGGACACGCTACTTTAAAAGCACTATGTAAATGAAAAAAAAAAAAAACAAAAAAAAAAAACACTGCATTTAGACACAAGTTTTAACAAAGATAGGGAACCCACAGAAACTTTATAACATCTTGTTTGCTTTATGCATAACAGATACTTTGGTAGTAAATATTATGACGATTAGGAGCATGGCTTAGAAAAACTTGGGCTGAACATATCCCAAAAGCAAAAAAATAGTGTATGACTTATACTAAAAGAGCAGCTGGTGTCAAACTGTAAGATGGCATATCCAAAAGGAGGAGGAGCTTGCAAGCAACCTGGTAAAGTTAGCATAACTTAACCCGAGACAAGGAAGGAAAAGAATGACACATAAAACGAAGAGACAACACACAGACATTGTGTGTTGACTTTCTTTTCCTTCACTGTCTCAGGCTTTACAAATTTCAATGTAAAGAGTCAGGTTTCAGAACCATATTTATTGCCAAGAGATCCCCCCCCCAAAGCACCACGCAAACAAAACAGGAATGCTCACAAGTCGCTTGCACGTAAACAGGTGTCACGTGACCCTCCTCTTACCTTTTCTATGTGCTTCTGGAGGTTCCGCACTCCGCTCTCCCGACAGTAGTACTTGATGAGGTGCTGCAGGGATTCTGGCTGGATCACCAACTGGCTCTCCGCAACACCCGAAGTATTTCTTGCTTGAGGGATCAGGTAGCGCTGGGAAGAGGACGTCAAAACAAACCTCACTGCAATGGCCTGAACCAGAATTCCAACCACCGAAGCATAAAACTATGGCTCAAGCAAATCAGCATCGCTTGGCGGGTCAGTGTGTGCACAATTTCTTTAATTTGACTATGCATGTTCTAGTTGAAACAATCAGGAGTGCACTCCCAATTACCCCTGGCCCTGGAGCAATGCACACCAGTTTAAAAAAACAACACTCTATAGGGGAATGAAAGGGCATCATGAAAGATTGTGTTAAAAAGTACTTGTATTTTACTTTGAAAGCACACAGCATTTATAGCACTTTGAGTACATTGCAACCGGTGCACTTACTACTTTATTAAAAGTGCACAACCACCCATTTACTTTGTACTTTAAGCACTTTTTAGATCTAGTTTACTCAACACTGCAACACCATATCTACTGTTCAAACGGTTGCATTTCAGAACCATAACTGTTGCAAACGGTACCCGCAAATGGCCTGTAAACAAGAGTCGCATGATGCAAACAGACAAACGACCATCTTGATAGCATCAGACAATGAAGGAAATGAGTGCCAATACTCTGGGCATAGGTGTCTAGCAACCATAGTCCAAACATGACAGAGGCCTTGAATAATTAAAAACTACCAATTTGATCCAATTTCTTTCCTAGAAAAACAATTTATCCTCTTATTAGTCACGTCAGCTGACAAGCAATGTAAGGTACGTTCTTCCTGCATGGACCTCTCATGGTTGAAATGAATTTGGACATCAACACAAACCTTAAACCTCTAAGAATACGCTGTGCCAAAGGAAAAGTGATAGACGGTCGCTGTTTCAAACCTCAACAATGCACACACTATGCTTGTGCTTTCTGCTCCAAACGCGGCCAATTATTTGTGGCTAGACAAACCTGCTTCGCTTCAAATAATGACCCCAATTTAAACTCAATAATCCGATTCCCTCAAGACGCATAATCAAACGCGCCCTCCTCTTGCGCCAAGTTCCCGTAGCTGAGTTTTGCTGCAAGCAACTATGGACACCAGCTTTTTGACTCTGGGATCCGTGGCCAAAGGTAGATGACGCACCACTGCTTGGAGTGCGAGGAGCGAAAGCTTGCGCTGCTGGGGATCCTGGATTCAATCCCTACCCCTGCCTGTTTCGATCTGGATGAGCATTGTACCCGCACACGGTCATGTATTATTGGTAGCAGTACCGTTCTGGCTAAATTGCTCCTCTACTGCAAAGACACCAGACACCCACTGGGGCTGACTAAAATCCTGCAGTTGAAACAAGCATACAAAACAATTAGCTGCTAATTGAACGACTAAATGTTTCCAGGTACGTACCTCGGCAATGGCCATTTTTTCTTCTGCCACATAGCCGGACACCTCAATCATCTCCAGGCGGTCCTTCAATGGTTCGGGGATTGTGTCGGTCACATTGGCAGTGCAAATGAACAGCACCTGAAACGTGCGTTTAGTGATCTCTTTAGAATATTCCGTGGCCAATGATTGGGCTCCAGCAGGAGTGAAAATAAGTGATACTAACAAAAACTAAAAAATACCTTTGAAACCTAAGAAATGCATGTTATCTCACACAGTTGCTAAAAACACCGTGCGAGATAATATGCACAGCATTTGTTGCAAGGTGCCTCGGAATGCAGACGGAATATGGGAATTGCATTGGCAATGTATCTTGTAGTAAGCGCACCGATGTACCAAAACAAGACCTTCTATGGCACGTAAACGAATGTTTTTAAGACACTTCAGACGGCTCACGAAATTCCATTTCTTCACGTATCGCGCTGCAATTTACTACTTAGGTGCAAGCAGCTGGTGCAAGTTTACTGTAAAAAAAATTTGAAGGAAGGAACTTGCCTTATTCGAAAGAAAAGAAAAACAGAAACCTGTTGTGGACAACCTATACTGCCACTTCGCAGACGATGCACGCACAGTGAGATGTGCTGCCGACAGATGGCGTACGCCGCATCACAGGAATGCCGGCCGATTCGGGTTCTTTTGCGAGATCGTCTGCTATCAACCCGAATCGGCTGGCACTCCCTCGACGCAGCATACACTATCTGTCGGCAGCAATTCTCACTATGTGTGCGTCGTCTGCGAAGTGGCAACGTAGGTTGCCCGGAATTGTTTTTTGTTTCTTCTTTTTAATGAGAGTAAGTTTATTCCTCCATTTTTTTTCATTTTAAACTTTCACAACTTGCTTGCACCTCCGATAAAGTGCAGCGCGATATGTGAAGAAGTTGACCTTTGAGGCCCGTCTACAGTATCTTAAAAGCGTTTGTTTACATGCTGTAGAACCCCCAGCTGGAGACATTCCACAGCGCTCTAGCCTAAATGCAATGTCCCCTTGCGCCGCCTAAATTTTTCACATGTGCCCAAAATCAAACTACGATTCGACGAGAGTCGAAGACCATGCCATATTTGTAAAACACAACCTCGGTGCGGTCACACAGAGAGCCCCCAAACGAGCTACGCTTAAAGACAACGACACTTCGGCAGTCTTGGCTCCTAAAGTCGTTGCCAGTTGCCTGAAGTTTTATCTGAAATTGTGGAGAAACGTGTTCCCCGCAAACGCTTTCCCGTCCTCCAGAAGGTTTAAAACGGTCTGTGACAGTGTCAACTGGTACCGCCCTAGCTTCCCCAACGCCGCATTTAAAGTTTGGAAAGTCGCATTTCCCAATTGTAATGATCGTCGATTGCACGCTGTCTGCACTAAGCAACAAAATGGCGGCGCCCACGAGAAAGTCGGGGAACCAAGTGCCGACACTGTAAACATATCAAGTGATTCTAGTAGCACCAATGATGAGACGCAGCTACGTTACGAGGTGGCGGCAAGTCGTCGCACCTTGGACAGGTCCACATTCACGTCGAGGTAGTGATCCAGGAAGTTGGCATTCTGCTCTGGATCTAGGACCTCCAGCAGTGCCGAGGAAGGGTCGCCCTGGTAACCCCTTCCAATCTTGTCCACCTTGAGAGAAAACAAAAAAAACAGACAAAAAAAAAAAGGTGTACCACATCCTAATCTAGAAAGTACACAAATATCTGAAACTTGCAAAAATTTGTGAACGGTGGTAGCTATTCAATTTGATTCACAGCACGCTTTCACTGTTCGACATATTCCAGTTTTTAAAACAACTACGAATGATGTCTTTAGGATTCTGAGATATCTTGCGTCAAGCTTCACTGCTTTGCACCGGTGCCCTGGAGTCGAGCTTCACTGTCTCGCACCGGCGCTCTGGCGACCAGCTTCACTGCTTCTGAACGGCACGCCCGCACACGCAACAAGCTTCGCTGCGTTGCACCGACGCGCTAGGAGACACGACCAAGGTGTCGGAGCGTCTCGGTCAGCCTGATGGTCTTGGGAAATTTTGCTTACTATTCTAGGTCAAGACTTCCTTAGTTATAATTATTGTTTGACCCCCAAATTTAAAGAAAAACGCAAAAAAACAAAAACAAAAAAAAAACACCTCAAGTTATACTGAACTAAATTAGGTACCAGTTGTTGCTTTCCTTGCCACATTACCTACCGTAATATTCCGAAAGATGCCCCACACCAAAAAAACAACCCACCATTATTTTTGACACAATTTGCAATTCTTCTTTAAAAACACCGAAAAATAGCCCACATCTAGTAATCACAGTGCCCTGGCCAATGATGACCTCGGCCAAAATGGGGTAATTGGCTACGGCAAAGGATAAGTAAACATTGCCGATTGGGAAGGACTACTGTCTGGACTCTGTCATCCCTCAAGGTGAAGACAAGTTTGGCCAGGTCAAAAAATACAAAACTACATTTTTCTTGGTCGCGTACCGATAGTTAGCCCACTTCTCAGTGTTACCCGATTTGCCCTCTCTTTTAGGTAAGCTATCTCTGGATATTATAATAATGTTTTTGGCCCAACTCATCTTACTAGGTTTTTTTTTTCCTTTCCTAACATACAAATACGGGACACGTTTTTAATGTTATTAAACTGTCTCTGTTTATAGGTGTGCTTTCTCAAAGGGTTTCCTGACATGATTTCTCAAAGTATCCATGCTCAATTCGCATGAAAAGTAAAATATTTGTTTTAGAAAATATTCAAGTTCCACCCGCAGTTATATCTAGGAATTTATTTTTGAGTCACAATAAAAAAAAAGACTTGACTAGTTTTCTGTTCCCGGAAGGAAAGAGATGCAGCGTACCTCATCTATTAGCACCAGCGGGTTTTCGGTTTTCGTCTTTTTCAGGCACTGGATCAACTTCCCGGGCATGGCGCCCACGTAAGTGCGTCTGCAATGAAAGTTAAAATGTTACAAGAAAACAAAGCAAATCGTCATCACGTTCCAAATTTGCAAAGAGTAGTGCAGGTCAAAACAAAGTAAGGTGAGACAATGTCCAGCGTGGTCAGAAAAAGGCGGGGTCCGAGGCCATGTCTCTGGAAGAGTAAACCACCCTAAACAAGATCTGACCCTACTCTTTTAATGCAAATATTTTTAACATTTTTAATGCGAAAGCATTAAATGTCCCATGGAGCAAAGCCGGCATCGTCTGTAACCGCGAGAAATGCGACCTAAATTACTGCGGCGTCTGGAACCGTGAAAAAATGCAAGCTAAATTCCCATTTTCCCGTTGGCCGAGCGAAACGGGAGAATGACTGGCGTGGGGAGGGAAAAAAGAGAACCAGCTTTCCAACAAGCCCAAAATGGCCGCGATACGACGAGCGGCTACAGAGCAGCTGCGGAAGGCGCCTTGTGCGAGTTCGACTACTTTTTGCTTCGAAACCATGATTCGAACGCTGCCGAGACATTGTAATTAGGATTTTTCTCCTAAGTAAACATCGAATTGGGAATTGAAACTTTGCGTGCGGGTACTTTAGACTATATTCAATCCAAATATGTGAGCTTCGAAAAACCAGAAATTTTGTGTTTTTTGACCATTTTAAGACTCGCGTCTCTTCCAGAAAAAGAAATTTCTGCAAAAAATGTTGATTTTGAAAAATGACATAGTTACATCCACCAACATTTAAAGAGTATGCCCAGAAATTTTTATTAGTTTACACTGCATAGTTAATTTTTTATAAATTAATTTTGTTCACCGAAGCTAAAGAAAGGTAGGGTTTGGAGCACTTTGAATGCATTTTTCTCCGTTCCACTTTTCGGTATAAATTTCTTTTTGTGAATCTATCTTTTGATAGTGGCAATGCAGGGAAGGCTTGTTCTTCACTTTTCCTGACTGAAATTTAATAAGGAGTGCGGCTATGGAATTTTTTTGTCACTTTACGGATGTCTTTTATAAAAAAATGCTGACATTGTGTCGAAGACACAGAAGACCAACAAGTTGACCAATTTTGCCGAAGAGAAAATTGATAGAAATAAATGACTTTTTACAAAAAAATTTCCATAGCCGCACCTCGTAGGCGTTGTGCTACATATCTAGCAAATAAAAATTTTGAATATTGTGATAGTTTTCCGACGATAGATTAACTAAACAATGTAGGCGGGTTGCTGATAAAAGCTGCCCTAATTTCCTTCCCACTTAACCGACAGACCTGAAATTTTGTTATGCACCTTCTAGCATGGCCACAAGCCTACTCTGTAAATTTCATTAATTTTAATCTAAGGGTTCAAAAGTTGACCCTCCCAGGGGGTGTGTCCCCTTAATCAGGCAAGCCAATTTTTAAGGAGAATGGAAGCGTTAGTGTACACGCTGTAGTTGCGAATTATAGATAGTATTGTGTTTCAGTAACATTTCATGAACATGTTTTTGAACAACCTTCCCCCGGCAATAATGCTCTATAAATATACAATCACTACAAATAACATAAAAGATCTCGAATCAGCAAACTAACCTGTGCCCTTTGATCTCTGCCACATCCGTCATGCCACCCACGCTGAAACGGAAGTACTGCAACGAAAGATTTGCAAGATGCTCATTGACAAACTGGCCACAGCTTTGGGTTCTAACCTCCAATGTTCCCACCAAGACACTTGACAAAAGCGGTGTACACTAAGGTAAAAAGTGCTTATGTTGCGTTTGCAAAAATTAACCGTCCCACAAAAGAATTTGAAATAAACAATTCAACCTCCTAGGCTTGTCAGTGGAACTTGTTACTGAGGGATGAAGGTCACATAAAACACAAGGTAAGGTTTGGCCTTGAAAGTTCGGTATGTAGTAAAAGAGACATTGCAACACACGGAACATTAGGCAGCACTCTAGCATATTTTTACGCTTCAACATCATACTGCACAGCTACATCTCTACAATTGAGAATGACACAACTCCACTATTAAAATTAGGCAATGGTAATATGTTTACATCATACATGCCATCTGCAATACCAGCAGCCTCATAGTGGTTGTGATCACTCCATAGAATTAAAAAAACAATAAACACAATTCCAAACTAGTATTTACAAAAGAAGTTTCTTGCTTCTTCAGGGGCTCCATAAATGCACTGTCCATTTCGTTTTTTTTTACAAAATTTTCACACAAAGCTTACAAAACTAGTGGAAACCACATAAACCAAAATTTAAGAATCTCACAGAATGAGATGACATTTGTCTGTCACTCTTAGTGCAGGCGACGTGAAAACATGTCCTGCTTTCATGTAAACATAGCAGACATGTCTCGAAACAACAGGTCACACTGAGAAGCAATGTTTGCATATCAACATAACAAAGATCCCAGGTCAACATGTCATGTTGACGTGACAAACATGTCATGCTCGCAGCGAGAAATTTCCTGGTTTGAATCGAGTCTTGATCAATATTTTCTGGCAGACTTTGACTGCATGTTCCTACTAGAAAACTAGGGTTTGAAGCTCACAACAGATTATCTTTGAACTATTCCAAATTTCGAGCCGAACGAGTCTGTACACAAAAAAAACATGAGACAAATAAACAAGCTTACACACCTCTCGGTTCAGAGCGCGTGCAATGGACCTGGCAATACTCGTCTTCCCAACACCGGGTGGTCCGTAGAAGCAGAGCATCTTCCCTTGCGTTGTCCCTTTAAGCTGGCTCACTGCAATGAATTCCTAAAAAAAACAAAAAAGCCACACACTGAGAAATTCCGTGTCATACCTAAAACTAAAATGGACCACAAGTTGCAACACTTGTATTTGCTTGCATAAAAAAAAAAAAAGAAAATTTGTTTAACCCCTTAAGTGCCTTGGACAAGCTGAGCTCGTTGGCCACTTTCTGGCTAAAAATGCCGTGGACGAGCTCAGCTTGTCCATTGGTTTTTTCGGTAGCCCTCAACTCCACGGACGAGCTAGGCTCGTCCGAGTAGTTTTGCGGCACTGATCATAGATGGCAGCACTCGTTTTAGTTGGCAAACATTTTTTTTCCGCCTCCGCAGATTTTTGTGTAACAAACTTTTCAAATCTTATGTGTAATACTAGAGAAATAACAATTCAAAATTTAAAAAAAATAGCACTTTTAGGTTACTTTTGGAAAACAAATTTGGCACTTAAGGGGTTAAAATCATGAGCCATTCCACACTGTAAAGGTGGATGACCAATGAAGCTGTTTAACACATGACACAGGCGTGACACAGAATTTTGAACAAAGGTACGAACACATTTATTGTCTTGATCGGTGGTCATCGTGACGAAAGGTACGCACACACATGTTGAGGACCATTGCTGCCCAGAGGAACCGCAGGAAACTAGACACGCGCGACGGCACAGCCACCCAGCAGAAGGAAGGGAAACTAGGTGCGCAAGCGCTTGGAACAATGACAAAGAGAGGGCAGTGCAAGCGTAGACATGGCCGACGCGGGTCGCACAGCGGCAAATCTTTGAGAAACCTTTATTAACTACCCGAGAGTCCACTGATCTTGAAAATGGTGCCTATTAATAACTAAGCTACTCAAAATGCATATCCAAATGATGAGACGTATAAGCTTTTGCACAGAATGAAGCGATTTTGCATCAAATTCAGGACCCTGTTGACACACACGAAAAATCCACGAAACCCTAGCCATAAACAGCTTTGCTGTAAAAGAAACAAAGCAATTGTCTCCCTTGGTGACAAGTTTTCTTCACTGAAATAAATGCCAAAACGTGCCCACAATATTGTTTCATGGTTCGACGAGTATTAGGCATAGGGGGACGCCGAGTCATAAAGAAATTTAACTTTTTTCTGTTTAATTCTTTTATTTAGGTAACGTCATGTTCTTGATCTTTCACATTGTATCCATACGCAGTGATGTGACTGGCCTAAGCCATTTTGAAGCACCTTTCAGAGCAGCCAAAACAGTGTTTTGGAGCTGCAAATGTGGCCTTTGGAGCAACCAAAACAGTGTTTTAGAGCAGTAAAAGTGGTTTTCGGAACGGATATTCTTAGAAAAAGAAAAATATTTGTTTGAAGTGCTGCACAAATGAAGGGCACTTTGTGTTGTGTTATGTTCTGATGTGACATGTTGTGACGGAACTCGCTGCTTGTATTTTTACTGATGAGACATTACCAAGCGTACAGTACTGTAGGTGCTGCCGAGCAATTCGGAAAAACCGCTTGCCACCGTTTTACTTGTTCTCGACGTGCCAGATATTTTCGTAAAAAAATAAACAAACATAAAAAAAAAAAAAGAGCGCATTAATGCAAGACATTGCGAGCCAGGGTTAAAAAGTTTTGGTGCGCTCTGTGCAACGAATGAACCCGAGAAAAACAAGTGTGCTGTGCGGGTTCAGCGTGCAGACATTGCCTTATTTGCTTTAGCCCACTCCTCTTCACCAACTTTCTTTCGCTGCAGATTATTCATGTACGGAATCCCTCTTGAAAGAAAGCCCACTGAGAGAAACCTAGGTAATCAATACTGCGACACAGCAGTCTTTTAGTTAGAGGGATTTTTATAGTAATGTATGATTTAAATAAGAACAGGAATGTTGATGAACATGCGGCGGTACTTAAGTTTCATTTTAGAAAGCACCATATCTGCAGCGACGTGGGGACGGCAACACCGGATGTCACGCAACCATGGTGACTGGAAGGCAGGGACAAAATATAGTTTTCCCACAGCCATTGCTTTCAGAAGGGAATGCTTCAGGTCACAAAATAACTCCCGCCACGCAAAAACATGGTTTTGTCTCGCAGCATGACAGCATGACTGGTACCCGGCACATTAGTGTCGTAGCGTCCGCACCCGCCCGCGTCCAAGTTGAAAATATAAAAAAAAAATAGACGTGAGACGAGAGCCACGAGACGACGAGAGAGCAAAACGCGAGACGGCGGGAAAATCATGCAAGACCCGATGAATGATTGATGCAGGGTACCTTGTGTCAGGTGGCCGCTTGCGCCACATAACACACACATGGTCAATTACGGTACTCAGTTTAGTTTCAATTTTGAAAGGCGACCGAAATTGTTTTTTTGGTGCAGGCGTGGCACAGATTACCTATATTTTGGCAAAATGTAGCAGGATGTAGCAGGGTTAGCCACTTGGCGCAATTGGCGCAGCAATCACATCACTGCATACGTCATATTCTGATGGTGTTTCAGCTTTCTGCAATGAATAGTTTATTTATGTGAGTGAAAAAAAAACAGGTTTAGTCTTATCTCATGCAAGCAGTGTTTTGGAGTACAACATATATAAAACCAGTGCCCTAAAACCGCAGAAAAACACAAGCCAAACAACAAACAAACAACAGTCACGTTTCCTACTTGACGTACCAGAATGCGTTTCTTCACGTCGTCCATCCCGTAGTGGTCTTCTTCGAGCACCTCTTTTGCTCTCGCTAGGTCGAGGTTCTCTTCGCTAGTCTTCCCCCAGGGAAGACTCGTCAGCCAATCCAAATAGTTGCGCGTCACACTGCACACAAACCAAATGTCAAACAAACAAAAAAAAAAAATTATTAAAAACATTAAAATAACCCTTTTTTTTTTAAAAGCATTTATGGTTTGCTTATTCTTAAGCTGAGACTAAAAGCTCTGCCTTCAGTGCGAGCTTGCTGGCTTCTGCAGAGCTTTGGTCTCGCGTGCCTGCGAGTTTACACTTTTGTTAGCAAGGGCAGAAAGCTTGCACTAAAGGCGTAGCTTCTGGTCTCAGCTTAGGGTGAACGGAGTATAGATGGGCCACATATCTCACAAAATATTTTTTACACACAAAAAACAATTTTTAGCGCAATATTTTTGCCACCAGACACAATTTAGTGGAAAAGATGGAGGTCAAAGCCTGGTCTAAACCCCGCCCAGTGCTTACACCCTGCTTGCACCTCTCATTGGCTGGAGAGATGATTGACGTGTGGAATGTTGGTTGTAAAATTGTTTCTATGTGTGTGATGGCCTTTTGTCCGAGCTATTTTAATGTTTCAAAAAGAAGTGATCCAGACAGAGTCAATTATAGATTTAAAAAATAATCCGAGATTGCCTTTTCCGTTGCTTTCAAACAATAACCAACATGGCTGCCGGCGTTGGCGGCAAGCAGTTCCATACACCGTGTAGCTCGTCGAGCTAGTCTATTTGTTTAAGTCATTTCGCAATCACCGAGATGTTTAGAGGAAGATCTTCTCAACCGATGTAGTTCGCAACAAACAACTGTTGCAAGTACACGCCTTCAGGAGCGCTGTGCAGGTGCTTGTTTTCGTAGCAGGACTGGAATCACGCCTAATGTATCACGTCAGCCATTTTGCTCGAATGGGCTTTATTAGGTCATTTCTACGTGTTGATGCTGAATAAAGATGCCGATTACGGTAAAAGCGGTCCTGCCGCTTTGTGAATCACGCAACCATCGCGATTGTGACCGTGGTTTCAGTACTGAGAAGGTACCTTTACAAGTAAGGATGTGCAAGCCATTTGGCTGAAAGAAATTGGGTGTTTGCCTTGCACCAAGTTTGTCCAGCTATGTTCCTCATACTTTGCTTTAGAAGGCCTGTAGTTTGTGACTGCTTGTAGCTGAGCTAGTTGGTGATTCATGCTTTTGAAAGATGCCAGCTGAACATAGGAAGACACACAAAGAGAGAGGAAGAAAAAAAAAAAAAACGCACCTCCTATGTTTGGCTGGCATCTTTCAGAGGCCTGTGGCTCTCAAGTTTTGTAAAGCACCTGGCATGTCAAGGCGAATATTTTTAGGTTGCATTTTAATTGCACGTCACGACGTTCACCCACCTTGCTCGGAGACGCCATGCATAAACACCAGAAGCACATAAAAGTTGAATAAAACTGCACATTTATCTTGATATTCTTTTTTTTCAGTTCTTTTGGTTGCTTTTTAGTGCATATTGACAGATGCTTACATACGCTTGTATTGCACTGTGGCTCATGCATGATGGAACGCTAGAGTGCCTGTTTCATTGTCGTGTCTTGCAGGCATTGCAGGCGGTTGTAGACGGTGGTGGAATAGCAGACGATGCGGTACTCTAGTGTGGGGTGGTGACACGGTTCGATCTCGAGGCAAATACTGCCTTGCCCGGGGGGCCCCGAAGAGTCCAAACGTGACCTGGGCTTAGCTCAACCACCAGGATCCCTTTTCCCCAGACACAGGTTAAGCTACGCACAGTCAGGCATGCGTGGGTAAACCCACACGACTCTGGGTTTGTGGTGATGCCACTCACCAAGCACCTACTAACGCAAGTGCCCCCTGTGTGCGGGTATGGCGGCCCACGTGGCTGGGGTCCGTGGTGACGCTACTCACCAAGCACCTAACACCTAGGGTGCAGGTGCCCCCTGCGGAGCTCGGGGCGCGTGGAGACGCCACTCTCCAAACACCTACTTTCACGGGAGCCCCCAGCAGGGAAGGTTGACGCCAAAGGACTCAACGTCAAACGACCTCTCACTACATTGTTTTTCACTAAATTTAGTGGGGAAATTGACGTCACGTAACCCGACGACACGTGACGTGGGCACTCGATGTGATGTCACGGTGTCAGGTCGTGGTGCCACGTAAATACAACGACACCACGTGACAGCAATTTCCCTCTAAATTTAGTGGAGAAATCAACGTAGGGTGATCCAACATCAATTTCCCCGCTAAATCTGACAGGGATATACACGGATGAAAACACAAACAAATTCCTGGGACTAGGCTTCCTGGAAACCATTCCACGCTCTACAAAACCATCGTCGCTGGCGTCGCGATTACTTCGGGGGCTTTGAACCGACCTGAACTCCGACGAATGGTTGTCGAGGAAAGACAGCTTGTTCAGCTCCTCTTCGATCACCTCCATCACGGGCTTGGGGACCACCAAGTCCTGCGCGACGCACGTAAACAAATCAGGAAATGGCGAGACAACAAAGAAAGAATGCAGGCTACCTTGAGTCTCTGCTTGAACTTCTCTTCAATGGCATCTTTGTCGTCCTTCTCGAGGCCAAGCTCCTTTTTGATCGCTTTGAGCTGTTCTTGGAGCATGTAACGACGATGTTGGCTTTTCACCTTCTCTTCGACCTGCGGTGCACAACAAAAAGTTTTCACCGCTTGACCGCGCTTCGCTGGACAGTCACGTCTCGTGAAGACGAAGCCTGTTGATGTGGACACGCCGCTGCATAAGAAAACTTTTCTTCTACGAGCTTGGTAAATACATGCATTTTTGTCTCGTTGTAATGGAGGACTCACATTATGGACGATTTCATGGGGAAGGGGGGGGGGGGGGTGAGGTGTCTATATGAATGAGGCACGACTGTACACTGTGTCACCTTACGATGGATTGCTCGGGACGCTACGAGCCATTGAAGTCAATCTAATGCCGCGTGAATGTCATGCGATTTCCGGAAAAAGCACACAGACGCGTGGGGTGCGCTGCCGCGCAGTACTTTCACTAGATTGGCCAGAATGGTTCATAGCATCCACTGCGGTCAGTCGCAAAGTGAAAAAAATACAGAGTTACGCCAGTCTTCTTACTGTGCAAACAAAAAGTGACAACTCGGCACCGTTTGTTTTATACCGGAGCAGAAGACAGACTGCACGTCCCGCTTACGGGTGTTACAGAAGGTAGAGGCAGACGAAGAACACATAAATAGGGGCAAAACAAACAAGAAGAGATCTTGAATAAGAGTATAGGTTTGCATTACAGTGGAAAGCAGCTGCAGAGACAAAAGTTATATCCATACGTTAAAAAATATCCTTTAGGCCATCTTAAAGGCTGGGCCGCTGTTTCGAATATGCTTTGAGCCCTCTAAGTGTCCCAGGACGACATTCCCGATCGGCTCGTGAAATTCTTGTCGACACGCCGAACGTGCGTCTTTCCAGATGTGCCGCACAAGGAAGACGGGAGATGAAAGCGGACAACCAACTGCTTACCTCTTTGCCAATCTTCTGCTGCAGTTTGCTCAGCTCATACTCTTTCTTCAGCAGGGAAAGTGCCAAGAGGAGGCGCTTGGAAATCTGCCAAAAATTGAAGGACAAAAAAAAAAAAAAAAAAGGAGACGGCATTATGGACAACACATATCGTAGCCGCAAGCATTTCCTTTTGGCAGCAGCATAATACTTCACTGCAAAGTTATCACCAGATCGTATTACAGGTGGAACTGGTGAGCCCTTACGTCGGTCTCCTCAAGAATCTGCTGCAGCTCGTGCGATTCGGCTCCAGTAAGTGCGGCTCCTAGAGGAAGAAACAAGGGAAGTTGTCGGGAAGGTTCCTTTCTCACAGTACCTCTAAGGAATGCCCCTTTCGAGCCAATAAAAACGCCGCTTTTATCGTCATTTTAAAACAAAAATATCATAAAAACACACAAACAAAACAAGGCGTACAGTTTGATTTCTAAGAACTGTTAAGGCTGGTTCACACAATTGCGTTTGAGTACAACCGAACGCGCAGCTACCGCCTGCGACTGCTAACGACGAGATGACCAGGGGTTCCCCAAGAATACCATTGTACCTTCCCCGGGCTTCCGAATTTCGTCGACCATCACCCTCGCCCTAGGCAAAGCATTTGTCCAGTTTAAGCAACATTTTAGCAGGACAGTGGGCTACTTATCGATGCGTGACTATGGGCCTCTTTAGTATGTGCATTATCGTTTTCGAGGCCTGCAAGCTTCTGTGCGGCTTTATTGGATTAATGCCGAGGGCAGGAGGTACCTTTGTTGCAGCTTGAAGCGAATAGCGGTTCCTTGAGATTACATTTGGGAACACCCTGATCGATCGAAGTAGCCCATGACATCTAACTAGATTGACGATTTTTTGGTATTGGAGACATCAAATCTATGCGCCGTGTGTGAGAAATGGTTGCTTACGACATTGCCAGAGTTATCTTGTCTCAAAAGTGAAAGGGCTATGCGTAAAAGATTAAAAAATATATATGCGGATCGAAAGGACGGCAATAGTGTGCCAGTGTGTTAAGTAGAGAGAGCCTAGACTAAAGAGCAGGTCCATCTCAGACCACGGGGACCGCTTGCAATTTAATGGCGGACGCCTCTTACAGAGATCGATAGCAAGTGCGCATGCGCTTTCGTTTTCACGAGGCAAGAAGGAAAGTGGGCGGAAAGGCGGAGACGTTCGCCGACGGTTGACGTTTTCGGCTCTTTCTTGCAGCTCGCATTGCAAATGCGTCCTGAAAATGGTGTCGCCCCGATCGAGCGGTTGGACATTCTCTGTAATATGGGCCCTCTATCCGAGGATCGGGCTTGCGGCACCATCTAGGGACGGCGCGCCCAACAGCAGATGACAGCGCCGTTTGCTTTCGATCGTGTCTCGCTGCGCTCGATGGGAGAAGCTGCCACCAGCCCGACATTGGTAGAGAGAATTTATTACAGAGTTTTTCCAACTGCTCTCCAGTGATAAGCAGTTAAAAGGGAAGGCTAGACGATTACTATCGAGCAGTCCTGATTTCACCCACTAATAAAACGTTCACTGACTGGTTACGGGGAAACGGAGTGCGCTCGAGCAGAGTGAAAGGCAAATGTGCGAACCGGTCTCGAGACTATCCAGTTGTTTCCTCACCGAGGTCGGAGAGGTAGACAGGGTTGTCCACCACACGCTGGCCAGCCTGGATCATCTGCTGGATGGACTCGCGGTAGAGGGGGTTGAGGGCAATGATGTCTCGGATCGTCTTGACTATCTCCTGCGTCACTGCCTGCACAAGTATACGAGCACCGTGCAACAAAATTTAGATGTGGTACCTTAGATAGCTTTAATTATAAATGTATCAGTAATGTTGCCGAATTTTAAAGGGGCACTGACACATCAAAATCATTTTTCTTTTTATTATCAGAAACAATTAAAAACGATGCCGGGACACTACCCACAAAAATTTGAAATTTGGGAATTCAGTATTTGTGAAGTAAAAAAACAATTTACAAATGCCGAATTCAAAGCTCCCGCGCGATCCGCACCGGTGCGTTGACGTCAAATATTGCGGAGTCCTGAGAGTCCACTTTCTTTCACGACTCCCTGCTGTTGCCATGGCGACCCAAAGCGAGGAGGAAAGGAGCCAGCGCCGGCGGACCGGTTTTGAGCGGTGTCGCCTGTTTTCCGTGGGAGGATACAAATCCAGGAGATGGCACCACAACGAACTCCCGATTTTTGGTATTTCAAAAAGAAGGGCCGTAGTGCATTTGCAATTGTGTTAAAAACATGTTTTAGGATTGCCATTATTAAATGTTATAAAAATGTCGCCTACAAAGCTTTTAAGTTTCATGATTCTCGACGTCGCGAATCAAAAGAAGCGAGGAGGCGAGAGGCGGGAGAATCAAACGCCAAAAATAAAAAAATGCGCACGCGCGCGCGCGAGAAAATTTTTTTTTTTTTTGCGATGCGTTTTTTTTTGCCTGTCTATGACTGCAACTTGCATCGTTTTAGACAATAAAAAAAATATGACTTTTGGGGTGTCAGTGCCCCTTTTAAGAACCGTAAACACTTTAATTTTTTTTTCTTATTTTACAAGCATTAAAATGAAGTTTTCCTTTGTCCCTTGGAGCTAGGTTTTTTCCCCAATGTGGGAAATTTTTTATGATTCAGAAACAGTGATACATACTCCCTGGAAAAGAAAATCGTCACCGAAAGATTGCTTGCCCGATCCGGCCTGTGTGAAGAATGACTCCGTGATATACATTCTAGAATATTATGGTATCCAAATATAGCGATTGGGAAATACAAGTTTGTTACTACTTATTCCAGAGCACAACATTTCGAGGCAAAACATACCTAATAAGCATCTACTCTAGCTCAACCATTCATACTATGAACGGTAATCCACTGGAACGACCTCCAACCATACATTGCAACTGAAGCCGATCTAACACAATTTCAAGAACTCGTGCGCAGTGACAATAACATTCAGCCATTTCTCTTGTCTACTCTAACTGTACTTTGCTCATACTCCTCTCTTTTGCTTCTCCTGTTACTGCACACACTTTGTTTTGCTTCTTATGCTCACATTTTCCTTCTTTCTGTATTTCTTATCAAAAACAACCCCCTCCCCCCCTTCCCTCTAATAAACTCCTGTGCCTCTAGAAGTCTTCTGAATTAATAAAATAAATCACCATATCATACATACAGTACCTACTTACCACCTACGAGTGGCGTAGCCGTGGCTGGGACGTTCAAGGGGGGGGGGGGGGGCTGAAGCCTCATAAGTTTCCCCCCTGTCTATGCTACTGCCACCTACTGATAGTTACGCCTGCTTTCGTCTATGAGCGCATACCCCTGCCTCAGTTTGCGACGTCCTGAAAAAAGTCTTCTTTAAGATAAAAATAGGAAATGAACATGCCTTCATCTCTTCGCTGACAACAAACTTCTCGTGAGGAACATTCTCAACTTCGACGGTGAGCACAGGACCGGTGGGAACAGTGTGGTTTTCCGCAGTCACCGCATCCTCTGCCTCGACGCTCGCAGACGAGGAATCGGACAGCGGCGCTGTAGTCGCATTGACGCTACGACCGTTGCCACGCCGACTCCTTCTGCGATTAGACCTCCTGATGGTCTCGTCTTCGTCGGCTAGCGTTGTTAGAAAAATAGTAGACAGAAAAAAAAAATATATTAGGATTTGGAACTGAGAAGCAAGCAATGTTATCAGTGGCATATTAGATTCCCGTTTGAAAACATTGGTATGGATTCAGCACTGTATTTTCTCGACCATAGTCCGTGGACTATGGACTATAGAAAGATTAGTTCTTTTCTCATCATTAGTTCTAACAGAACGTGACAAACTTTGTGAACGACAAAGCACGTTGACAATGATTTACATATGATAGTCAAACGCCTTTATAACGAATGCCTCTATTAAGAAAATGTCCGTTTAACTAAGTAAAATAAAGTCCACGCCAATTTCCTGTGTGTTCAATCTGTTCCTCTGACTACTACAACAAATTCCTGTTTACAAAATATTTGTTTAACGAAGCAATTTTGTGGCCCCACAAAGCAAAAGCAACCGGTATTGTGAATTTTTAAGTGAAAAATTATTGATTTTATGTAAATCGTCGCACTCAAGTGACTCGTGTAGAGAAGAGAAAATCTGATGCAGCAATGATGATCGAAACATCCGCCGCGCCGCCGTGCATTCTCGGTTTTGGGTCCAAATAATTTGTGTGTGCGCAGCCTTGTGTCCAGATGGTGCTCCGTGACTATGACTATGTTGCTGTGTAGAAAGCCTGTACACAGCAACATAGTCACGTAGCACCATCTAGGCACAAGGTTGCACACTAACAAATTTAAACCCAAAACCGAGAATGCGCAGCACGGAAGTGGAGCAAGCAGCGTGACGGAGGTAATCCCGCGCCTCCGCTGCGCGTTACCGGGCGCTCTCGTGCATAATTTCCTTTCGCTCACATCGTTGAGTATGCGCCACTCCGCTCCAAGTCTAGTTTTTTTTCAATGCCCCATCCGGGCAATGCGCGCACTTGTTTTCTTACTTTGTGTGTATGTCAGTGCATTTGAAAGGACCCCTGCAAATGAGAGTATATGAAAAAAAGAAGTGTTTGCATCGGCAGTCGCAAGTTTTTTGTGCTGTTTTGGCATCTGTTCGACCGAAGCACCAATCTTCATCATGATCCAAGGTTCCCGATCTTGCTCGATCGGAGTCCCAAATCGTTTCACCTTGGAGCTATAATGTGCGGTCGAAGAAAACTATCTGCGACGCAACCCGTGACGCCAAAATCTAATCGAAATAAGTAGAGCCACACAGAAACGTGCCCCTTTTTGCGCCGGACAGTCGTGAAAAAGAGCTCGGAGGACTGGATTAAGAAATAATGATGCCCTGGGCTAATGAGCACATTGCCTCTGGGTAACCACTATACTACTAGAGTATTTAGTTATGAAAGTGAGAAAATTGCTTCAAAAATTAGAGTGGTCCAGCAATATCGCCACGGGGTACTGGTGTTCGACACAGTTTTCATGCGCATGAACATCTTTATCTCCTTTCCTTCCATCAGAAAGGTTGTGCGTGGTGAAGAAAGTCGGACAGCTCTGAATCGAAAATAGTTTGCACATGAAAGAGTAAGCGGAACTCCGGACTTTGAATAGATTTAAGAGTGCCGGCCGAACGCTTCTCCATTTACAGCCTTTCCCGCATAATGCGTTTCTCACTTTCATACTTTCTTTAGTAAACTAAAACATTTTCGCTCAATTCCGAAAATATGTTGGCCTCTTCCCGTGGCATTCCTCCCGAAACCTGGCAGTTATAACAGCTGGCCACTTTGCTGGGTCACTTTGAACAATCACAGAGCCTACCCCATACTGCTGGCGAGCCTGTCCCCAAGTTTCTGTCCAGATATGAAGGCAGTCGATCAGTCTTCTAGAGGCACATGTTGCGGGTGGGAGGACGAGTAACTGAACTCCAAGAGAACAAGCGAGGGGGCAGCTGGATCATTGTTTTCAGGCAATTCAACAAGCAAGCTTAAGCCGGACGGCTGTGTTCGTTGTTGGCTCACATTTTTTCTCTTTCCAGACGAATGACATCGCAGCCGAAGAAAAAAAGCTGGCCTAACAGACATAGAATGCAAGCAGTACATTACTGCGTTGTCCCTGTGTATGCACATGCCCTCGTCCCAGTAGAGCCAATCAAGGTCCAAGGGGTGGATCCCCGTGCCTGTGTTTATTCTACCATTACCACGAACACGGTGCTCCATGATTCAATAGGACCTTGAGAATATTTTCCCTCTGGGAAAGATTGCCTGAAAAACTTTCTCCAGGTCATCTATTCTTAACTGAAAAATGATTTCTACGTACACCGCAAATGAGAACCTCATGTGCTTTCTTGTGAATCGCAGCACGTTTTTCTGCAGTGGTAGAACGAGGGGCTGTTTGGTACACATCTGGTTCTGACTAGGAGCAACTTCAAACCGAGAACCTCGCGGCAAAGGCAGCCCACCAACGCGCACCGAAAGACGAGGCGAAAACGTTATGGAGTGCTCCAAGCAGCGTCACCAATGTTTTCTTTTATCGAAATGAAGATCTGAGCCTGGTTTCAAAGGCCTGTGCAGTAACAATACAAGCCCGATGACTAAGGGCATCCAACACACCCGCACCTGGTTGTGTTTCTTGAAGAGTGTCTCGCGAGCTTTCCTTTTAGCTGGGCCTGCTCAGATAAAAGGATAATGAGGGACTCTTCCAAAGGCACTGTAGCACGACCCCTCTATGCCCCTTTCCCGTAGTGGGAGAAGGCAATCGAGCTGCAGCGACTGTATACCAGGGATTGACAGAAAACCACAAAAAGCTCCGCCACAATCTGTCGGCAAACGTGGACCCAAACGTGGACCGCCTTGTAGAAAGGGGCCCCTAAGAGAGGCGGGGGGAGCGCTTTTTTTTTTTTTTTTTGAGCTTCACAGGGTTACTTGAAATGATTGGGCTAAACTAAGTTACAAAAGGCGAGGGCCAGGTCTCCTTGTTTCAGTGTCCTCGTTGCGTGCGTGGTGCCTGCAGTTGTGTTATAGGGGGGTTCATATATTGAGCCCGTTGGAATAAATGGGCCCCCTACCCTCGCTCTTGACGGTGAGGCCCTGGGATGTAGCCTCCTTAGCCGCCCCAGTCCCGTTAATTCCAGCGCCGCTCAGTCGGCTCAAATGTGTGCCTCTCCCCGTCCTCTTGCGTGCCGAGTGCTTGGCCAATTCTGCTGTGCTGCCGTATGCTGCCGCGCCAGCTCCTCCGCCATCTAGTGACTATACATGCAATCGAGAGCAGTGCAGCGACTTCGACTGCCTCCTCCGAATGACACGTGGCTACGCGAGCCGCCGCCCGATTTAGGAAAGGCCACACTGAATCGACGAACACCTTCGCTGTGTGATCGGGGGTTCATGTCGGTGGTTTAGTGATTGTTGCAATTCATATCTTGATAAGTCGGTCAAGTTTGTTGCGTGGAAGTTTGGACAGCGGGAAATAAGTCTACAGCCAAGACCCAATGTCTCGGCTGTAAACTACAAAGTTTGCCAGTGGCGGTAATGGCGAGACGACCGCTAGCCTGGCGTCTTTAAATTGCGCCACGCAGTGGTATTAACACAATTTTTATTTAGGAAAAAAAAAAAAAAAAGATGGCAATTCAGCCTGGATTTTTTGCAGAGCGAGCTTTCGCCCCACGTGCTCCGAGCTGCAATGCTCTAGCAGCCTCTGCCACCGTTCTCCTTTTTGATAAGACACCTGTCAAAATACAAAACACTGTTTCTGATGTCACTCATACTCTATTTGGTGCTATGCTGCTTCCTAAAACGCATCTAATGTCACGCAGATAGATCAATATGTGATAGCACAAATTCGGTTTGTGCTAGATTGATTTTTCGTGTTCAACTGCGACAAGGAAGGCACCCGAGATACGAAAAATTTGGCCAGCCCTGCGGACTTAGTTATAAAAGCATTTGACTGTACAGGTTTCTTTGCGAGCTAATAAAGTGGGTGCTTATCAAGGTGTGCTGTGTATGGGAATTTTTTATGTCGGGCTAGGCACCAGGTGTGGACAATCCAAGGAGAAACTTTTTTCAACAGAAATTTGTCCCTGTCGACTATGCACCAAGTGCGGACCATGGTCTGAAAAATATGGTACTCAACAGTCCAGGGAGCTAACGCGGATTCTTGGCAACATAAAGAATGTTGTAACGTATGAAACAGAGAACGCTTGTTACGTGCGGTTCTGCGATGTATGAATCTGTGCCAGTTTCAGTCCAAAGCATGATGGAACTGCCGGTGTCTACCTACTATGTACGCAAACATGTTGTGGCACATTCGTTGAAGGGGAAACCACACAAAAGGCATATTACAGAACTAAACTTCAACATTAAAATTCAAAAGGCTGTGCATTCGACTCCACGTTTCACTGTCAACAAGAGAAAAAACACTGCCAACTATGGTACCGAGCAGAATGCTCATGCATTCAATGTGCAGAGATTTGGAGTATCTATATTCTATATCAAAACTCTTACCTTCAAACAGCTGCCGCACAATCTTCACCCTAGGATTTAAAAAGATATAACAAGGAGATGAGAGTTAATTATTAAAAAAAAAAACATTTAGAGGTTCTTAAACTAACTTAACAACCACTACTATTTCACACTTTCAGCTAAAATATTTCAATGACAAAAACAAGAGTATAAAAATGCGATAACAGAAAAAACCAATAAAAAAAACACAAATGTTTTTAATAAATGTATGATTGACACAAACACATCCTTCAAGGCTGCATGCTTATGACAAAGGATTGTTCAGTTAGATAAACACCCTGCCACTGTACTTTGCTTCATCAGAAGTAAGAGCGCAGTTGAAGCGTGGAAGACATACAAACACGAGCACACAAACCAAAAGCACAAGCACATACAAACACAAGCCATTCAAGCACAGTGGTGCAACCACTGTGCTTGAATGGCTAAGCAGATTATAACAGATGCACAACAAGATGACAAATGCCGTGACGTTGCACCTTTCACACAATGATTGGCCCTCACCTCCTGTGGGCCATCACAATCATTCGCAGTTTCTCCCCGAGATCCTGGAGCTCATGGATTTGAACAAACGTGCCAACACTGTACAGGTCGTTTAGGCTTTCAACCACTTCAGCTTCATTGCTGAAAAAAAAAAATAGGACACAGTTTAATTAATTTTGTGTTTGCCCACAACAAACTGCCTCAGTAATGCTGCCCTTGCATTGCTCTCAGTTAAAATGTTTAAAGGGAAACTGAAACGGTTCTCTATTTGAGGAGAAACAAGCCTCCAGTATCACGAATATCCAAATTATTTTTTTATTTGGTGCACAAAGGCTGCAGAAATTAATTTTCAAATTACTACCGAAGTTCCTTCTTCCTGGAGCGTGACGACATATTAGGAGTTTTCGGAATCTTTGCTCTCACGCATCTTCAGCGCCTATCAAAGCTAGACGTCACAACTTGTGTCAGTGCAGGGGAATATATCTGACAAGCCTGTAATTGCATGCCCTGCCCACACGAGCGACACGCGCTTGGCAGCTGACTAGTAGGAGGTTTTTTGTGTTTTCTTATGTTTAGTTAAATCTTCGGGGAAAACAAACGTGATATTCAGATTCACGGGATAAAAATACTCTAGAATTCACCTAACTCATTTTTTTTTTTTTTTTCAAGAACCTCTTCAGCTTCCCTTTAACCCCTGAGTATTCTAGAGATGCTAAGAACATTGGCAGTTTTAGGTGACAAGCTAGCTAATGCATCCTTAATTTGACAAATTTAAATCCTACCCAAGATGCTAGGAACTGGAAAAACGCTAATGCAACAAATAATTTTGCTTGCAGGTTAAAGCATCCCAAGCATTCAAAATTCATCTCGGAACACACCTTATTGACCTAAGAAGCAAGGGGGATTGTAGCATCATCAATGTTTCAATTGTTTCATCCGTAAGCTATCATGCACAAGGCCATAGCATTCTGCACCAAGACACGTATATGTGGATGGCAATTATAATGTCTCTCTCAGAAAGAATTCAGAATTGTTTCACTCTCACCGAGGAATCTGATGTTGCATTCTCAACTCCAATCTTTTCCACTTCAAGACATGTCTGTACTGTGTAGGTTGTATTGTGCTTTGTTCGCTTTTATTTCCCTCATGTAATTTTTTATGTTAGATCAAATAAACTAGAAACTGTGTAGTATTCAATAATATTCCTTTTTAACTACTAGAGACACAGTTACAGTGTTGAGGCGGGTGCATTGGTATGGTCTAAAAACTTACGAAAGAATTACATATCTATCGACATGTTGCAAGTCAAAAGATAAGCTGACCTATATGTAATTCTTTCATAAGTTTTTACAACTGTGTTTTCGACAAACAAAAACTTAGGGCGCAAACAAGCTGGTGAAGGTTCAACATTTTAGGAAAAACCCCAAAACTGGGGGAAGAAAAGGAGAACACAACAGTCTCAAACACAGCTGAAATTTATTGGACAGAATATCGTGGTTTTATAGGGTACAAGTGCCCCGAAATCCAAAAGGAAGGAAAAAAGGGGAGGTTGAACTTCTTTTTCCCGAATGCACAAGAGATGAAGGACATTGACCAATAGCACACCGGTACTGTTCTATGCCATCAAGGCTGGCATAGTCGGGAATTTAGTAGATTGTGCACTTAGAAAATCTTGTTTGCACTCCATTGGTTCTGAGCTCCAACGCCTTTTTAACCGTTTCAGCATGGCAGGTTTTCCCGAGGATTATATATTCAGACAGTTGTTGTACCGGGTTAATATGAGAGACAAATGCCCAAAGGTTTGCAAATCTGCCGGATGTGTTGTTCTCCCTTTCTTCCATCGTATTTCTCATAATCTAAAATCGGTCGGCAACCGTTACAGCATTAGCACTGTGTTCAAAAATGATTTCAAACTAAGTCGGTTGACTCCGTTCAACTTCGCCAGAACTGGATGTACCAAAATACATATAGAAAAAGATGTTGATTGTGTGTCGGGCGTAGTATACAAGATTCCTTTTGCCTGTGGGTTACAAACGAAGCGGTGTTTGAATGATTGTTTAACTGAACACAAACATTGTATTAGACACAAAGATCAGTATTCAGAAATGTCAAAACATCTGTTAGAATGTAATAATTGTGTACCTCTGTGGAATTCCACATTGGTTCTGTTGACTGACAGAGAGGATCATAAACAGTTAGTAAAAGAGTCCGTCACTATTATTAGTCACGGAAATGCAGTAAATAGGCGGTCTTTTAATTTGGACACGGAGCTGAAAAGATTTCTACAAATTTGATTGTTTGAAGGTCACCTTTATATTTGTGTAGGATGTTGTTTGTTTGGGTTTAAGTTTCAGCCCTGCCCCTTTGTTTCGGGTGTGACGAATGTCAGGGGTTGTTTGCCTTTGTCCATGTTCAATCTTTCACTTAAAGGGGCACTGACACATCAAAATCATATTTTTTTTTATTATCCGAAACGATTGAAAACGATGCCGGGACATTACCCTCAAAATTTGAAATTTGGGAATTTAGTATTTGTGAAGTAAAAAAACAATTTCCAAATGCCGAATTCGAAGTTCCCGCGCGATCGGCGCCGGTGCCTTGACGTCAAAAATTGCGGAGACCTGAGAGTCCACTTTCTTTCACCACTCCATGCTGTTGCCATGGCGACCCAAAGCGAGGAGGATAGGAGCGAGCGCCGGCTGCGTTGCGGCGGACCGGTTTTGAGCGGTGTCGCCTGTTTTCCGTTGGAGGATACAAATCCAGGAGACGGCACCACAACGAACTCCCGATTTTTGGTATTTCAAAAAGAAGGGCCGTAGTGCGTTCGCAATTGCGTTAAAAAACATGTTTTAGGATTGCCGTAATTAAATGTTATAGAGATGTCGCCTACAAAGCTTCTAAATTTCCTGATTTTTGACGTCACCGATCAAAAGAAGTGAGGAGGCGAGAGGCGGGAAAATCAAACGCCAAAAATAAAAAGGCGCGAAAATTTTTTTTCGCGATGCGGTTTTTTTTGCGTGTCTATGACTGCAACTTGCATCGTTTTAGACAGTAAAAATAAATACGACCTTTGGGGTGTCAGTGCCCCTTTAATGGGTCACCATCCGCAACCCTTTCTTTTGTGATGTGTATCAGCACCTCACCGAGGTGAGATAAGAGATCTTCCCCCTCCCCCCTTTTGTTTGAGTTAGAACAGTACCGGTGTGCTATTGGTCAATGTCCTCCCTCTTTTGTGCATTCGGGAAAAAGAAGTTCAACCTCCCCATTTTTTCTTCCTTTTGATTTTCGGGGCACTCGTACCCGATAAAGCCAAGATATCCTGTCCAATAAATTTCAGCTGTGTTTGAGACTTTGTGTTGTGTTGTCCTTTTTTCCCCCAAGTCTCGGGGTTTTGTCTAAAATGTGTTTTTGATTGTAGAGTTGTGGGCACCTCGGCTGAAGTTTGAACTGAACTTTCGACATGCAGGCCGTTGCTGTACCTCGAAGCCAACGAGTTGGCTATGCAAGAGAATATTGGGCTCTAATGTGCTTGAATGCCCTCAAGAATAAGCAAGTCTGTAGGTGTGGCTGAACTAGACTTGGTAAGATTTTAAGCATCAAACTGAAGAGATGAAACAAAGAGAAGAGATAAGACAACCTTTCATCTTTCTTGAGGAAAACCCCGGCGTATGGTTGATTCAGCCTCACTTTTCTTCTGATCAAGTCCACAAGTGAAGGATTTGATATCTGCAATTCATTCACCAGAGAAAAGAGACCACATAAAATTTTTGGAGACTAATGCAAACACTGACACGCATTGCATCATCCTCACCTCCATGTATCCAAAGAAAAGTGTTCTTAAAACACCAAATGAGCATCACATTATCTACCAAAAGTGCGTCAAGAATTAGAAAATGGACCATATCATTGCCATGATGCCCATAAGGACGGCCTGTAATGACCCCATTGGCCTCATAACACTTATGGGCATTTTTGCCGGAAATGCAGCTTCGCAAGATACGTTTTACGCTACAAAACTTGTTGTTACTAACAAACAATTAGTTGAAGCATTCCCAAAATAGTGAAACAATACACGGCTTGCGCCGACGTCATATTGCATACTTTTGACCACCACAAAAGAGAGAGAGAGAGAGGGAGGTAGGCTGCTGTTGTAGGAATTTTTTAATATCCTATGATCTTCTGGGAGGAGAACAGCGACATCTGGGCAAATTTCGAAGACACAGAAGAGGGTCCTGGCAAGAAGGGAGCTCCTTATTCACCTCCTCTCTGGTGGCCATTCAAGCGCTCTTTTGATGACGTCATGTGCAAGCCACGTATACAACTACTGACTGTCACTTCCGGACTACGAGTGTGTCCACACGAAAATTAAGCAAGCACGCCCGCCCTGGCCAAAGGAAGTGCCACCACTCTGATACAAACGACGTGCCTGTGAGAGAATCAAATTGGTCAGAAATACACCAGCGGTTATGACTCATAACCGCTGGTGTATGATCAGCAAAGGATCGGGCTCCCCGAGTTATTGGGAAAACCCTTGGGTTCCTAAGAACTCGGTTTGAAAACCTAGGGGGTAGCTTATTGAGAATCTTACATTTGTTACAGCCAAAACGCGCCGAATCAGGCTCCATTTTCTGTCTACCACGTTAGAGCATAACAAAAAGCTAATTAGTCTTTTTGTTTCCTAACGAAGAGGGGAGACGAGAAATAGGTTGCAAAATGCTATCGTACCTCTACCATCTTAATAAACCTAGGGAAGACAGGGTTCCGGCTGACTGCAATCACCGGCACCTGCGGCCAGGATTCGGGCACGGTCAATGCCGCCACGGCACCCACGCCTTGCCCCGGATAATGAATGACGCTGCCTTCGTTGTTCTTGGGCGGATCTTCGTCCGGCAGGTCGTCGGGCTTTTGCTGATCGCAGTAGAGCCGAACGCACTGCATCCGCGAGCTTGGGCGACCACGCACCCCCGACACGAACCCGGCGAAGACTTCGGGTGTCTGGTATCCACGATGAAACGCCGGATTCCCGTGCCATCGCGCACCCGACGCACTCAAATACCGCCAGCTGTTGCCACCGAACCAACCTAACCGTCTAGGGGGCCTCGGGAAACTTGTGAAGTTCGTGGGAGCTGGTCGTTTCAGCGCTGCGGCGTTGCATGGTGTTGCCGTTGTCGTCAGTGAACGGGTATTGTTGGTCACACACGGTGAACGGCAGCTGCATGTTAGCGTTTTCCGGACTGCGTCTGCGAGTTTGGGCGGAATTGGGCCGTAGCTGCTGGCTTGCGAGGCGTGCGGAGATGTTGAAAAGAGCTTAAAGTGGGAAAGCCGCATGTGCTCCCGCAACAAGGCGGCCATGACTGTTTTTCATGTTTTTTTTCACCATGCCGGCTGCGTTCGTTTGTTCATTCTGCTTTTTCCAAAAACGCTGAGCTCTTTTTGACTGAAAAAAGCTACGTACCGTTGTGCCGACAGAACGCCCAATAAGTTTGTGTGTTTCAGAAAAACACATTAGACGCTTTCTTTAAAAAATTTATAGCAAATACAAAATTAAATTATTTATTTAACAAACACGTGACATCAACCAACTTCACACTAACTCTAACCAACCCAACCAATCCAAAATATGACGTCATTTTAATATACTCGTTCAGAAAGAGCTATAAGTTTGAACTTTGAGGTAACTTGGGGTGACCACGTCAACACGCCCGTAGTCTGTCAAATGAGGGACTTTCACATAATTTTCGTTCCTTCGGCGACAACCGTGGCTTCGTATGTTGTGCCGAGTCAACCGCGTTCGGACGATGTTTGTTCTCTCTTGATTTCCGAAAACCTAAATACCGATTGGGTCGTTCGGTTTATTTTTCTTTTAAAGGCAGATTAGCCTTTAGCGTAGTCGGGGGCGCGACGGAGCGCGCAAAATCGCCGGCGACGATGATGAAGGCGACCTCGGAGCTGCTGTAAACAAGCGAGCGTCCGCAAAAATGGCAGCGGAACTAGACTTCGAGCATCCTCGACATCGAAAACATCTGAAAGGAAATGCGGCGAGCCAGCAGGATGACGAACGGGAGGCGGCCTTCCACGACGAGTACGACCCCTTCGCTGGAGACGGAGACTTGATAGAAGATGACGGTAGCATCTCGTTGACAGCTCCACCACAATCCCAGTAAGTTTGCTTCCTCCCTCCCCTCCCTCTTCAAGAAAACAAAGAAAAAAGAATAACTTACAGTTAGTGGCGTTTCGGTTTGGTTCTCTTGAGTAGTGTTTGGGTTTAAGCTCAAAATTGCAAACAAATAGGGCTCAATGATCGCTGTAAATCCGCCACCGTCTCACCAAGCTCTCATGACGACGGCTTTTAGAGTGGATATCTGTCTTTACGGTGATTAAACAGCAAGTCAGAAAAAGAAAAGAAAGAGAACTACACAGAGCACTTTTTTGTCATTTTCACAGTGAGCAAATATGCGTCTCAGTACATAAGAAATAAGAGACTGAAAGAGTTGGAGCAACATTTTTGAGTTTCAACTGCTTGTGATAGTGTTTGTGCTTAGATGCATATTTGTTGCAACAGCGATTAACAGTAGCAGAGGTAATTGAAGAATACCCCAGAACCATACCATAAAGTGTCCAGAGAAAACGAAAAAGTGGCATAGCTCATTTGTTATGCAAACATGAGCTTCCAGGCTGCAGACTCTTTTCTTTGGTCATGTGCCCTCCTTTGGGTAGCCAAATGAACACCACATCAGTGTAGAACTGCTATTGTTGCAGAGTATACAAGCCTAAAAAAATGAACCCATGTACAAACCATTGCACGGTGTCTTCACATACCCCACGATGCACCATGATCTTTCACAGGGAGTTTTTTTGAAGGAAATCTCTGTACTTGTAGCAAACTCACCTTTTTAAGAAGTCTGCTATGAGGGTATTTGGTGGCATCATGTGCACTACTAGATGTCAGACAATGAAGCTAGATCCTGTTGGCTCCATTGAGCTGTAATGGCCTGGATTACGTTACCCAAATGTTGCGTTTGTACCCAGCGGTGATGTTTTTTTGTTTTTTTTGCCTTTACCGTAAAATACCGAGGAAGCGCCCATACCCGTACAAGCGCCCACTATTAACATTTTTGAAATTCGAAAATTTGGGCAAGTACACATCAAGCGCCCTAATAAGCGCCCATAGTTGGCTTTACGCGTATTTCGATAAAATGAGGGTGGGCGTTTCTTCGGTATTTTACGGTAAGCTATTATTACAGGTTGGGGTAGTTTTTTCTGAAAATCATAGATTGGGTGCTAGTAGATCAAATGTGCTTTCTAGATCGGTCATTTTGTCCAAACCAACTAGCATCTTAACACGATAGCTTTCGCACAAAATGCGACAGTTTTGAAGGGTTTACAATGGCGGTGGCTTACTTTTTTTTTGTAAATAATGCCTTTTTTGGAGGAAATACTCGTGCGATGCTGATCAACTGTAATTTTCTCACTGAAACTTCTTAACAGACAATTGTAAGTTTTGTATTATGAATGACAATCCTAGTTTGGGAATGCACTACTCATTGTCGAGAGTTTCAATCATAACATGCAGCGAGTCTGTCATTTTATGCATGTGGCCATTAGTCCTTTTTAATTTCTCACAAAACGCACTGCAAGACACTGTTGGCGTGACCAGGTGAAAGCCAGTCCGTTTCCTTTTTCTCTCCTGTCATCAAATCTACTAGTGAGTTGCAAAGTGCTCATTCGGAGCACTAATGTTAGCGGTGACATTTGATGCCCGAGAAAGGGTAATGTGTGGTGCCGCGACCCAGGTGGTACCATGGCCGACTTGACCGTTACACTGCGGAACAGCGCCTGCAATCCGCGGGCGGTCTGGGTCGGTACCTGCTCCGAGAGAGCGACCGCAAGCCCGGTTCCTACGTCCTCTCCTACCTGGGGCACACCGGCATCAATCACTTCAGGTGCTTTGCTTTCCTTGCCAACCTTAGAGTCTGGTCTGCACATGTGCCTCTGACTGACTGACTGCTTTGCGACTGCTCCTAATCGTCTATCTATGCACAGGCATGCTGGCACCATCAATTAGCAGCCCTGGGAATTTCTTACCTGTGTGTAAATGTACTGAAGGTATTGCGGTATTTGCGGGATGAAATCTAGGCACTATCTACGAGAAATGTTCGCTGGCAAAGGCACACGCTGCGGACGGTTGTTGTGATATGATGTTTATGAATCGCCGAGTTTGTGAAACAAAGGGGTACGACGATTCTTGCCACAAGTGGATCGTTTGAAGTCTGCAGAAGCTTTCAAATTTGAGTGAAAAAGGGGGGGGGGGGGGGGCTGCGCAAATGCGTCCACCGTGTGGGAAAGACCAAATTGAACAAAGTGTTGGTGATGCCGAGGGAACCATAAAAGATTTATTGAGGACGACACTTGACCTCTCTGGAAGAGGTGCATGTGTTGTCCCCTGTCCCACTTGTTGATTCATTGTTTATCGGCATTTAACACATTCGTGGTTCACCAACTCAATCAGCTGACCGCCTCACTAATTGCTTATTCTTTCCGAGTACCCTCACATCTTGGTGAATGCAGTGTGTGCCTGTGAACATGTCACATTAATCATACTTGTCAAAGGCTAAGGATTTGCACTTTTTATGGGCTCAAGTTGTGGCTAATCGACAGTTTGCCGTGCAGACCTTGCTGGTTGGTTTCATTTTTATTTTTGTTTTCACAATGTTACAGGATTACTGCCGTGTGCGGGGATTACTACATCGGCGGCCGTCAGTTCGATTCCCTGTCGGACCTTATTGGATACTACACTGGCTGGTCAGACCTGCTCAAGAAAGAGCGCCTGCTTCAACCCGTCTGCCCTCCCGAGGTTTGCATTCACTTTGTCGCACCTCTGCTAAGCGAGGCAGGAGGATCGAGACACAAGCATATCACAAGTAGGACATTTACCGAGTGTCCTTGTACACTGGTACCACAAACAGCGGTAGTGCAGGCTAAAACAGACAGTTGTTGGCAATGATAGCATAAGTTGAAACATGAGTGTTGCTGCCATTATGCCCTGTCGTGCTCACAAGGGCAAAATCTTTCCCACGCAGCCGGTCAACGACAAAAAGCGGGCCATCGCTGTTCTGCCGTACGTCAAGATGGCGGACACAGACGAACTTAGGTGAGCTTTTTCGACTTTATCCACTCATAGGGTTGCCTTTAGTAGCTTTAACAGCATTACGCTAGCCTCGACAACGTGGTACAAGAAAGTTTGCAATGCTCGTAACAGCATTTATGCTCCATTCTGGGTCACATTTCGAAGCACAGAATCTTTACCTGTTTGTATTTTTATTTCTTTGTGTAAAAATCACGCAGACGACCTGGTGTGAAGTAACAAGTGACGCTGAAAGTGTGCGGTTTTGGTTGTGGTGTGCAGTTTTCAGAAGGGAGACATCTTTGTTGTCCACAACGATATGGGTGACGGCTGGCTGTGGTGCACCCTTCACCGCACCCAAGAGAGCGGGCTCGTCTTCAGGGAGCTGCTGGAAGAACTGGTACGCTGGCCTCCACGTTTTTTCGTAAAGCCTACCGCAAACTTTATTTGAAATCAACAGTTTGAATGGAAATCAGAGGAAACTTTCATTTGGCATTCAGATGTCTGTTGCTCTTGTTATTAATTCCTGGCCATCTGGTCTGTCCACTCAGTAGCACTTTGCTGTGTGGTACTGTTGGAAACATTCAGAAAGGTAAAGAGCAACAAACAACATCTGGAGGCCAAGTAAATGCTTTCAGATGGTAGCTTTTTAATGCGGAAGCATTAACTGTCCCACGGAGCGAGCCGACGTCATTGGCTTCAAATGGCCCCTTAAATTCTTTCTCCAAGTTCAGCTAGCTCCCAGCTATGAAACCACGCGAAAAGCCTGACAATGGCACCTAGTTTCCCTGCTTCGGTCGCGTTGGCTGGCGCGCATTGGCTGGCGTGCGTCGACGAGGCTCCCATTGGCCACTGTGCCTCAGTTTCAATGCCTGCTCACCCCATGGCACTGCATGTCTGTCAGCGCACCATTAACACGGAGCGTCTAAGGTCAATGCGCCCAGGAGAGAGCGCGTGTTGACCGGCGACGAAAAGTATGCAGTGGATGAAATAAGGAAGCGGTCCAGCCGCTTGCATGCTTTCGCATTCAGAACTCTTAAGAAGTGTTAAGGTGTACTTCGAGCATTTTTTTTTTTTTTTTTTTTTTACTGAGATAGTGGAGTTTTAGTTAAACAAAACTTCGAAACAGCAAAATAGCCTGAGGGGCGTGGAGCGGATAGCGGTAGCGCTGTATCTGCCGGAGAGTGCACAAAACAGGCACCAAAACTGAAATGCAAGCCAGACTTGTGGTCGGGCTTTCTGATCCGTAATGGATGACGCTCATGATTAGTAGACAGGGGGTTAAAAAAACACCAACACCCCCAAAAACAAAAAAAAAATATATATCTTTAGGCGGTTTATTATGGTGTCAGAAGACTGCCCAATCAATACTTTGCTACTGCGTTACATATATTTTTAATAAAGTAAAAAAACTCAACTGCTCAAAACCGAAACTGGAGTGGGGAGGAAAAAGAAATATAGAGAAGTAAGTTACCAAAAATCACGTGACTGTGCAACTTTTTTTTTTTTTTTTTTTCAATCAATATATTTGCAGCATTTATAAGCCATAAAAAATGAGCATCATATTTTTTGTCTATTTTTAGTATTGAGTGTGTGCCATCGATGACCCACGACTTTGTATATTTTTGGTGGTTGTGTCTAAACCATAGAAAACGGCACGTGACCAGGGAGAATAGAGTGAGCACACTCGAACTGACCGGTTTTCGGGCAAAAAGAAAATGAATTTCGAGTCACATATTGTGTCGTGGGTAGTTGGGCTCTCTTATGTCATATACAAATAAAATCTTGGCAAACTTAAATACCCTGTCAGCGTCCCTCTGAGAGGGACGCTGACAGGGGGATCGCAGCTATTATGGGGATAGCCTGATTTACCCTCTGTGGTCTTGTGCGATTTGCAGAAGCAGTAACACGCGTGCGCTTCTATCTTTTAGGACGATGACGTGGACCCAAACGAAATCTACCCGTGGTTCCACGCCGACATGTCTAAGGAGGCAGCGGTTGAAGAGCTAGCCAAGAGTGAGTATCCTCATATTGCATAGTTTTTTTCTCGCAATGTTGTCATTGTCGCGAGAAGCATCGTACGATTTTGTCTGACTAGATGATTATGTAATTTCAATTTGGTCATTAGATTTGTAAGGCAGTTGACTTGAGGCTGGTTGCTAGACGATCATGCAAAATGTTTGTCATGGTGCCGCTTGGAGTGAGTCCGGCAGTCCATGGTATAGATGCTTTAAACGTGCGCCAGACTGAGCCGCCATTGCCGACCTTTTCTTGTCTTACCAAGATGCCGAACAACTGAGGCAGGCGTTGACGAGCCTCTGCAAAGGCCTATGCTGGGGAGAAGGACACAGTAGCACCTAAAGTGCAATAACCTGTTGTGCTGTGACAATGGTGAAGTGAAGCGAACGGAATGGAGAGGAAACAAAAACTGGAGGTCGGCTATGGCGGTGCCCATGCGCAGCTGACTGAAAGCGTCTGTAGTCCAACAGTTTTAAATGTACCGCAACTTTCAGTAAATTCCAGACTTCGCTGCAATAGCGGACAGTGAAGCTGTTGGAAGGCTGGGATGATCCACTACTGAGGCACAAGCCCAGTTGCGAAAGAGCCACATAGATTAAACAACTTGGCAAATTATGCTCCTGGGAAGTTTATATGCATAGAGGTTGATCCAGCCTTGCTACCTGGCGACACTGGATCAACAGATCGGAGCAATTTAGACGGCAGGGATTAAACAACCGCATGCCGCTCGATGCCCGTCCAGGATTCCCTGGTTCCGCGGGCGCCATTTCTTTCCACGTGTGCCGGGATGCTGTTGCAGTTGGACAGTTGGGTTCTGCGTTTTCGGTAAATACCCATAAACCCCGAGCTGGTTTAATCCAATTCAGGGAAAACCGGAAAAACACAAATTAGAGCTTTCTTTCGCAAAAAAAAAAAAAAAAAAAAAAAACCCAAGCCCCTTTGCCCTTTCCCCCCCACAAAAAAAAAAATAATATATTAGTAGTTTTATTTTGCATTTACATTAAACACAGCCCCATCGTACTGCCAGCGAGGCTGCTTCCTTCTTGGGAAACCAGACAGCTGACCTCGTTTCCTTCTTTTATTGGTGCCGGGACGTTTTTCAAGCATTCTGGGCACAAGCATGTCCTCTGGAGGCTGGAAGATTCCATGCCCACGTCTTGTTTCTTCGACGCAAGGCCCGATAAACACAGATGTTTTGTCCAACACCAAAAAACACATAATCTGTTAAAAACAATACTCTTTTTGAATTTGAAGAAAAATAAACCCCGAAAACACAGAACCCTATAGTAGCACACTACAATCGTCATCGTTGTCATCATCATCATCACCACCATGATGACGAACTTTGGTGACCTGTCATGACTATGTGAATGTGAAGTGATAATGTCTGTCGGTTTTTGTGCAGTGGGCCCTGGCAGTTTCCTGGTGCGCCCGAGCGACAACTCTCCCGGCAACTTTTCCCTCTTCTTCCACATCAACAACACCATTCAGAGGTTCCGCATCGAGCGCAAGGGAAACCGCTACGTCATGGGTGGGCGCTCTTTCGACAGGTGACGGCTTTTCGCGTTTTTCTTCCCCGTTTTCTTTGCCTACGTCTTCACCGTAGAAGGTACACTGAAGCCTAGTCCTCAACTCGCTAAACGTTTTCAGATGAGTTCACCTTTTAAATCATCGCCAGTTCTGATATATAATGTCGTCTTCGGGCGCAGCTGATATTAAACGTCTTAACTAAGAATAGGAGCTGTTATGTTCCGACTAGCGTTTTTGTCTTGCTGCCGGGTATTAAAAATTACATAATGTTCTGTGATTTTCTTTTTTTTTTTTTCCGTTTTCAATGATATAATTTTTTTGCAGCTTGGAGGCTGTGGTGAGCCGCTACAAAGTGGAACAGATTGTTGAAGGACACGTGCTGGGGGACCCTGTGCTCAAGGTGCGGTTTTCTCTTCTGGAATTGGCTTGTGGCCATTTCTTTATTATTTTTTTTTTATTTAGACATACTGCAGGCCTTGAACAGGCCCCTGCAGGTGTGGGGTACATACAAACAACAAAACTATACATATGAGAAACAAGAAACACATGGCAACCATATATATTGCTTATACATCGACATATATACATATGATCGCCATCAGCATAATAAACATGCCATAATCAACGCCTAATATACAATAAAAAAAAAAAAAAAAAAAAGACAGCATCTTTATGTGGTAAGTGATGTTGATTGGGGCGAAGCTCTGGTGGTGCTAATGATACTGATTTTGTTCATAGGTAGTGCTGACGATGCTGATTTTTTTTTATTGCTCAGGGGTAGTGCTGAGTTCCGGGTTGCGTTTCGACTTCATTATTACAGCTTTATGGTCGGTGAAATGCAGAGCCAGTGGTTGTGCTCATTGTTTTCATCCATATCAGAAAGAGAATGTGGTATGGAACGTGGTTATATACGCATTTGAGCATTTGACCGCAGCGCCCTCTCGTTTATAAATGTTAAGCCAATGCATGGAAATTTTAACGCGATTATATATGCATTTGACCGCAGCGCCCTCTCCTGCATAGAGGTTGAGCGGCTACATGCAACGTTTCATCCATGACATTCCCAGCTCTTGAGTTACTACCACATCTCAGAGCCCCCTATTCATCCCGCAGTCGTGGCCGAGTGGTTAAGGCTATGGACTAGAAATTCATTGGGGTCTCCCCGTACAGGTTCGAATCTTGTTGACTTTGAAACATGTTTTTCTTTTTTTAAGAAGGCAGATGGGATGGCGATCGATGTGAGCACGGACGCCGGACGGACAAGGCTAAACCCTAAGGAGCTTCGCCCCTAAAACAAAATGCATAAACACGACTTTCTGAGCTCGTAAAAGTGCCAAGTCGGTCGTCAGCATTACAAGGTGCTGCTAGGGTCCAAATCTCGCAATGGCAAAGTGATGCAGCTCGAGTATTTCCTTCTCTACTTCACTTTTAAACGCAAAACACGTGGTAAATTCGTAACGCGACAGGTGGCGTCACCTTGCGTCGCTTAAAAACACGCTCCTTGACACACTCCTTTTTGAAATATTGTGCATTATTGCATATAAACAGTAACGAGGAATGTGACACTATAACTTGCTTTCTCTCGACCAGTCACTTCTATAATTTTGGAGTCGACTATAAGAACTGTAAAGTATATTGGCAAAAGCCAAATTTTAGGCCCCCAATATGACTCTCCTCTTTCTTTTTTTGCCTATTTTTTCTGTCAAGCTTGTTGTACAATTAGTGGTTGATGATAGGTTCCTTTGCCAACATTGCTTTTACTATCACTGCCCGTCATTCGTGTACTAAACTAATGGTTCTGCCCACCAGTGAAATGAAGATATGCTAACCACCCTTTACGATTGCCCCGCAGGCTCCCTACGAGACACGGCACTCGAGCCGTGCGGAAGAGTTGCAGCATCGGTCAAGGGACATCTATGCGACACTGCGGGAGAGCCGGGAAACTGGCATGGCCAAGCGAAGCAAGGGCGTCTGCATGCAGGGCTACCTCAGCAAAAAGAGTAGGTGCCTTTAAATGCCACTAGTGTTGCGCGAATATTTGAATTTTCAAATGGTAGTTTAGAATAATATGCCATTCGATATTCGCTTTGAGATAAACTGCGACGTTCATACTTTTCGAAGTGTTGATCGTGGCGGGTTAGCCCCAATGAGTGCGCTTCTCACCGAGCACCTGTGCACTGTGGGGAAGCGATATCCGCAGAGCTCTGCAAGCTTGGCTGGTATTGCTTCCCTGCGGTGCACGGGGTCCTGGGTGAGAAGCGCACCCAACAGGGCTAAAGCCTGTTCACACACTCGCGTTCGGAGCGACCACTACGCTTACGAATGGACGCAACCGGTTGGAACAACGAGTTACCGTCGCAGCGAAGCGCCAGACGGCCGTTTCGTTTGTGTTCGTTTGCAGCGCAAGGAGTTGAGCCGGGCTGAACTTTTTCGCTACGCTTGGGAATGACGGGAGCGACTGCAACGACAGACCATTCACAAATTGAGGAGAGCTCGGTTGCGCGCGTTGCATGCCGGTCGTGCCGGTCGCGGCTCCTTCTGTCTGCAAACATTGGCGTCGGTGGTGATCGTCAACGTGGACGGCTTGCTGGAAGCTCATCGTTCCGCGTAAAAGTGCTAGCCTTGACTGCGAATTTTCGTCGTATGTCGCTATGATAACCCAGAACGTACTAGAAGGAAAGATTCACCTACTCGTGCGGCAATGTCGTGGCGGCACTCGCAAGACAGCAGAAATGCCCATGCCGTCGTGTCTGTTCACTTCGACTACAGTGGTGCTTCCTTAGCATTTGTGTCCTCGAACATCGCCCGGATTTCTTATTTGGTGCATTCCATGCTTGTGGTCAAGTTCAAGGTATTACTGGTGCGTACCGTACAAAGGATGCGAATTTTCACGCGTTTTCATCACCCAAGAAAAGTGATTAGTGTTAGCAATCCTGGATGCTCGCAATGTCTATCTGATCACGAAATCATATTTCTACATTGCTATATCGCTGCTGAGATTAAATCGTCTTTTATAATCATAGAAAAGGCGTGTGGCGAGATTTGGACTATTGGCAAAGTCATGATCGTCCAAGACAGTGTATTGCATCTTTTTCTTTTCTTTTTTCATCCACTCTGCCTTGCAAGCCTATCCTGAAAAAAAATAAATAAATAAGGCTTTAGGCTGTAGAAAATTGTCTGTCTATTTTCTGTTACGGCATTGAGTGGCAGGGCGTCCCCTTCTTTCTAGAGGCACCGCTGAAACAGCTGACGGCGGCGTAGAAGCGGTCACCGTGCTGACGACCCGCTACGCTTGTTGCAGTGGTTGCAGGAGTGTGTATGCGCGGCGCAGAGCGGTTGTTCCGGTCACAACGGACGCAGTCGTAGATAACGTGCTTGTTGCAGATGTCTGACCAGCCTTAACTCGCCGCGATTATGCGAGACTATACAGTCGAACCCGGATATATCAAGTTCAAAGAGGATTGTAAAATTGCTTGATATATCAATAATTTGATATACAAAAATATGTTAAATTAAGCTTGATTTGAAATTTCCTGGCGTCTCTGGTCGCGACAAACGGGAGCTTACGAGATAGAGCATCCAAGAGCCACTAAATACAGTAGAGCATAGTTGGCAGGGACCGTAAACCCCGCTGCGCTTACACGCGCACCTGGCCGGGACCTTCACACAGCGCAAGAGACAAAACATAGAAATAAAAAAAACGAAAGAAAAACAGAAAAGCAAGACGCTTAAAAAAAGTTAAGCAAGCAACAAAAAAGAAAGTTTACTAAATTCAGGCAAAAAAAAAGGCAAAAAAAAAGGCAAAGCATTAATCTCTAAAGAAAAAGGTAAACAAACAACGAACTGCGATTGCACAACTACTGTTGTCGACACACTCGACTTGCCGAAGCCTTCTTTTTTTTGCTTATTTTATTTTGGGGCTAGGGGGTCGCGCAGCATCAGCAGTGTTCGGGGAAAGGGAACAGGCTACCATTCCGACAGCAAACACTCCCTGCTCTCCCTACGCACGCGCGCGTGCCCTTCCCCTTGCTTTTGTTATCCTCCACTTTTTTTTTATTTTTTTTTACAGTGCATTGTTTATTGTTTTTTACCGTGTGTATGCTGGCTTGGTGGTCTGCCAGCCCTGCAAGGCAAGCGATGTGCTCGTCACCAGCGCGCAATCGGATCGCGAGGCAAGCAACGGGTGGCCAATCTTCGTTCGCTATATCGAGTGTACCCGCCATGGGAGTTTGATACAAAAAGGCAACATTCCTATAGTATCACAAGTGACAACTACCCGGCGGACTGATTTTTCAAAGGCGGGCATATTCGCAAATGTAGTCCGGTGGGAAGGCGTCACCCAGGATTGGCTCTCTGCGCCCTCCCCTGCTACCTTTCTGTTCAGTGGCACCCGCTGGTTGTCTGCCCCACGGTGCAGAAAGAGGGGCATGGCACAATCTTTGATTGGATTTTTAATTGGGAAATCGGCTGCCCTTGAATGTAATTTAGGTTTTTTTGAGATGCTTAGAGTCCATAGAATGAGTTATGACGGTAGATATACAATCTCAAAATCCACTTGAGTGCCCCTTTAAGGTGGGTTTTGTTCATTCTTTTTATGAACCGGAATTTCTATGGGACGTCAAAGACTGGAGCACTGCCTGGTGGTTTTTGCCATAAAAAAAGGGTTTTATGTTTGGCAGCAATGTCTTGACAACCAGCATTAATCATTCGTGTTGTTATTTTTTTTTTAATCTAAAATTGAAAAAAGGATATATTTATATAGCAAGCAGATTTATAAATTCCCTTGACTAGGATAGCTGCAATGAATTTCTTGTTTACATGCCATGGTTCATAACTATAGTTAAATTTAAATTAACAGCTTAGAAGTGGACAAGGGGAAGGCGAGTTCAGCTGAATTTTTGTTTAAGCATGGTGCTTGGTAGTGAAAGATTTGGAGAAACTATTCAATATTTCATTCGAAAATATTTAGCCAGAACCACTATTCGCTTTGAAATCAGAGTCTACTATTCGTGCATGCCTACATGCCACATTTCTTTTTGTTTCGTTAACTTGCTTTACCTGTTCCTTCTTCTTTTCCCTTCCTGAAAATTAGGCCTGGGAAACAAGAAATGGAAGAACCTCTATTTTGTCCTCAATGCCAAAGAACTTCACTTGTACTTTTTTGACAACCCAAGGGTAAGGAAACTTCTTTTCAGAAAATGTGCATTATTATGGTGCAGAGGTTAGTGTACTCATACGGCACTATTTGGAAAAAGCGGGCACTTGATGTGCACTTTTGCATAGTTTAAAACTCGACAGCAGGTGCTTTCGCGAATACGGGCAATCCCTTAGTATATTACAATGAGTTGATCAAGACCTACAGAAACTGCATCGTTCAACCAACGCATTTGGCCCCTTGTTCCAAAAGCATGGCCTAAACCGAGCTCAAGCACTTGGCTCAGGGACCAGCTTTCAAGAAATCGGGGACAAAACAGTTGTGCTTTTGTATAGCTTAAAGACTTGAGGTTCCCAGCAAGCACGTCCCCAAAAAGGCTGTTTCAAAATCTTGCCTTGTCTCCTCCAGAGAACCAAACCAAAAGGACTGATTGACCTGAGTTACTCATACCTCTACATGGTTCACGACAGCCTGCTAGAAAGGTGGGGCAGATTGTTCCGCAAGTTCCCGTTCCTGTCACAACCGAATTTTAAAAGCCTGCTTGCTCTCTGTTTCCTCCCCAGGCCCAACTGCTTTCAGATTGTGGAGCGGGCATTGCCCTGCCTCAGCACCGTCTACTACCTCTGCGCCAGCTCCTCGGATTTGGTCCGGGTAAGTTCGGTCGTGGCACAGCAACGCACTTGGTAAGAGCCCACAAGTGGAAACTTCCAATACTATAGCGAAGAAACAGATACAATGAAGGCGAATCAGGGTGCGGTGTAATACCGTGTACCAAGGGGGGTCCTTTGGATATTGGGGAATGCCTATCTCTTTTGTACGGCAGCCGATGAACCCTTCCTGGTCTTGTAATTCATGCAGTTAAGGGGGGACACTGACTAGAGATCAAACTTCTGAACTACTCAAGTGATCGGAATGAAATTTGGAGGGGAGATTTAACGTCGGATGTAGGTGTACTTTGCAAACGTTCAGCTCTCTAGGACAATTTAAGATACCTACATAAAAAGATGTCGCACTCTTCATTAAGAAATCTATGATTTGCAAATGAAGCTATTAAGCACCATTTTGACTGCTTGAATATAAAGTAGGAGATGTGGGACTTCGGGCTATCTAATATTTATTACTCAAATGTAAATATATTAGGAAGAGTTATTACCTCAAAATATGAGATGCATATCTGTCCTATGTCAATTTTTGAAAACATGTTTTTTTTAATGAGGACTCCAACTCAAAAAAAAGTAGATAACCCAATTTCCCAGTAAATTTAAGTGCCGAAACATCTTGATTGCGGTATCAGAGTACTTTTACCTTTGAACAAAAGATTCCTTCGTATAAAATTTGCAGCAAAAAGCGGGAATAAGAAAAATGCATTCAAACATTGAACTCCTTCACTTTGTCACTGCCTCACAATGTGTTAAACATATTTTTTATCAATCTAACAATTTGGCGTATGGTTATCAAATTTAGTGTAAGGGTGTATAATTAGTTTCTAAAACCGAAAACCTCAAAATTGGAAAATCAATTTTTTCAAAAATATATTAAATTTAGGCTTATGTCTCTCCTTAAGCACTGCAGAAGCTTAAAAACATTGTAAAGAACAACAGATATACAGAGAATGTTTGTCACATAGGTATCTGACAAACATTCCCTAGTATATGCGTTGTTCTTTACAAGGTTTGTAAGCTTCTGCAGTGCTTAACTGCATGAATTGCAAGACCAGGAAAGGTTCGTCGGCTGTGTATCAGTAGTGCATTAGTGGATGGCTCAAATCTTGTAAAATACTAATGCTTGGCAGCAGAGACAGCCAAGAAATTGTGGGAACTCGGTGAACTTCGAAAGGTTCTTGGGGGAGCCCTAGGAACCCAGTGGAAATTGGCACATAACACAGAAACGTTTTTTGTTCAAAGGGGGTGCCTTGCTACTGGAGAGTGCCACAAGTGCACCTTTTCTCATATCTTAGAGCCTAGCCGCCCAAGTGAGTCATGTAACACGCTAATTGTGGTGGGCAAAGAAGTATGAATAGAGCATTTCCACATCTTGAAACAAACTAGAATACGGCCTAATGATATGTCTTAAACGTACTGCGACACCTTGAGGGTTCAACTGACCTCCCGCGGGGCAAGGTCTGCATGACCTTGAGAGGAGCGCCAAGGTCAATGAGAGGCATTTGTACTGATGTCGAGGTGGACCCCCGTGTTTGCAGGAGTGGATGGCAGCCGTCGGACCGCTCTGCATTCCCCAACTGGCACGTGGCGCCGCCGGCATGGGGAGTCCTCCGCCGGCGGCTACACAAGTGCGTTCGCTCAGCCTCACCCTGCTCGAGGCACACCGACTGCCCGTGCGGCTTGCACCACACCCTTTCTGCATCATCTCACTCAACCAGGTGACTGTCCTGGCATGAAGGGATAAGGGATTGTGAAAACCGTCTGTTAATGGCTTCATTGTATTTCTAGCAAACGCCTATGGGAAGACCATTAAGCTTTGTACCAGGCTTATCCTCTGCAAAGCTACCAGTAACAATGATTCACCAAGCTACATGAGACATGGCTTAGAACCTGTAGTTTGATCCTTGTTGTCGTAAATTCGAAAATTAGACCCCAAGCGGAATAGTTGTTCTCTACCCTAAATGACTGCTTTGCAACAGAAGTGAAGCCAAAACCCCTTTGCAGTTTTGGCCCCCGTGGTGTTAAACTTAGATTCAAAACCACCTTGCTCAATATCTGCCATCTTTTCAGTGTATTCACACTTGGCCACGCACATTCTCTTTTAACTACTATCGTGGTGTATCAGCTTGTACACTGCGTAACACTGTTAGCGTTAAGCACGACTTCGACACTCTTTCGCATTTTGCTTTTGTAAGGGTCCCGGTGGACCTCAAACTTTATCACTTAGGTCAGTTCCCTAACTGAACACTTTTCACCACTGTGGCAGTTTTGATGACAGTTCTTCAACACGAAGAGAAATACAGAAAACTGGCAGTGAGTTCTTCGTGCTAGAAGTGTTGTGGAGTGTCCCTTCCCAAAACTTTTCCCCTAATTCCCGTTGACTCCATGCCACCTCTTCCCTAGCCGAGTGCATCTCTTCTACCATTTGCCAAAGGTTTCCGGTCGTTTATCCCTAGCCACCCCGAGACAACCATCAGATTTTGCCAAATTGGCCATCTTTCCGTCTTTCTGCCACTCCCTAAAGTCCTGTTTCTCGTCATAGTGTCTAAATCTCCCTTTGTTCATGGGTAGGTCAAGGTGTGCAGAACACAAGTCAAGTGCCCTCCTGACCCCATCTGGGAGGAGGACTTTCTGCTCGAGTGAGCCTCTGACTTTTCTGCTTTTCCCTTTTTGCAAGATATGTCTCGGAAAAAAAAAAAAAGATTTTGCTATGTTTTGTGACATTTTTATTAGTGAAAAAAAAGGCATCTATGATTGCAGTTCTGATTCTTCTAAGATAACCAGGGAGTGTGGATTGAGTTTACAACATAAAAGGATCATCTCAAAAACCAAGTTATTGCCCACCTAGGGTTCTTCTCATTGAATATTTTTATTGAACATAAACCGATACAAGGCTCTTAATTTCATTTATTTCATTTTGTGCATTCATGCAAGAGAGGTCGATTGCATGCAATTCGGTAAACTTCCACATTTTTTTGTTTCCGGTTGACACATTTTACGACGCTTTTAGATGACTGTGGCTTTCTTCGTGAAAATGTTTTGTCATCGGTTTGTCACTCGACTGGTTGCTGTGATAGCAGCAGTAGCCTTAACATGTAAAAGCACTTTGTCTCTATAGTACTTTGCAACAGCCAGGAACTGTTAATGTGGATGCTCATGAAAATTGGAATTGCAAGGAAAGTGATGCTTTTACTTGAAAATTGGAAGAGAATCACAGAAAAGCTTAGTAACTGTCAGGCAAAAAATTTGAGGCAACAGCTTGAAAACGTTCCCAACTGTGGGAAGGCAGACTGAGAAACAAATGGTGACGTAACAAAGCGTAATCGCATGGAATCGAAAGGATGTTTAATGACCGAGACTTTCGTGACTCTCTCGATGAGGCGAAATTCCTGCGGCTCGACAAATACGCATCGAGCCCGAATTGGAGGCTTGCAAGCTCTTGTAACCGAAACTTCAAGAATTGAAAGTGTAGGTTAGAGGAATGGAAGTTATTGTGACCCAAACACAAAAGAATTTTGTGTTCAAATTAAATCATTTATTGACGCATTAAAAAAAAATATGTCGCTTCTCTGACGGCCAGTTTTTGTGCCCGGCTCGCAGGGACCTTCCGTCAGACGTCACATCTTTCACCATTACTCTTTACACTAAAGGGAAAAGGTCTAAAGACATGGAAATGGGTGAGTCCCCTTTCACACCACATGTCCTCCACTCTATTCCATTTCTAGAGACATCGTCGACAGCTCGAGAAATGCAGGCCATGGCGAGTCCTGAACATTTTATCGTCGCCCCCCAGTCGACAAGGTTCTAGCGTGAGCCGCCAAGAACGCCAAAAAAGAAATCGCAAAGCGAGAAGCGTGGACATAAGCCACTCCGCGCCTCTTGAGCTGTTGACGGCCCCAGCAATATGTCGTTCATCTCAAAAAAGCGCCTTCAATCACAGTCATGGTCTTGACGTGTTTGGTTTGATCGTGAACTGTGTTAAAGCGGTTATGCTGTTCTAAAAAATAGTGAAACTTGGCGCGTCTATTAAGTAGCATACGAAGATTTCGCACCGAGAATAATCAAGCTCATTTAATTTTTGTGTCACTGTTTCGGTGGTATCAAGGAAAAATTAAGAAAACTCCTTGTCCCATTGCCGCGCTTGATCACCTGCTTTGGCTGAAAGCAAGCATTTTTTTGCGTCACTTGAGAACCGACATTATATGCAGGTATTCGTGTAGCTTCAGCTAGCCTCTTATGAAACGTTTGGAACGTTCGATGTCTGCATGTTAGAGTGACACCAGATTTTTCTACGTTTAACAACTTTTACTTGTCGGGTTAACAAAGATGTCAAGCTGAACCTCATTGCGCTTTGGCTATAATTAAAAGAAAATAATGCATCACATTGACCATCACGCGTGTCGTTTTTCTCAGCGGAAGTCACGGTAGAGCTGGATAGCCTGGTGAACTGCGAGGAGATGGAAGAGTGGTTCTCCCTGGGGGGGCTGACTCCTCCCATCAGGGAGGACTGGGGCTCACTGCGGATGCGCATCCGCTACGTCCACGAAGTCATCATGCCCCTCTCGGAGTACACCACCTTCAAGGAGGTGGGGTGCCCTTGCTTCCACGGGCCTGGGGTGACCGTGGCTGTTCAGAGACAGGGACGGTCATCTGGTCAACCACAGTCATGTGATCGGCTGCAGTGATGGGGACAGCCACAGTCATGCAGACAGCTGTAGTTATGTGAATAGCCACGGTCAAGTGGACAGCCACAGTCGTTTGTGGACAGCCAATCATCTGGCCAACTAGTCAAGCGATAAGCTAGAGTCGTGGTCATGTGGATAGCCATAATTGTGTGGACAGCTGTAGTCAACTGGACAACTACACTCAATTGACTTGACTGACCGTTGCATAGTGCCTCAATGAGAGGCTTCGTCGCTCCCTGTACTTTATGGTTTATGCTGTTCATAACAAAACTACTCAAGTCCCATAAGAGTGTCTCACGACTTCATCACTGTGAGGCTGCAAGAATGCAAGGCGTATCCCTCAAAGCCACAATAAACTAGACATAGAGCAATCCAAAATGGTTCATTGAGATGCAGCTCCACCGAAGATATTAAGCACACTCGGTTACACGAACAGGCTGAATTCGAAACAAGTGCATGCCACTGTGCCCCTAAAGCCAAGTGCAAAAGAGCACTTGCATCGAGACTGGGTTTCTAGGAATTTGAGTTGCAGTAGTGACTTCACGAGACTGGAAGGGACGTCTCAGGCTTGGACGATGACGGGTGTTTTGCGCCACCGCCGCAGCTCGTGGTGGACGACGAGCTCCACCTGGTGAGCGTGCTGGCTGACCTCTGCCACAAGGACCGGATGCCCCTGGCCAGCGCCATGTTGCGGGTCTTCCGCAGCGAGCGGAAGGAGGCACTTCTGCTCAGAGAGATGAACGACAGAGAGATCGACCGCGAGGGCAAGTTCCTTTCTTACCTCGTTCTCACGTCGGGTTGACTCTCTCTGCAGTAGCACAGAAGCAATCATTCAAACTTTCCAGCAACTTTATGGTGGTTTGCAGTCTTAAGATAACCAATTGACGAATTCCAGCTGTCTTGCACACTTTGATTCTCCCATATCTCCAGTACGGTTCCACTCGTGATAGTTGCCACGACGACCTGACATTCAGGCGAGAAGCGCTGTTTACTCGAGGGTGAAGCGGCGTTTCTCACATGTTGCATGCATCACTCTACTGCATTAGAGTTTAGTGTTCCTTGCAACTTTACAGGTGCATAACATCTCTGTTCATGCCCTGTGTAACTTTTTGAATGTTTAGTGAGTAAGTACTGCACATGAGAGCCCTTTTTGAACATCCAGATGTGCAAGATCCTTTTTCAGATTTTTGTTCCCAGGAACATCATGTCAGTCTGGCAGAGAGAAGCAGACGACACGTTTATCGTGATTCGCTCAAAGTCCACTACCTGCATAGCTGGGGGTCCAAATAAGAACCGAGAGCTTGCCCTCGTAGCTCTGGCTACGAGGGCAAGATCGTAGCCAGAGCTTGCCCTCCTGCATTTCTCCTGGAAGAGTCCTTTCACAGAGTCTTTGCCTTCCTTGGTGCAGAGGAGACATCAACGTTGTTTCGGATGACGTCGCTCACGACGACGCTGATGGACCACTACATGCGCTCGACGGGCCACGAGTTTCTGCGGCACACGGTCCATGACTCCATCCTGAGGGTCATGGACGGACGGCAGTCGTGTGAGGTCAGTCTTTGTCGATTTATTGATTGATTAGAAGCATCCAAGGCTGTAATGCACCAGGATGTTTTGTGCACTTCATATTTATCACTTCGTGTGCTGTCACGATCTTGGTGCTGCTGCTGTAATCAAAAGTTGGATTGTGTTATAGGGCGGGCATTCTCAAACTTTCAATCTCAAGGGATGAAAATCTCTCGCAACCGGTAAAGAAATGTTTGAAAGACCTGTCTCCTCATGTTGATCCATTTTCAGATTTGTTTGTGTTTAAAGGGAGCTCGAGTTGCATCTCTTCGGCTATTAATCTGCACGGCGTTTCTCAACGCATGTGATTATTAACCTGGACTGTGGTTTGGTTTTGATTCATGTGCCACCCACCATATTCTGACCTGCTGGTCCTGGGGCATCAAATAAATAAAGCATCATCATCATCATCACCATCATAATAATAATAATCGCAGGGTAACTTCTTCCAATATTGGCATTGAAACAATAAGGTAATGCAGGAGCATATAAACTGCAAACAATAATGCAGTTGATGAATACATCAGTGGATGGAGCAGACCTAAAACATAGTTCTCATACTGGAAGAGCACTTTACTTAGGATGCAGTAACAGCCAAGGAAATTTTCGCCTGGGCAACCCTAGGAACTCGGTTTTAGAAGCCACGCATAGAAATTTGTTGTGAGCTCCGTTGATATCCACAGCTGCACTCAATGGAGCATAAGTGTACCAGACATGGCTTTAGCAGTAGTTTCAAGGCAAACTACTATACTGTGACGCTTTGTCGCAAAGCCCGCGAATACAACAAAATATTTGCAGAGCATTGTTGTGGCTCTTTGCAAATTGTTCCATGCATCTTTGTTGTTGTTTAGGGTGATGTTCGTTGATGGGAACTTCGTCGGAGTAACCAGCTTGCTTCCGCTTACACGCAGCTCAACCCCAGCAAGCTGGACAGTCCGTCGGAAGCATGTGCCAACGCTGAGCACCTCTTGTCCGTCTTGGACAGTGTGGTGGAGTCCATCTTCTCTGCTGTCGACCACTGTCCCAAGTGAGACCGTCAGACACACCTCCCGTCATTGTTGCCACTCCCATCGCGGAGCCTGTTGGAAGATTCTCGCTCTAAATACGAGCAAACTCTTAGCTGTCTGAAATGCTGCTATATGAGGACTGTTGTTGCATATTTTCATGTTCAAAGCGTTAGTTACATACAGTATGGATGTGGGTTGTGAGTCGCTTCTAACATTACTAAAACACTCGGTTGGAACTTTCACCCTTGAAACCTGGACCGCTCGTGTCCACCAAGACCAAACTGCGGTAAATACGATAACAGCGCCACCCTTTAGCGACAAGTCGAAACATTAAAGTTCATTTTTATTGCTACTGCAAAATGGCACTGCGAGACGGCGCCACCGGACCTTGCACGATATGTGCAGTTCTCAAAGTGACTGCTGCGGGAGAAATGGCGGCATTCCAATCGCCTTTAGTTCGGTTCTCGAGTATGGATCGAAGCCACTTTTTAAAGCAGGCTCTATGGCAGTTTCCCAACCAAGTTGTTTTAGTAACGTTTATCTCTTCTTTTCAATGTAAGCAATTGCATTCTCTAACTCTGAATATGTTATGGGGTTGTGTTTCACGAGAAAAGCTTGAGCACTACGCTTGACCGACATATTGGTCAAGGTCATGTAAGATATATTGCCCCATAGGGGTTACATTGCTTATACGACACAATTTTACGTGACACCAGGATGTCACATGACTGTGATGTCACGTTACAGCACAATATCGCATGACTTATGTTTCATGGCGTCATAATATCACGTGACTGTGACATCACATGCAGCATGATATCACATTCTGTGTGTCAGAGTTTATCAGATATCAAGACACGCTTCAATTTTTGGTCATTGAAGACAACTTAAGTTTTTTCTGTAACTTTTGTGACTGTTGCAGGATGTTAAGGTACATCTGCCACTGCCTCCAAAAGAAGGTGGCTGCCAAGTGGCCCCACGACACGCTTGTCAAGACCAGAGTTGTCAGGTAAAGAATTTGACTTTATTACATTCTTAAGTTGGTGAACCGATTATGAGCGAATAGAAAGCATTTGGGTGAAACGTGCAGAAACGAGTGGTTTAGGATAACTCACCTTTGGGAAAGTTCTCTTTCTATTGCTGTTTTGTGCAAGTAGTAGCAACTGAGATCCATTCCAATAGACCATTTACTATATTACCCAAGCATCAAGGAGAATGCAGGGATAACCAGAATAAACTGTTAACGAGCGCACGTGCAAGATGCCATTTGTTTTGGGTATTTGCTTTAGAAAAATTACTACTGCTGAGGCCAGCACACGCGGCGCGTGGAACACCAAACCCTGCATTCTCCTTGGTGCTTGGGTAATAGAGCAATAGGTCTATTGCATCGCCTTTCCTCTATATGTACACTGTGCAATACTGTCAGCATGAACAGGACATTGCACTTTTTTGCATATTTCAGATGTGTATTCATCTATAACCTATTGGCAAGCATTGTGTATAGATAGCCAAATTTTTTTTCTGTGGCTGCTTACATTTTTTGGCATGTATTTTTTCTTTTCCTCAGTGGTTTCATCTTTCTGAGACTCCTGTGTCCTGCCATTTTGAATCCGAGACAGTTCAACCTAATCACTGGTAAGAAATGATTGATCTTTTTTATGATTTGACCGAATTTTTTTTGTCTTTACATCACTCGTAGAAGGTTTCACAAACGCAGAGAACACAGGGTTGAGACACTAAGACAAAATATTCATAAAAATTTGAGCTGAAGCACACTGCAAATTTTAAAAAATCTGTTCTTCATGCATCAGCTAGTTTAAAACTAAGGCTGGGGTGCATTGTGAATGAACCATGAATACATTGGCACGACGCTTGAATAAATTGAATTAAAACGACAACAAAAAAGAAACTAAAATAATTTTTAAAAAAAATCTTAAAACATTTTGATAGTTTTTTTTTTTTTTAGATCAGGTGTAGCATTCTTCACGTGGCTTTTCAATTATTTCAATATAATACGTCCCCAGGTAAGGTGGTAAGCTGGGCGAGTTGGTACTGGTTAAACATGATAAAAACATAGTGCACAAAAAGATGAGGTTAGGGACAGGAACGGAGCACAGAAGAAATGCTCTTCCCAACGAAAGTAAAAAGCACTTGTCTGTCTTCTGTGTTCCGTTCCTGTCCTTGTCCTCGTCTCTCTGTGCACTATTTTTTCATGATGTACGACCCTAGAGATTTCTTTAAGGGCAAATAGAAGCGCCTCTGGTGCTTTAATTTGTCCCTAGACAAATAAATCACACTTTGTAAAAGTTTTCTCTAGGGACAATTTGTCTCGAGGTCGCACTACGTAAAAGTTATCTCTAGGGACACAAATGTCCCTAGGAAAAACTTTCCCATAGTGCGACATAAACATTCCAGACCAGGTACTCTAAGATCGTGGTTGTACCAGCACTCAAGAGGAGGAGAGAGAAAGAGACTGTCATACTCGTTCCGAAAAGGAATCGTGGCAGATCCGATGCCCGTCTCTTCCCTTTCAGATACGCCATCGGAAACTGCGTCTCGCAGTCTGATTCTAGTGGCCAAATGTTTGCAGAACCTGGCAAACCTGGTGGAATTTGGTGCCAAGGTAAAGGTGAAATAGCTTGCCTACTCGTAGCTCAGCTTGGCTCTGCCCTTTCGACTAGAACGAGCTACAGGTAGTATTGCTCTCGTTGCAGGAGCCATGGATGGAGGTTGTTAACCCGTTCATTTTGAAGAACAAGAACCGCATGATGCGCTTTCTGGACGAAATTGCCGTGAGTGACAACTTGGGTCTCTTTTCGAGAGTTGAAATGAATCAATGGGCCAAGGCTTCTTACAGGTTCTTCTGAACAAACCAATCTCGCATCCTTTTACAAAACTAGAGAAATGGTACTTTCGGCATTGGCCGTCTTTTCTGTTTAGAAAAGTAGTTTTGGGGATTAAAGTCGCAAAATGTTTTTGGCAGCAATCATACATCTGGATTTTACGCAGCCGTTCGTGCAAATTGTGCGTTTGTTTTTACGGCAGGAGTTTAGTCAGCCCCAATGAGCGTCCGGGGTCTCCGCGCAATACAGTCGAATTCGGATATATTGAATTCAAAGGGGATCGTAAAATAATTTGATAGATTGATAATTCGATGGACGAAAGTATGTTAACTTGAGCTCCAGTTAAAATTTCTGTGCGTCTCTGCTAATACTGGAGGTTGTGGCAAACGGTAGCTTACCAAATAGAGCATCCAGGAAATTCAAATACTGTAGAACCTTGTTAAGGTGTAGTTGGCAAGAACTGCGAGCGCCGCCGCTTGCGCGCGCACCTTGCCGCGTGCGTGTGTGGCCCAACCTCAACAGCAGACAATAAAACACAAAAATAATTTAAAAAGAACTTATGGCAAATCGTCAGGCAATTGTTCTGGATACGTGAAACGTTCTAGCATCACAAACGTTTAGCGGTACTTTGAGTAGCCAGAAGCATACGTTCACGGCACTCTTAATCAGCTAGTTTAAAGCATACCATGTGTATACTTGATAGTTGTTCCTAGAATGAAGCTGTACTACCGCTAATTGGGCTTATTAACCTGGCGATCTTGCAGAGCCTTTCACGCACTCTAGCTCCTTTCCCTTGGTGCACACAGGAGGTCGAGCTCCTCCTCGCCTTGATCACTCCTTCTCTCCCACCCGTCAACCAATCGGTGTCAAGCCTCGCGGCCACGCTTTTATCTGGGCTTCACAAAATGCTGAGCACCTAGCCAAAGGATGTTTCACGTTAAATATACGAAAAAACTGAAAAAGGGATATGTAACCGTGCCATTCGCATGGGCTACCTTCGTCGCTATGTTTTATAATCAATCACCGCTGCTATTCGTCGCACAATTCGCCCATCTTTACGCTGTGGTGAGGAGCCACGTAACGCTGTGCAAGCCATGGCTGCATAGTAGGAGCGGGTGCAAGCTAAAAACCTCCAAAGGCGTTACTCCCGCACAGTTGCCTTCAGCCGCATAGGACAAGTGGAAGCTGCCAAAGATGACTTCAACATTTTCCCGTGCAGAACATTCCAGAAGAGCCGGAACCAGACGAGGCGATTGTGGGCGATCCTGCGCGTGACCTGGCAACACTGCATCACATTTGTGCAGTGCACAAGGAGGACCTGCTTTCTCACAGCAACGAAATGGTAAGCCTACGGGATTGCCTGGCAGACCTCGGTTATGCCAGCTTCAGACGTGGCAACTTTCTCAGCAATTTCGGTGTTGCTGGCGGGTTGTTTCCTAGCTTTCCCTAAATCGACGCAAATTGCTGAGATCAGGTCCGGCTCGAAACAAGCGAGCAACTCGGAGCAATTTGAAGATGTTTGAAGCAGCAGCAGGCCAATCAGGGGCGCAATATTTTCATGTGATGCCCTGTGCCGGTGATGATGACAACTAAAGACTTTGTTCTGGTTTGAAATTGATTGTATTGTGGAAATAAACAGTTTCAGAAAGATGCATTAGTATTCTCAATGACATTTAAATGAATAAAAGCACGTTTATAGCGTGTAGCTATGTGTCTAACTAGTGCAAGAAAAATAAAATTTTATGATAATGATGGCAAATGCAGCAAATGGTTGCTGCATGTGAATGCGGGTGGCCCGTGTTGCTGGTGTTGCGACGTCAAGTTGCTGGGCGAAATTGCCCCGTCTGAAGTGGGCCTTACGCTTCCACTGTTCTTGGAGATGATAGGATAATATCGGAGGTCTATGTTCCTTTTCTTGCTGGCAGGGTGAGGAGCGCCCAAGAGCACTCTCGTGTGTTCCTTGAGCTTACAGATTTCCTTGAAAATGTGCGAAGTAAAGTTTTTCTAGTTCAAGCACCCTCTTATCAGATCTGAGCCACCAAGCAATGCACGATTTTAAGCTAAACATGCCCTATTAGCGAGGAGGTCAAACTATACGGGGCACTCTGACCTGTTTGTTGTCCCCACACCTGTGTTTATCCAACACTGAGGCCTATGGACGTGCCCACAGGCCTTGTGGGCACGTCCATATGTTAAAGGAGCTGTGCAACAATTTCAGTGCTTTGCTTAAATGTGGGAATTGTTGTCTCTACCCTTCTGAAGTAAAGAACAATAACTGCTTTTGCCTGCATGCCCTAGTTTTTATTTTTTAAAAAATGACAAAGGTTGAGGTTTTTGCCAACTCTCAACTTCTTCACCATCTCGCGCGGGATTCTGGTGAAGGAGTTGAGAGGTGCCAGTAACCTCAATCTTTGTCTTTTTATTTATAAAAACTAGGGCATGCAGGCAACAGCGGTTTTTGTTCTTTATCTTTATCACGCGCGGGGTTCTGGTGAAGATCTCTCTCTAGTGCCATCAGTGAGCAGCGAGAACTCACCCGCTCGCAAACAACGTGACCATGTGCTTGCACTGCACGATCAACATGGCGAAAGGAGTAAAGTGCGTACGTGCAAGTCCGGGTCCAGCCGTCCTCTGCGGCCCTCCGGCTACAGTTCGGCTTCTAGCGGCTAGATGGCGCCACTGAAACTCTATATAATTTAGGGAGGCTCAAGTGAGGGTGGGCGCAACTCAAAACCTGGAGAGCATTTACAGTTTACTGGCGGCGCCCGAGGGAGAGGATTGGGACAGGATATGGCGCCAATGTTGCCTGCACGAGAGCAGACGCCCGCTCTGTTGCAACCCTGTTGCTCCATGTGCCTTTCCTCCTCTCGCCTCCCATTGCAAGCAACGAACGCCTTGGCGCAGCCTCTTTTGCTTCCTTCTCGCTCCGGGAATTGCAAACGTCGAGAGGAGAAAGCAGGGTTGCCAGACAAGCAGCAACGTCCAAGATGGCGGAATTCACCATTTTTCGCAATAAAAATATTCTTAACGACCTACTGGAACAAAACTGGTGGCAATGGAAAAGTAATCATTTATACCTTGCGTAAATTATTCAAGCACATTAATAGGCTCTCATGAACTGAGCAAATAAAATGACAGTTTGCCCCATAGACTCTCAGCAAAATTTAGCAATTAAATGGCATCCAGATCCTGTGATCCCCGATCTAGCAGTGGCACCCAACCTCATTTGAGCCTCCCTAATATAATTAAAGTTTGTCTATGATTATAGGTTTTTGATGCATTTATATTTATGTTGGAACGACAAGATTTATGGAAAAATTACCTTTTATCGAGAAGGTAGTTGCACAACTTTCTATTTTTTTTACAAGACCCCATTTGACGTCACGCCGCGTGGTCCTCATGGCTGCCGCTTGCGGCTGCAGATGGGGAAATATTCATATTTTTGCCTTGCAATTATGCGGCAGAACCGCAACAGTTTGAAGGAAGATGTGTTTTCTGTCCTTTGTGACAAAATAAACAATGTCATAAATAGAGGATGCAAATTCTTTCAACGTTAAAATTGTTGCACAGCTCCTTTAACGTGAAAATAATAACAATTAATGAAGTGGCGGTTATTGTTAGTGCCAAACCTCTCTCGAAGCAGTCGTCAGAGAATGCAAGCTTGACCACTTCGGCATTTGTGCTGAGCTGGGCATTTGCTCCGTGCATGCTGCATTGTTCATGCAGGCCTGAGTGGTAACAAAAGAGCCCCTCCTCCCCCTCAGCCGACCGAGAACACAAGCTTCAGCCGAACGCTGATGCGGCGTTCGGTTGTCAGCCGAGCGCTGAGTCATTGTTATTTGTTGTCCCTATGGGCCTTGTTCAAAAGTTCTGTAGGCTTCTATACTGCCTTACTGTATAATTACTAGCTAATGTACATAATTACTAGCTATGATGAGGCAATAATATATCAATTACAGCATGTATATAAATAAATCTCCAGCACCCAACATTTCATTTTGTTTCACAAAGAATATGCTGGGCATTTTATACAGAACAAGGCCTTTTGGATTGTAATAGAAAGCTAATACAGTAGAATTTCGTTAATTCGGCCTCGACGGGACCTTGAGGTTTGGTCAAATTATCTGAATGATTGAATTAAAAAAAAAAGGACAGGAAAACGGTTAAAATTAAAGTTCCTTTTATTGTCCAAAGTACTCACGGATGGTCTGCTCCCGTCTGCGCTTAAAACTCGTGTCCAAAAGCATGCTCCGGAGAACAACGTAACTAAACGTCGCGTCCACAAAAAATTGCGCACTAAAAAAAGAAAAAAAGTTTTATGTGCCGTTTTTGGCACCTGGCAGCCAGACCATCAACAACAAAGAAAAATAACCCCCCCAAAAAAAAAGGAAAAGAGAACTTGCACATGATTGTAAACCTGAGACTGGGGCAGAAAAGAGAACACAACAGAAGGTGGTAAAAGAAGAGGCAACGTCTCAAGAACTTGCGTTTTTCGACGCGCAAGATAGACCGCGCACGATGCTACAGAAAAGTGCCTTGAGAGCGCGCGCTGAGAAAGCTTTACGAGCCGACTGTGGCACCAAGTGCCCGGACTGTCGGCGACAAAAAAAGAAAAAAAAAAAGGAAAGGAGAATTTGAGCTTTTTGGCGCGCAAGATGGACCGCACACCATGCTGCAGAAAAGCGCTTTGAGAGCGCGCGCCAGTGTTGCGCACTGTCTCCACGCCCGAACACGTGCTATGTTCTCCACATTGGTTGTGCTGGCTCGTGTCATTCACCGTGGTCCATCTCAATGGCGTAGAGGAGCAGCCGCATATTTGCGCACGTTCGGCTCTGCAGCAAAGGGCCCGTGTTTCGCCGTACGTTGGTGGTTTTTCTGCCGTGGTGCCGTGCAATGTGAGCCGGCGCGCATTAGCTCGGGACGAATTATTTGATGCGGAGTCTTTTCGGTGCGGATTGAGTTCGAACTATCAAACTTTTCCTCCCATAGAAATGTATGGGCGCTCGCCGGGACTTTTGAACACGATCAAATCAAACGAAAAGTTGAATTGACCGAGGTCGAACTAACGAAAGTTTACTGGACACAAATAGATTGCTACAAATACCAATTGTAAACGTTGAAGCCTACAGTCAAACTTTCATCTCCGCGAGTTTCAATTTCAAGAACAGCACTTGCCGCGACATAACGAAACAAGACTGGAATTGTGTTTTCTAAAGGACCGTAAGCAGCCTTGGTTTGGTTGTTTGCAAAATGCAGACGGAAGTTACTCATAAATTTACCTTGCTCGTCTTTTTTTTCATGCAGCCGATTCTGAAAAAGGTGGCTACGATTACAGACATGCTGTCGAAGCACCGGCAACACTACATGGATACAGCGAGGTAGCCCCGGATACGTCACTGCCTCGCCCCCGTTCTGAGCCTTCGAGCGTCGTCCGCTGAGGGTTCAATAACTTCCCTGGGGCTCGATAAGACCTTATACTTTGGCGTCGGCTACAGCGCTGCAGTAGTCTATTCCGGCTTTGACAGCCAATTGGAAGCAAGCATCCCGGTTGTAGCGAAGTTGGTTTGGTTTCGTATGCAATGGAAGCGAAAATTCATTCATTTTGCATGGTATGTGGAACAAGGGCGAAGTGAGGGATCACTTCAAGAGCCGTGGATATACTTTAACCGTGCAAGATTATTTGCAAGAAGGAAAAAAAGAAAAGCTGGAAAATGTTTTTTTTTTTTTATTGAGTCAGTTCAGCAGTGAATAATGGGAGTTCTCATTCATGTCTTCTCTCACGTGCATTGTGTTGCGCATCGTGTAAAGTGACCTGACCTGTGAGGTCACTCCTTTGGGATTTGCGAAGAAAAAGAAAAGGTGAGATTGAGTCAACAGTGGTTTAGTATGAATAGAGTTTGAGGCTTCCAAATGCTGCACTGCTTCGAGATTCGTGGAGTGCCATCGGATAGCCATGCCGGCATCACATGCTTCCAAACGACTTCTTCCATTGTATCCTATTCGTGTCTCTACCCCGGTTTTCGACCCTGCTTCTCGACGGCGTTCTTGCGTCATGTCGTGCAGGATACATTGCGCGACAAAAGAGCCGTCCGTCGCAAGGTCAGCTCGTCGAGTTCGGCGGAGCAACGTATACTAGTTTTTAAACCACCGTTTTGGACGTGCATCTAGTTGAGCACTGGGAAAGCTTTGAAAGCACGCTACCACAATCCGTCACCTCGTGGTTTCAGTCCGGAATATTCACAGCCTTTTCGTTCCCTTCCTCGCAAACTGCTTCGCAATTTCGGGCATTCTCAAGATGGGCTAGAAAGTGCACCCTTTTTTTTTGTATTACCTCTAATTCTTGCAAGAAAAGATCTGTAAGGGCATTGGCCTTTTTTTTTTTTTTTTTTTCTTCTTCTTTTTGAGGGTGGGAGGAGGGGGGGGGGAAGGGAGGGAAGGGTAGTTGGGTCAGTACTTCGAAGAAAATTCATATAATTGGCGAAGTTGTCGACGTGGACGTCGTCAGACGTAGCGAGCCAAAGTAGACATTTTTTTCGTTGTTTTTGTGTGTGTACAAGCTAAATCACATCTGCAGCCACTGACGGTGAGGACGGCAGGGGAGAGTTTCGGTCGTCCCATCTCTAGCGCGAGCATCCTACCTCCGACGACTCATCGTCTCGTTCACCTCGGGTGCACGCACGCACGCAGCCAAAGCACCGTGGAAGGCATGCAGCAGGGCGGCTGGGGGCCAGGCATTTCAAAGGCACGCCTTGCCTTTCCCATTCTGTCAGCGACTATGTGGAGAGCAAGTTCGTCCGCTTCTTGCGCAGGAGTTGCGGTGATGTCGGAACGGCGCCGAGTTTTGATGAATGGAAGGATAGTGGATAGACCTCGGTGCTAGATGCCTCGAGGTCTACCCACTATTTTTTTCAGCATCCTGACATCATTTCAACCCATTGTGCAAGAAGCAGACAAACTTGCGCTCCGCATAGCATCGGAAGTGGCCAAGATGGAATCTCAGTAAGAGTACAAAACGTGCCTGGAACGTCGCAATTACCGTTTGTCGCGTCTACGCACGCTTCTGTTGTACGTCGCAGGCGTGCCGTTTCGTTGAGATTAACCCGTCTTGCTCGATGTTTTCTGGGTACTTCTAGCTGTTGTGTTCATTCCTGTGTGAGCAGCGTGCAACTTTTTGCTTAAAAAGATGAAGAAAAAAGCGCTCATTCTTGTGCACTTTCTGCTGTGATAAAAAGGCCCTGCAAACTTGTTCTTTATGTCGTCATGGTTCCGATGAAATTGGGCTTCTATAACAATTTTTTCAGCTTAGTGTTGTGTTCGTGCAATCAGCCAAACCACTAGAAGTTTTTATAAACCAAGATTTAAAGGGATCTTGTGAATGATGTTGGCTATAGGTAGTAGATGAAGCAACGACTTCGCCGATAGTAATTATCTGCCTCTGGTACCATATTGCTTGCAGCATGCTTTGTCCTCTGCGAATATAATTTTCTTGCACTTCCCTCTTTTGCTCAAAAGGTAGCGTAGCGTACGACAGGCATGGAGATGACAGACGAGCAAATGCCAGTTTTAATATGAGGAATATCGTCGGAGGAATTGTATGTGTGTCAAAGTGAAAAAGCAGTCCGTTGTTCAGCAGCACTAAGGCTTTGTGCTTTTTTTTTCTTTTACTTATTTGAGGAAGTATAGCCAACGTGGCGGGGTTTTCAAGGCATGTGCCTCGGCCGTTCCGCATGAACTATTTCATTCTTTAGTAAACAAGCATATGTTTTGAACCGTCTTTGTAGTAGCTTCCTCTGCAGGGCAGAAGCAACTGCCGCTGTCCGTATATCTTTGAACCTGTCCGAATTTGACATGAAAAAACGCACGAGCATGCTTTTCCATCAGTGCTGTAGCCATTGCTCTTCTGCGCATCAGGTTGTGCTGCCAACTTTTTCAACATTTTCACGGTGCTCGTAACTACTTTGTAAATAAAGCAATTGAAACGTGGCCTTGTCTTTTCATTTCCCATCCAACACGTTCAAGCGTTAAGACTCTGCTCGGAATCTTGCGGCATACACATTTGGCTACATGTTGCAAAAACTTTTGCCTGCCCTAGACACTGACACATCCTTCCCACAAACTGGCAAAAAGTCCAAAAGTTGCGCTTTGAGAAGGAGCCGTTTCAGCTTCAACCTCGCACAGATATTGATTCATGAGAATGGAAGCGTGTCTGATCGCAAAAGACGTACCTGTAAATACTGAAGTTGCAATTTCCAACTTGGCGCAAGAAAAAAAAAAAAAAAAGCAACTGAAGCAACTTGAATTGCAGAACATTTGCACCGTGACAGCTGCTAACTTGAGCCCAAACGAGTCTGGTAACACGCTACAATGCAATAAACAGTCGCTGCACATTGATTGCAACTGTTGCACACTGCACATAGTCTCAGACGGGGTTAAAGGGATGGTGAACCGAAATTGGGTTTTCAGAGAATGATGCAGAAGCGGTAGGCGAGACTCTACAATCTTTACAGCACCACTCGCACGGTGATATCTCGATGGACGGCCATATTTTTGGACAAAAAAGGTCTAGATTAAACGAGGCCGACGAGGCACATGACGTCAACATGTCTCGTTTCCTCCTCTCTTCGCTTCGCCCCCTCAAGGCAGCGAGGCGGAAAAGCCCACGAGGCCCGTTTCCTCTCCTCCTTGACTCTTCTCGGAGAAACGACGTCAACATACCTGTCAAATGCGCCTCCTTTTTTTAGAAAAATACCGTCATTCGTTCGAGATATCGCAGTACGAGTGATGTTTTGGTGTTCGTAGCATCCCGTTTCACGCTTTTGCTGCCCTGTTTTGTGGTATCCAGATTTCGGTTCAGCATCCCTTTAAGAGCAATTGGTAGAAGTCTCAGTTGTCCGACCTCCAGTGGGAGCTTGCTATTGTTAACGCTCCGGCGTCTCAAGAGTCCACGCGCAGGCAGTGCGGTGCGGAGGAGGCAGCCACAAACTGGTACTTTCCCCGTGTCTGATAGGTCTAGCCAAGTGGTATCCTGAACAGTCCAAGCCCGAGTGCAAACTACATTCAGCATGCAACTTTGGACCACATCATGTGGAGGTGCACGAAAATGAACAGGGTTAGACATCCCGTCATCCGGGAGGTGACAACTCCATAGCAATGGTACTCTCTTCTCAAGAGCACAGACTCAACCACGCAGAAGAAACTAGTCCAGGTAGCTGCAGATGCCGCCAGGGCCCAAGGGCTCCTGGCCGCCTTCCAAGGGGCGGCAGTGATGACTGACTGGACTTCCGGTCGGTTGCACCAGCCGTCAACACCACCTTTGGGCAAATAAAAGATTGTTCGTTCATTCAGGCAGTGCACGAAGGACGAGCACATGCTAGAGGCTGGACATTCGAAAAAGACGCTCCGCCATATTCATCCCGTCTACGACCACGGAAGTTTTACAGCGTCGGGCGAAAACGGCACGTCTGCACCGCTTCGACGACAAAAAGAAACAACACAAGGACATTGAGATTTTATCATCTCTCGCGATATTGTTTTATTCCAGTTTTCTCGTGGTAGCCTGTCCCGCTAACAGCGACAATGATGCGGAGGTACACGCGTGTTTCCCCTCCTCCAAAGCCTCTATTTTCAATGTAAGTCTGTTGACAGCCGACTCTTGCAGAACGATCGGCCATGTTCGTGACCTTGACACCTAAGGCACTCCATTGCACGATGATGGGACAAGCCTCCATGCACACTGCTAGAACGAGGACGACAAAAATAGGCGCTCGTGGCAGGAACGTCGTCGGAAAATAAAAGCTCGAAAAGGTATGCTGTGTGCGAGCGGTCTTGCACACGAAACCGTTGCGGAATCCAACTGCTTAGAGAAGATATGCACCGTCGAGCCCTTTGATAACAAACTAACGTCGCACCGGGTGCGTAAAAGACTGCGGTCCAGTTCGTATGGAACTCGCATAAATATTCATATTTGACAACAGAAATGGTACAAGACTCAAAAACCCCCGAGACTGCAGGTAACGACACACACGCTCGGAAGTTAGACTTTTGAGTGTGTGTGTCATTACCTGCAGTCTCAAGGTTTTTGAATCATGTTTCATGTAAACTAGCTCGTTTGTGCCCTAATATTTATTCCAGAAATGGTATAGTTCTGAAAAGTCTTGGATTGCAAAAATGAGCCTTTAGAAAAGATTTGAGACTAATTATTCCCTTTCTGGTTAGTTCCGTCTTGAAATCCTACAAACCATTGTAAAAACTAACAAAAAACATGTTTGATTTATACAATTTCAAAATAACGTTTGAAGAGGACAGTTCAGACCTATGTTTGTTATTTTTTTACTTTAATAAAACATGTGGCTGAATAGAGGACATTCCAGGAAAGCTGCAAATTTTCAGTTGCTTCAAGTAAAGACAAACCTGCTGCAACAAAATTAAGTTTTCTTTCGCCAGGTAGGACTTTTTCTATTCAGTACTACCTCATAGCTGTCGCTTCTCAAATTTGTTGAAATCAAAATCAGCCAGTCTTCAACTCTTCCCAACAATGAGATCCCAACTTCACAAAAAATTAAACCAATCCATCCAAACTATCCGCGCAAAAAAAAAAAAAAAAAAGATAAACATTTTGCACAACAGTCAAGTTCGTTATTAACAGGGCTCACTTCTTCATTGCTGCTGAGGTTCTTTTGCGAAACCCAGGTACACCAGTCTTAAAAAAGTATTTTTTTTGCAGCAACCTTCAACCTCCTTTGAAAACAAAGATTAAAAAGCATGTGTAAATATCGGTACAAAAGAAAAATGCAACACAGAATCGAAATTCACACACATACAAGCACACACCCGTTTTCCGTTCTACAAATGTGGCGTTTCGCCACCGCTGTCATCGGCTTGACCGATCACTAGGGATCGGGTTCGCCAAGCGATCGGGTCCTACAAGTGCAAGAGGGCACCTTACAAAAACCTGCGGTCGCGAGGCGCTGTCTTCCGAGAAGTGCGTGTACAAATATGGCAGAAAAATATGGGGAGGTCTGGTGGCAAAGCAGCAGTGACAGGAGAGCGAGTACCAAAAACAAGAAAAGCTGGTGTGACCATAATTGTTTTTCCTCCTTCCCATTTAAAAAAAGAAAAGCAATGTCGCGATAACAAAAGTTATGTTCGCAAAGTCGCAAAACAAGAGCACCAAGCGTGTAAACACAAAAAATACAAATAAGCATGGTTGTGGTCAGTGGGCTGGTGGATATGCAGTGTTGTCGTTTGCCAAGTTTTTCGTGGGCTGCGTGAACCAAGTACATGTCGGCAGAAAAAAAGGCATAAAAAATGGGTGAAAGTACAAACTAATGTAGCGAGAGAATCGAGCACAGAAGCAGTAGTAGATATGCTAGTGGTACAATGTATCAATAAACAAACTATGCACAATGCTAGTGATCTGAAAACGGACAAGATGACACTTCAACAAGCTTAATCACCGGGTGAAAATGGAGAACAAATTCGTCGTGTCAACACAAAACACACTGACAATCGACTGAAAACTCTGCAAACCAGACGGGACATCCTTCAGGGCGTCGTGGCAGTTCAAGCCGAGACTGAAAGAGTTTCCGTTTGCGTTGGTCAACTAAAACTTGCTCCGACTTCTTCCTTAGCCTACCTACTAAAGCGGACGTAAGAAATCATAGTACAATAAAAATGGTTGCACAGTCTCGCAGTGTAAAAGTACTGTGCTAAGGTATCGTTGCAAACTGCTGTTACGAGCAAAAACAAGTTATAAAAAAGTCACGAGGCAAATTGCCCGAAGTGGCAAAGAAAACCTTCGACTCAAAGCTTTTGTTCCAATGTGATAGTAACACTGAACAAGATGTGGCTATTCCACATGAAGGAAAAAAAAAAAATGCAGTACGAGTATTGTTTCACCTCCCACAAGCGTTGCTACAGGTATCGGCAAACAAAAGTTTCTAGATTTCCGGTACTAGCGATTTTTCTTTTTCTTCTAACCTGCGAGGAAAAGCAATTCAGTTGGTTGCAAGGAACTCTTGAAAACCGAGCTAGTAGGCCATTAAAAGCTTCTCAGGTGTTGGCCTGCACAACCAAAATGAAGGTCATTAAAATCTCAGGTGTTGGCCTGCACAAACAAAATGACTTTTCAACAGTACTGGACAAAAGCAAGTTTTGAAATGCACGGTTACGTCTTCCAAGGATGACAAAAATTGGCCCTTCGGCAACTACTAGTGTATATTCCGTTTTGCCCTTAACTTGGATCGCAGTCAACATCGGAGTCTATACATACAAGCACAACAATAAATATAGTTGAAAAATCATTAATTGTTTTAGGACACAATTTAGAAGTGTCCACAATCCCCGACACCTCCTTGTCAAATATAAATGCTCGATTCAAGCCCCAGCTATTCAAAAACACAAAGAAATAAGCATCAAAGACCCCCCTTAAAACATGAAGAAACTTGGAAGTTGAACTCTTTGAATTTCTTTGTCAAGTACCACTCGCTTGGGGAGGTCTTAACAATGTACTTGAGAACCAATTTCAGTAAACTTGGCATTGTTGTTTTTAAGCAATAACTAAACTGTATACTAAGGCTTTACATTCTGCCCTAAACTTGATATAAATATGAAATAATGAACTGCAACTTGCGAGTAATTATCGTTTCTTCGCTTCGTCTTAAAAAGAAATCACAAAAGACCTATACGAAATTACCTAATTAAGAGATTGTACGTCATTTGTTTGTGAAAATACATTTTAAATTTGACTACAGACAAAGTTTAAGGGTTCTTATTCCCCTCTTTAATAGGCTTTGCAGCAGCCCATGTAAGGGCAGAACAGAGTACTGCTATGCAGAGAGCAAGTCGTCTGCTTCTTGCGCAGGAGTTGCGGCGACGTCAGAACGATGCCGAGCTCCGACTGGCTTCGATTAAAAGGATAGTGGGTAGACCTCGATACCCACTATTTTTTTCAATCGGCCCATAAGAGCCCGACGTTCTGACATCGTCACAACCCTTGTGCACGAAGCCGACAAACTTGCGCTCCGCATAAAACTTGATAGACTCCCAACAAGGTTAACAAAGCCTGCAGCTTGGGTACAAACCTGCAAATCTGAATAGCTTCTTTCGAGATGCAGGTACACTGAATTCCTCGTGCGACAGTGCTGCAACGAGAAAGACGATTCTGGCAGTTGTGTCGCCGTTAAATATGGCCGTGCCCTCCCACCCTCCAATGCTCGGCTACCGAGTTTTGGACGTTCGACTGATCGAATAGGGAACAGTCGTGACTTTTTTTGTTACGCACTAAATGCATCTCGTCCGTCCGACATCTTTGTCAATGTGTAGTGTGTACGGTTTGAAAGCAAACACTTGTAAAGGCGCAGAATTCCCCCAAAACTTCCTTTGTTAAGTGCCCAAACGGGACACGCATGTCGCAAAATAGTTTCTATGGAAAAAACATTTTTAGCGTAATATTTCGACACATTGACTTGAAATGGACACATGTTCTGGAATCGCTCCTAGTGACACTTGACTCCCCAAAAATATATTCTTTAGGTGCCTGCATTGCTGAGGTATGTCGCAAACATTCAAAATTAACCTCATTAACTAAACATTTCTTTTTACATACATGTTCTATGTAGACACTTTAAAAACAACATTTTTTGAGTTTGGTGTTCCTTTAACTACCTAGGGAGGCCTGAGCTACAACTTCTTGAAACCGAGCTGCGACGTACTCAACCCTGTCACGAATCGTAGCTAACCTACTTAAGGCATGACTGCGCCGGAGTCCGGAGACAAAATAGTGAACGTGTTAACAAACGGCATGGCAGACGACGCGGTTCTCCCTCGTGCCAGCCACGTAAAAACATGTCGTCGGCATTAAAATTTCGTAAGCCTTAAATGCAAGCTCCAAGCGACTAAACCCAGTTGGTTTTGTCAGGCCGCAGACGTTGAGGACATTGCAATACGAGGGCAACAATTCGCTTTCTGCTTCCGCCATCTGTTCTGCAGTTGTCTTACTGCAATGAACACGCGCAAAAGTGCAATCATTAAAAAAATAAGCAACTGCAAGCACTTGACACTGTCCAAAATGCTCCGTCGCTTTCCGGTTATTTGTGGACACAAAGACTGCCCCACGGTAGGACCTATTTCCTGCTACTCCAATCTGCAAGCGTGTGCACTGCATTTGTTTCGGCGCTAAACTAAGAAAAGCAGCAGTTGTAAACCCGAGAAAGTGGCAAAAACCTATTCTCACAGCGCTGCGTGTTCCGCAAACCAGAAGTTTAGGAAACCGAGCCACTGCACGGTACGCTACCTTTCGCTCTCTTTCGGCCCGGACGTTGGACACCTCTGCTCCGTAAGGATTCACTTTCGTCGTCACAATATCACACGGCAAAGGATGTCAATTCACTTCTTGAGTTGCAAAAAAAAAGCAATAGGACAAAAATTATATATATCCCAAAGCCGATAACCTTTTTGAATAATGACCATGCTGACAGTGTTGCAAATGAAATACGCTCCTCAACACTCGCATTGACCTCGGCTCAGGAACGTGCCTCATACTTCATTTGAAACATTCTCGTCTTTGCACAACTGGCGTTGCTGCAACTTTCACAGCGGTGCCGCCAAACACGCGGCTCGAGAAGCGCCCAATCGTGTCTCGTCGACGAAAACGAAGACTGCAAGTCGTACGACTAAGTTACAGACAATGAAATGAAACACAACCTTCACACTCATTCCGCGCTGTGCGGAGATTAGCTCGAAGCTTCCAATCGGTCCCTTCCCAGTTGCCATGACAACTGTGTCAATGCCACTCGACTCGTTCACTGTTCAGGTCCTTCCACACAGCAGCGTTCGACTACGTTACATTGCAATATGACTGCATGTCACCGGCACATCCATACTTTGTACACCATGTGGCAAGTTACTCCTTGAATCGGTTAGGCTTGGTGTTGTTTTTTTTTTGGAGGGGGGGGAGGGGTTAGGTTATTGAGATGGGTGTGAAGGAGGGAGTGGGCTGGGATCATTTCGGGGGGTCGTCTGACCCTGAAACCTTCCCTTCTGACTACACCACTGCCACGCTTCATATTAAGCACAGATGTCCCGGCATCTGCCAGTCGTAACTTGATGTTAAACACAGCCAAACGTAGTCTAGCGGTACTGCGTAAAAGCACCTTTAAGTGGCACCTGGGATCACTCCTGAGGATTCACAAAAAAAAAATATTAAAAAACGGCGCCGTCAAATGTTAAAAACTGACGGTAACCAAACTGCCGCAGGAAGGGGACTCGTCTCTTTGTTCGAAACACTTTCCCCGGCCGAACCTACGACTGGGGGACAGCCCTCTGCACGGTGACGTCGACAACAACAACAACAACAACAAACGGCGCAAGGGCCCACCATGGCTCGCACGGCACGCCAAGCACCGCATCGCGTCGGAAGACACCGGCCGCAAACTACGCCGTCGGCTCGTCGGGCTGGTTGGGCAACGCCGGTGGCACGTGCAGCGAGTTGCTCCAGTTACCGCCCGACCGTGCGCGCCGCATGATCTTTCCACTCATGATCAGCCTGCCGAAGCCCTCCTGGTGCGCAAAGGCATAACCAGAGCGCACCGATCGGCGTCTGCTCCCCTGCCGCACGCTCGTGGCGCGCCCCAAACCGCTCTCCGGGGCGCCCTCGCGCCGCAGGCGGCGGGCGCGGCGCTGCTTGAGTCGCACCCGGTCCGAGAGGGTGGGGAACACGTCGACGTAGAAGAAGCGGAAGGCGATGACGGGAAGCAGCAGCAGCGCGACGGTGAGGAACGCGACGAACCAGAACTGGGCCGACCCCAGGGTCATGCGCAGAGAGCCAAGGAACATGTTGCCCACAATGTCCGAGTTGATCAGGAGGGTCATGGCGAGGTAGAAGGCTACCGATCCCCAGATGACAACGTGGTTGAAGACCGTCCAGTAGGACGTGTCCAGGGCTATCTGCAATGGCCGAGAAACGCACGCAGCCTCTCAGTCTCGTCGGAGCAAATCCCTCGAATGTAGCCAAACATGTTTATAAAAGACGCCTGTGCATCTGTTTCGCTATGCAGCATGCACGAGTCAAATCACTATGATTAGAGCCAATAAACTAGCTACGTTTGTGGGCACTGCTATTTTGATGCCATAGTTACAATTAGAAAATGCAACTCCTTAAACCGAAATTTTGAGCTTACAAAACAAGACTGGACGGATAGGCGGGGACGCAGCAAAACCCAAGAACATCACTCGTACAGCAAAATCTCCACGGCTCGGCGTATTTTTTAAAAAGAAATGGGCGATTGAACACAGCCGACGAGGCCCTCGAGACAATTCACGTCAACGATTCTCATTCCCTCTTCTCCTCGCTACTTCCCGTCGAGCTGGTGAACTGAAGCGAGGAGGAGAGAAGCGAGGCCGCTTTCCTTCATTCTCAAATATTCCAGGAGGACAATGACGTCATAGCCCTCGCTTGATCGCGCCCTTCTTTTTCAAAAATACGGCCATCAGTTTGAGATGTCGATGTAGGAGTGATGTTTTGGAGTTCGTAGCGTCCCGTTCAATGCTTCTGCAGCCTCATTTTGCAAAATCCAAATGTCGGTTCAGTATCCCTTTAAACAATATGGCGCCAGAAGGCTCAGGCAATGTTGTTATCAGGGTGTTGGAACGAAATGTTTTTCGTTCCGTTTTCATTTTCGTTCCATACAAAAAAGTTCCGTTCCGTTTCCTCTCCGGAACGAAAAAATAATGCTCCGTAACGGTTCGTAACGGTTTCTTTCTATAAAAAAAAAATCACAGCAAAAATTAAAAGGAACGTAACGTTTATTTTTACACAAAAATAGATAATTCAGGTGCTCTAGAGGGATCCGCGGAAACGACATTGCTTCTGAGATCATGTTCATTGCCTTGAGAATGAGATCATGATCAAGGCACCGAGCATGATCTCAGAAGCAGCACGTCATCAAGTGTGCTCGGTGAAAGGCAAGTCCGATAAAATAAATTTCAGCGCCGAGAAGGCCCTGAAGGCCCATAGGGATGAAGAAGTACATTTTGCAACAGAGTCTCAGACTGCCGTATCCGTAGAAAAACAAAAGATGGACTTCTACAACGCCGGGTCACAAACTTCCCGCGCTTGCCGTGATCTGTTGTCTGTCTGTGTCGTCCGAAGAAAGCATGGAGGGAGAGGGCGCAAGAGCCAAGGAGAGCATTGCGAGCGTGTGAAGGCGTCGCGCCACCGCGCTCTCATTGGTGGGAAGCAATGATGCCTTGCGTCATGTTTTTTGTTTCTCGTAGTAGTTTTTGTCTTTGTTTTTGCTATGCTTGTTCGCCCGGAGTTTAGACGCGGGGGCGATGCTTGTTTTCTCTTTAATTATGGTACAAACCAACGGCAGTCTCTTCGCTGCGTGAAACGAATTACTGAAATACCTGATATTTTTCCTTGAACCGAAAACCGATAAGAAAATTTTTCGGTTTCACTCCGGAACAAAATAATAAATAACGTTTCGATTACGTTTCCGTTCCGCCAAAAAATATTGTTTTTTTCGTTTTTCGTTTTTGGTTTTCGTTTCGTTCCGATACCCTGGTTGTTATGCTACGTCGTGGATAGTTCTCACATTTCCAGGGGCGGAAGACCGTTTCTCATGATTTCAGATAAAGCTTTGCATAATTGGCAACAATAATTTTAAGCACCAAAATGGACGAAGCGTTGTTACTTCGAGGCCTGGCTCTTTTTGTGGATCTAGCTACGTCCTGCGGAAGGCGATTGTTAATGGGGAGGTGAGAGGTTACTAAGCATGTCACCGACATGCTTGCAATCCTGGACAGCCTGTCGTTTCAGGCCTAAATGTTATCCACAGCACATTTTCTGGCCCCCTTTCATAGACTGTCATGATTGGCTTAACTGTGCCCTTGCAGGAAAATCGACATAAGGGCATCGCTAAACAGTTGCACCATGGCTGACATCTGTTATAATGCTAGCTTGCCACTTAATGAAACCTTGTCACTTATAGCATCGCCTTGCTTCTTATTATGTCATCGTGCCTCTTATTGTCATCTGTTTCAATAAGATGATATCATGTCATATTGCTACCTATTATCACGTGGCAACATTGCATCATATCGCCACTTACTGTCATATTGCCACTTACTGAGTCGCATTGCCACATACTGTCACACTGCCACATATTGTGTCACTTGCTCATAGTGTGTCATATAGCCACCTGTTGTAATGTATCCCGGGCGAAGCTCAAGCCACGACACCGAGGAGCGCACATTGCTATATATTGTGTCACATTGCCACTTACTATGTCACACTATCGCATATTGTCATCCTGCCACTTATTGTGTCACACTACCCCTTATTGTGTCATCTTGCCATTTACTGCCACCAGTTTCCAGATGACAACTATGGCCCTAGACCGAAGTGTCACAAAGCCAGTGAGCAAATACCAGCACTGCCTCACCTGCGCGTTGACCACGATGACGAGGATGGTGGAGACGGCCGTGCCGAGGAGCTGCTGCCCGTCCAGGTTGACGCCGTCTGGTGCGATGCTGTTGCTGAACGCTCCGTAGGGCACGAAGAAGAGCACAAACGACGACACCACCCCGTGGGCCACACTCTTCAAAAACTCCACTTTGTTGAACAGCAAGTTCAGGTGGCCCGGCGCATACAGCTTCGGGTAGCGCATTGAGTTGGTGTCGCTCACATCCTGAAATGCCGCCGCCGCCGCCACGCGTAGATGAGTCGTCTCAGTGTGCCACAGGAATCAAAGCAAAATGCCAAATTACGGTGGCTGGCGTGCATTTATAACTGGTGCATTTAGCATCCTATAGACAATTCTAATAAAGTGAGAGTATGGTGGCTGGCGTGCATATCTGACTGGTGCATTTAGTGTCCTATAGACCATTCTACCAGGGTGAGGAGAGAGAAATTAGCCTTCATGTTTGGGCAGTTCCAGCAGCACTGCCCACCAAAACTGCCCAAACGATGAGAATGGCACGTGCCCTTTCCCTGTTCTATGCCAACGAAATGGCAGAAAATGTCTGTGAAGGACAATCATTTTGCCGTCTGCTATCGGGAGTGGGCGCATGCCCTTTCCCTATTTTAAAACCAACGATTTTGTAGGATTGCCTGGATGTACGTAGGTGGCGCTGCACGTAGGTGGCGCTGCAGTCAAACAAACTGGCGCCTTCCAAAGAACCCTTACTGAAATGGTCTATGCTGCCTATGCATCATAACTGGTCACGAAGTGGCTACAAATGACATCATGGGAGTCGGTGCGTCATGCTGTCAGATGTCGCAATCTTGGCAGTTGGCCGTAGAAGTTAAACCAAAAAGTATGAGCGACTGCAAGTGTTGCTGTCGTCGTGGCATCCAAACTCCTGGCTGCCAAAGTTTTTATGGACTGTCAAGCTAAGGGTCGTACTTGTGGCGCCGTCTCTCCGTCAACGCAGCCAGCATTCAGTCAGAAGCAAACGATGCAGTAACAGTGCTTGTCGTGCGTATCGGGAGATGGCGCCACAAGCAATGGACACTTCAAAATGCAGTTTTTGGGAGAGTCCCACCCACCTGGTCAAAGACTCCCAGCGCCAGCACTGGTAAGGATGTGTAGAAGACATTGTAGAAAGAGATGAATACTGGGTCGTAGAGGGTCTGTGTAAAAACGTGAGTCATTGTGTTATTATCACAAAAGCTCGTGGTTTCAGCATACATGGTGCTTGTCTAAGACAGAGGTTACAAATAAAAACTGTGAATTTTCCAAACTTGGGAATTCTGCAAATAATATGTTAAGTGCCCGATTTGACTGGACAAACGCCCATATGTCTAGATTAACCCAGCTTTCAGTGGAAGTGGGGTGGGTGCCACCCCGGTATTTTACGCTATGATATTTGTCTAGTGCTAGGCACTAGCTAAACTGCCCTTTATGGAAATTCGGCTACTACTAAGCACAAGCCAAATGAACTTTTATGCAAATTTGGCTGGTAATATAATATGCACTGGCCAAATGGCATTTTAGAGTAATTTGGCCAGTACTATGCACTGACCAAATGGTCTTCTAGGGAATTTTGGGTAGTTGTGTGCACTGACCAAATTGCCCCTCATGCCAATTTGGCTAGTACTGTGCACTGGCCAAAACGAATGATGACATTAGGCCAGCACTACAAACTCACCAAACTGTCTATGAAACTTCTTCTACTATTCATGGACCAAATTGCCTTTTAAGACAGTTCAGATTTTAAGCCGGATCAATCTTCATGCAACCACCAGTCTGAATACCACCGAACGGGTTCCTCACCTGTGCAGAGAAGCCGCAGAAGAAGGCGAACCAGAAGTGGCACAGGGTGAAGGCGAAGTTCTTGTAGAAAAAATAGCGCAGAAAGCGGCACATGCGCAGGTACGACCAGCGCCCGTGCACCAGCAAGAGGCGCTCCAGGAACCGGAATTGGGCGAGGGAGAAATCCGACGCCAACACTGCCTGCATGCCCTCCTGGCCACTGATGCCCACACCGATGTGGGCCACTGTAAACAGCGAGCACACAGAGTTACTGCAGCCCTTGGCTGGTGCAAAATACGCTTCATTCCAGATTTCGTGCATGCCAGCTGATCAAACCCTTGCCCCACTGTCTATGGCACTGACCATCTTCGCCTCGTGCTATGAATTGCAATAGCATTCGTCTAGGACAACCTCAAAAACAACGTCTAAGACAACGTCGAGGACGACGCCTAAGATGACATTACGGACGACGTCCTAAAAGACAGCATCAAAGACGACGTCTAGGGTGATCTCTAGGGCGATCGCAAGGACAATCTCAAGGACGTCTAGAATGACCTCTAGAGCAATCTTAAGAATGACCTCTAGGATGGCATAAAGGATGACATCCTAAAGGACGCATACCTCAAAAACGACACCTAGGACGACCTCTAGAACAATGTCAAGGTCGTCAGGTCCTTCAAAGAGGGTGCAAATGTGAAGGAGTGTGAGAATGTGAGCTGAAATGGTCTACTGCACATTACGAGGCCAGAAATTTGGGGGGTTAGCTAAAGAATGTTATCGCATTAAAAGTTCTTGAAGTTTCACAGTAGAACCTCGAAGTTAAACCCGGAGGCAGTGCAATACCGCCGTGATCAGCGGTATTGCGCTGCCCCCAGGATCAAAGCAAATTTCTCACCATGTGCGTATGCATATTTTATGTACCATATTTTCCAGTGTATACTGTCACGAATGACAATTGATGAGGCGATGAAAGCTGAAACAAACTAAGCGTTTAATGGGGCGAACTCGTGCCCAAAACAAAATAGAGAAAGGCTAGCGCCGCAGGTGTCGATGGCGGCGTGGCAGCAGGATCAAGCGCTAGGGCAAGACTGACTCCGGCTCGCCATGCGGAGCCCCTTTTGTACATGCGAATGCTTCTGGAACTACCGGTATAGGTTCGGCGCGTAGAGCATTCTAACCTCAAATAAACAACAGGGTTCTCGAATTTACTAGAATGCAACAGTTACAGACATAATAAAAAGGTACTTCCACTGCCAGGAATTGAACCATGGCCCTTTGCGTGGGAGCCAAGCACGATAATCTTTCGGCCACGGATGCGCTTCCTCTGTCGCGTGTGGCAATATGTCGCAGTTTTTTCCCAAATTTTTGTCGGTGCGCGTCTTATACAATGATGTCACTTATGTGAATTTTGTTTAGTAACCGTGGGACGAGCTGCAATTTAATATAACCACAATTGTTCTATTTATTGCTTATTTGTTGGCGAGAATATTGAAATTTGCTGCTCTCGCTCGCGTGCATTTCGATTACAATACACACATGCTGCCTTATAAGTGCAGTTTTGCAGCTCCGACCGTACAAAAAATGCAACTCATGCAAAGATGCAACTTTTACGAGAAACCTGAATGTCTATAAAGGATTGCGACTTACGCGATGGCACGACTTATAGACTCGGGACTACGGCAACTTTTCGAGCATGTTTTGGATGATGCAATTTTCGTATTGTATACGTTTTATTCTTTTGGTTCCCATGAAAATGACATCAGAGAGGTGCCATAGCGTAAATGAAAAGCAGACTTACTTTTAATCATGCTGACGTCATTGGCACCGTCGCCAATGGCGAGTGTGACAGCCCGCTTGTGGCGCTTCACCAGGTCCACCACCAGCGCCTTCTGGAGGGGGGTGACTCGGCAGCAAATGACCGCCTTGCAGCGACTCGCCACTTCAAGGAAGAGCAGCTCCAGGTCTTCCTCTAAGGCATGTGCCTGAAAATAGAGGAGCACCTCTAGTTTGAAGGACTTCATCACCATTGGCTCATTTGCGTGGTAATATTTACTCTTTATTAGGGATGGGCAAATATTAGGTTATTACAAATAGCCAGTCAAATTCTGTTTTATTCGGCATTTGCTTCGAATCGAATTTAAGTACACGACAATATTGAATGATTCTACCTTTCCGAATACTCTGGCTTGGATTTTCGGCCAGGTGGCGCAAGCTTCCGACCATTAAAACGATTTCGTGCTCCCAAACTCAGTACACTTGAAATTAAAAATTACAGAACTTCTAACAGCAAATAAGAGCAAATATAAAACTATAGTTTAAACATATCTTGTGGTATTTGTTGCTTGTACTATTCTAACTATTCGATTCAAAATTATTAGGCCAAAATCACTATTCGCTTCGAATTCGATTCGAATCCAAAACCCTCTATTCGCCCATGCCTACTATTTACGCATCCCCCGACTTGTCTGCTCCCAATTAAAAAGCTAAAGCTTTTCTTTTGCTTATGTTACAATTTTATTCTTCCTTTAAGATCAAAAACTTAATTTTGGCTTCCCTGTGTCGTAAAACGTGATAGCACTACACAAGGGAAGATTACAGTCTAAGCTCATTATAACAGACCTGGTTGCAACAGACATTTGGATATAACATACTGATTTGTGAAGTTTGGTTGGTTTTCTTCTACATACCATTGACTCAATTTCATGTCTGCATACAACATACTCCTCTTACAACAGACTGAAATCTTGGTCAAAATCAAGGTCTGTTATAACGAGCTTAGACTGTATTTGTCAAAAGATTGCATAATGCGTAATGTTATCCCGTTAGATTATCATGACAGATGTTAATCTGTCATGATAATCTAACGGGATAATGTTTTTCACAACACAGCAAAATACGACATTTGTCGTTGTGCAACATGATAACCTTTGTCAAGATGACATATTGGGATAACATTTGCCACAACATGACACGGCATGATAACATCTGTCGCGACGTGACAGTGTGATTACATTAGTTATGATAACATAAAATGATAATGTTAGTCGCAATAATTTGATGTAAGATTTGCAATAACACAATATGTGATTGCATTTGTTACAACATATCAATGAAGTGATAACATCTATCACAACGTTTTTGATGCAATAACATTTGTTACGATAATGTAAAATTACAACATTAGTCACAATGATTTAACCCAAGATCTGCCATAACAAATTGTGCACTTGCATTTGTCACAACACTACACAGTGTGATAACATTTACAGTAAACTCTCACTTGAGTGAACTTCAAGGGACCCAAGGAAATAATTAACTTAACTGAAAGTTCACTAAACTGAATACTATATTCACTAGAACATGGAACACCATAGGGCACAGCATATATCAAGTCAAAAGTGTGAAATGCAATTTATGGAGCAATGTACATCGATATATACAAAGTGCATTACAGTTACTACATTGCTTCCTTTCTCATTTTGAAAAAAAAATCTAATTTTAATTTTTACCGGCGCTCTTGAAGCGCATGAAGTAACAAAGGTGTCCTGAGCCCATGTTTTTTTTCACTTCCTCTGGCACAGCTTGTTGCTGTGACAAAGCCATACCGCAACGGCATCGTCCACTGGCTCGAAATATCCCATGCAGAGTTGTTTCCTGTTGGGATTGAACGCAGTTTCTCCTTTAAGCTTAGACTTTTGCTTCACTATCGTTGACAACGTCGACGTGGGCGTTGACAACGTCCAATAGCCTTTGACCGTTGTTCACATGCTGAAGGATTTCAAGCTTGTCTGATAGAGACAACCGCTTTCGTTTTGTCGTACTCATTATTAAAGTGGGTGCACAAACTGCTGTCCTGCCATTGTTACCCAAAACTAAGATGGCCAAACGTAACCGATGCCAGAAAAAAAAACACACCACGTGGTTCGTTTTCGTCTACCGCACCGCTGCTTTGCCTCGGCGGCGCTGTAAACGCCAGCGATGACACGCCGCAGTTGCAGAGGCGGCGGGGCAGCGGGCATCGGCTGTGCTAGCACTGCAGAGCACAAAGCTCCGTTGAACTGATTGCAAAAATAATCCTGGGTCCACCGATCAAATTCGTTGAACTGAAATATTTGCTATTCCGAAATTCGTTTTACTGAAAAATTTTTGCATGGACTGCATAGGAAAACTGCCGGGGATTTTTTTATAAAGTTCGTTATTTTGAAATGTTTGTTGAAACGACATTTGCTCAAGTGAGAGTTTACTGTACCACAAAAAACATTTGTCCCGATTATGCAACACTTGTGGTCACGCAACACGGAGGGGTGAGGAAGGGCGACGCACCAGGCTGTGGCCATTGACGATGAGGGCAAACCCGCCGAAACCTTCTCCCCCTGTCATCTCCCAGCCGGCCTCATCAGGCCCGCCGTCGCTGAAGCGCACCACGGCGCAGTCTCCGGCCCCCCGGCCGTGTGCCACGATGCCCGCTATGCTCTCCCGGAAGGTGCTCAGCTGCTTGAACACTTCGTCACGTTCCGTCCCATCCACGATGAAAATGTCCACCATGTCGTCCGTCAGCAGCTGGCACGAATAGCCGATGTTGATGGCCGTCTCTGCGCATGCCCCGTCCCCCGAATGACCTCCAGTTTTCGCTAAAATTGGTATCCTTGTTTTCTGCAATAGTGGAGTGTGTCCCAAAGCTTTCCCTCCTCTCGTAAACTCAACGGGTAACAGCTCATTTTTTTGTAGAGCGCAGGGTAATAAACCCTTTTCAAAACCCCATCGAGCAGCATTGGCGGACCCCGTTTCTTGGGCACAAAGTGTGCGATTGAATCCGAGTTGTCGCCAAATGATGAAGCACCCCTCGTTTTCGATATGAGCAGTGCCGAGTTTATGTCCAACGTTGATGCAGCTCTCGTGTCCATTACATGCTCAGAGTACGTGCCAGAACAACGGTGGACTCAAATAATTGGCAGAGCAGCCACTAGATAAAGTGCATTTTTGAAAAAAGTCTAATGTCGCCGACCGATTTTTCGGACGCCAGTAATTCGGACATGTTCAATATTTCAGAGCTAAACGAGGAACCGTGACTTACCCGATAGAAACAGTGCATGTTCATGAGCAATGTTTCGGACAGCCTAAAGTCCAAAAGATTTATTTTTCAGAAAAAATCGTCGCGAGCGATCAGCGGGAAACATTACCGAGAAGCCGCCATTCTAGATTGCATGTTAGTTGCACGTGAATTGGCTTTGTTTGGCAGCGCTACTCGAGTACTGTTAAGTCCTACCGCTAGGCAACGCTAGGCTACGGGTTTCTTTTCCTCTAGTTGCGTGTCATTATCCTCATCATTGTTACCATTTCTGCTTTGTTCATTCGCCATTTTGCAGTCGTGGACTGGAGCCTCTCATCTCGTCTCGGTGAATCGTGTTTTTGGACTACGCTGGCTTGGACCCACCATGGCCTCATCTCTTCTTCCACCGCTGCAAAGTGTCACCAAGAAGCGCGGAAAGTACTCGACCATTAAACGTAAACCTTTTGGTGGACATCCACCTGGTTAGGAATCACAATGAATGAAAGGAAAACTCTAACCAAAGGGCCGAACTGGCCTTGAAACGTCGGGCTCCGTATCAATTTTTTGGTTAGAGTTTTCCTTTCATTCAAAGTACTCGACCACAACGCTAGAAAAGAAGGCAGCGATTTTCAAGCTAATAGAAAATAGCCAAACGCAAATAGAAGTGTAACCTGAAGCAAGGCACTATTGACGGCTTTTTTGAGCCCACTTATACGTAACAAAGGCAAGTTTTTTAATTTGCTGATTTTTCGGACTGTTCTACTATTCTGTCGTTTTTTCGGTCCCTGCGAAGTCCGAAAAATCGATCAGCGACTGTATTACTGCCACTTTTTCATTTTTAAAGTAGGGATTTATTTGTAAGAAACAATGCAGCTTTCCAGACGTTCCATTGGATTTAGAGGATATATGATGAATCATTGAGAATAATTACGTAGTATAGTTAAAAAAAAACTTTTTAATAAAAGCTCCCCCTCCCCCCCCTACCCACCCAACAAAGAATGCCCTAAATGTGAGATGATATTCTGTGGTGCTTTTAACGCGAGAAGGAATACTTTTGAATATAACTTCCAGTTCGAAATCGCCATAGAAAAATGCACCTACATGTCAGACATCATTGAGGTGCACACAGATAAATAACAGAAAAAATGATAATGCCAATGTCGATCAGACCTTGTTTGTCGCCAGTGAGGACCCAGATCTTGATGCCTGCCATGGCGAGGTTGGCAATTGCCTGCGGGACCCCATCTTGCAGTTTGTCTTCGATGGCCGTTGCCCCGAGCAGAGTGAGTTCTTGCTCGATCTCGTTGTACACCTCGTCCACAAGTTCTTCTCGGTCTTGCAGAGATGTCCTGCAGAGAAGAGCGTGGTATTAACGACATCCTGACATGAGCTCATGTCAGTCCCATGACTAGAACGTCAAGTACAGTCATGCCTTGTTAACATGAACACCGCCGTTACTAAAAAAAGGTCTTTCGTGATGCAAGTCATCCACAATAATGAGACAAAAGAGTGCACGTTTTTAGTCCATTTGTCCCCCAAAATTTTGCCTATACAGTGAGGTATTATTGGGGTCTATGCTAAAGAGACATGACTGTGTTTTAGCGGGTACAGCAGCATCTCTTCGCAGTGAACTTGGCTTCTTGGGGAAACGTAACCATATCTACATCTCAAGTGCTTGCATGCCGTACCATTCTACAAACATAGTTGAACATTGCTCCACTACATACCCATATCTCCGCTATCGTATCGGTTTTTCCTATAGAGAGGTTACAGTGTGACTAAGAAAAAGAACCTGGAAACAGCTACCAAATGTCACCTCCAGACTCATTAAAAATTAGTTTAGAAAAAGTGTTTTCTTTTTTTCTTTCTTATGAAGAGGCATTCATTCACGCCCTGGTGCATTTTATGCTGTAGTGGTAATACTAGTTTCCCGAACAAGAAGTCTTGCTAAACTTGTACTACTACTACTACTAGGTACTAGGCATTAAGAAAACTAAAAGAATGTTTCTGGGAAAAACATTTTTCACCATCATCAACCAACCTCACTAAAGATATTAAAAGGATACTCGAAAGAAACTTAAAATATACCTGTCATATCTATAAACAAGCTAGTATAGACCACTTACAACGTAACCACTTATAGTGCAGGACCGGGTATAACGCGGTTTTTTTAAACCACCGGTTCGCCTCCCATAGAACTCCATGTATTTACATACCGCTTAAAATGCAGGCGCGCGAAGGGAAATACCGGCTATAGTGCGGTTTTTGGCACAGCCCGCCGACCGCGCCGACGACCGGAGCAGCGGGCACGCTTCCCTGTGCGACACAGATAACGGCGCTGACGGCGCGGGGCGAGGATGTTGCTCGAAGAAGTGGGGAGAAGCGAAGAGAGAGGCTTCAGTCGCCGTAGCGACGGAGGGACGCACGCACGTGTCGTTCACGTGCGTGCGTCCCTCCGCTGCGTTGGAAACAAAGAAACAAACAACCGCACCGACAGACCAATCGCAAATCGAGGAGAAGTGTTCGCGCGCGTTGCGTGCCGGTCGCGGGCCGGCTGCTTCTCCGCAAACATGGTGTCGGTTGTGATCGTCGTCGTCGTAGACGGAGCTCATCTCATCGTTCTGCGTAAAAGCGCTATCCTTGACTGTGAATTTTCGTTGTGTCGCTATGATAACCCAGCACGCACTAGAAGGGAAGATTCACCTACTCGTGCGGCGATGTCGTGGCGGCGCTCTCAAGACGGCAGAAACGCCCGTGTCGTCGTGTTTGTTTACTTCGACTACAGTACATCGCCCGGATTTCTTATTTGGCGCATTTCATGCATGTGCTCAAGTTCAAGGTATTACTGGCGCGTACCGTATGAAGGATGCGAATTTTCACGCGTTTTCATCTCCGGAGAAAAGTGATTAGGGTTAGCAATCCTGAACGCTCGCAACGTCCGTCCGCAACCCGCGACGCCGTTAAAAGGCTGCGCCAGGCAAAAGTCGCTCATTTCTTTCAAAATGTGTGACACACTTGAGACAGAACTGTACTAGTCTGGTGAAATAAAGACTTTCCTCAAACTAAGCTTTATTTTTCATCTAACATAAAATAAATTCTTTTACAAAGGTAAGTTGTCTCATAGCATGTATTTTGGTCTGAAAAATTGATGTTTTGGTTATAACGCGGTACCGCTTATAGTGCGGATTTTCGCGACTCCCGCGGCATACGTTATATGCGGTCTACACTGTACTACTACTACTACTAGGCATTAAGAAAACTAAAAGAATGTTTCTGGGAAAAACATTTTTCACCATCATCAACCAACCTCACTAAAGATATTAAAAGGATACTCGAAAGAAACTTAAAATATACCTCTCATATCTATAAACAAGCTAAACATGATCAACTCAATCCACTAATGACAATCGCACACTAGTATTTTGAACGAATATCTAAATTTTTCGTCGCCAAGGACCGATTCTTGCAAGCGCTCAAGGATCAGCCATCGAAGAGCGCAATACATCGCGGGAACTGGACCACTTATTGTCACAGATGCGACGTCAATTGGTCCTGCACGAGCAAAGCTGCTTGGGGGCTGGCGTGCTTATGAGTTCCACCACTTGACGTTGCCAACGCGTTACAGCCTGGCTGTCTTTAGTTGCCCCTCCCCGCTCCCCGCAAGAGTTGAATAGGCCAGGAGAGGAGAGAAATCCGGTTCGACAGGGAAGGCTCGTGTGCACGTAGCTTACTTCCACAGAGCAGCACTGCTTTTAAGTGCATTGTGACGTAACAACATTCGGCTTTCTCCTTTTAAATAATGTTTTGATGTCTTTTCGTGCAAACAATTGGTGTCCCTGTGGTGTGGCCGGAAAGTGGTTCACATTTAGACAATAAAATAGGTGCTAGAAGTTCCTTGCAGTATCCCTTTAATGAAGAATCTGAAAAGCTAAGATTTACTGAATTTGTCACCGAGTGCAGAACTACAGGTAACAAACATGTCACGACCACATTTCCTTCCTCCATAGCGCAAGGCACTACCAGTATATGGTCACTACATTGACTGCTCAGTCGATTTAAACTCAAGAAATAACCTGTTCAAATTGGAACTTGGGTCGACATGGCCTGGGGCACCTATGCATCACATTTAGTTAAAAATAAGAGTTTGTAATTCATGTTCATGTACATTCAAATGCACCATACAAATCAACGAAGTCCCAAAGGCAGCCAAACTTTCGAATATAGGTTAAACATTCACTTTAATGAAACGAAGAGTGAATAAAAACAAATGGTCTCGCGAGCGACTCGCTTCACTTACGCAGCTCTGTGATGTCTTTCGGACCATTCCTGGAAGTAGGCCTCGTCCAAATCCTTGTAAGCCAAGCACAGAGTCCGGAGGCCTTCCCCCGCAAACTTCTGCAAAGATTGTCAGAAAACAAAAAGTGTTCAGCATCGGCTGCTATAAGGGTTACATGTTTTCGGCACATACCGGTAAACCCCTGAAAAGTTACCCCCAAACCAATTTTATAAAAATATGAGGAAAAAAAAAATTGCTGCAAATCGTTAGGCAATTTTGTTGCATACATGAAACATCCTAGCATCAAAAATGTTTAGCGATGCTCTGAGTTGCCAGATGCCAACGTTCATGGCGCTCTTTGTCAGATAGTTTAACGCATGCCATGCGTACACCTGATAGTTGTTCCTAGAATGAAGCTATACCCGATAATCGGGCAGATAAACCTGGTGATCTTCCAGAGCCTTCCATACTCTCGAGCTCCACTCCCTCAGTGCGCACAGCTGGTTGAGCTCCTCCTTGCCTACCCCTCTGGTCACGTGACTCCTCGTTGACCAATGAGCATCAAGCACTTCACTCCTCCTCTCCTGCTTATCAACCAATCGGTGTCAAGCCTCGCGGCCACACTTTTATCCAGGCTTCACTTTTAGGCTTCATGAAATGCCAATCACCTAATCTAAAAAATGTTTCACCTAAAAAAAAAAAATGAAAAAAAAAAAAAAAATTTAATTTGATTTGTTTTTTGAGTAAAAGAAACCCAAGCTTCATGGGAAGAAATCTTAATCTATAGCTTTTTGTGTAGACCTGAAACATAGCCCGCACTAAACTGTATGCAAGGCTGCTTCCTCCACTGGGAATTCCGGCCATTATCTCGTTTTATTCTCCTATCGGTACCAAAGTGTTTTCAGAGTGCAGGGTGTTCCCTTGAAAACGAGAAGCATGTTTTTCGACCCAGGTAAATGAACTATGCATCACAGAAACCTCTAACTCCATGAGAACGTGACGCTAAAGGTTGGGATGGAACATAAAAGTTTTGACTATATTTCGTAAGAAAAACTTGATTTTAGCCTAATATCGTCAAAACAAGAAATGATATTTGTGATGTACCGGTTAATTTGGGATAACACAACGATATATATATATGTTTAACTGTTAGGCTACAATCGGTTGAAGTTATGAGAAGAGTCTTTTCTGGTCTGCGACCGCGCCTCAGTCTCTGGCTTCCAGGCGTCCTGGGCTTTTCCATTACTCGCCGCTCAGCGCTCTACTGCTGATGTCTCTGGTTGCATCCGCCCCGTAGTTTGGGCTCAATAGGTCGTGTTCGCAATACATTGCAAACACACACATAATACACGGCAATATTTCCCCAAGGTAGGTGACCAGCGAGGCTGTTTAGCACACAACACAGATGTGGCACAGACATTGTCTTGATCGGTGGTCATCGTGACGAAAAGTACACACACACACGTGCCACCCGCCGCCGCCACTAACGTTATCGTTGTTGTTCTCGCCGTTGCTCTTCGTAGGCGTGTTGCTCTTTAAGAGTTCGAACTATATGCTGCCTTCCCATTACGACGAGAGAAGAGAAGTGAAATTGAAAATGGAGAACGGCAACTTGTCTTTCTCGTTTTTTTTATATACATTTGTGTGGACGACTATCGCCGCCCCGAGGAGCCTGAGGAAACTAAACATGCGCGACGAAACCGTCACCCGGCGGAAAGTAGACAAGTGCAACAGAACCACCCTCCCTGGGAGAGCGGAAGGAAAGGAAACTAGGTACGCGAGCGCTTGGAACAACGACAAAGAGAAGGCGGTGCAAGCGTAGAGTTTTTGGTCATGCGTACGAAAAATCCACAGAACAATAGCCATAAGCAGCTTCGCTGTAAAACTTCACATTTTCACACGCCCAGTTGCGTAGGTGGCTGGCACGTACATGTTAATATTCTGAGAAGAGGAGTGCTGCCCTTGCACGTGTGTCATGAAGAGGTGTAGCAGGCAAGTTTGGAGTGCCTGCCTCCGGTGTTGCAGGATTGTTCCGACTGTCTTGAACTGTGGTTGGAAAGTCGTCACTGGAAATCGGAGACAGTGAACCGTTTTGCTGACTAATGCTTTGGGAAGGGGCAAACTTTCTCGATGTTGTTGAGCACCTGAGGCTCCCGTCTTAATTCGCAGATACTCCCTCTACCTTTTGGGGTGCATGCCTCGGCTGTTCAATGTGCCGTTTCCAGGTATTTCTGTCGTTTGTGCAAATCTCATATGTCCTGTTTCCTAGAACTCGGACGACGACGCCTTTCGACAATTTCTTGCCATTCCTGTAGTCTCTTGCCCAGACCTGGTCATTCTGATGTAGGTGTCATTCTTTAGAGTTGCGCGAGGCATGCTGTTTTGATCGCATGACATCCATTATTGATGGTCTAAGAAGATTGAACCTTGTGCGAAATTTGTCTCCTGTTACCATCTTGGCAGGTATTAAGCCAGTTGTCGTGTGCGGGGTCGTCCGGAATGCCACCAAGATGTTATGGCATGCCATGGTCAGCCCCGACTTCAGGCTTGTGTTGACAGACTTCTTGAATGTTCCCACGAGGTTTTCTGCCGCACCATTCGTTGAGGAATGGTTCGGGGGTGAGAATGACCGCTGCACTCCGTTTCTAGTCATGAAATCCTGGAATCTGCTTGATTGAAATGACGGGCCATCATCTGTCACAATCCTTTCTGTCAGTCGATATCTTGCAAAATAGAGTTAGAAACAGCCTTATGGTGGCCGCCGAAGTCCACGAGGTCATGGGCACTACCTCGGGCCATTTTGAGTATGCATCAATGATCAGCAAGAAATTCCTTCCTTGAAAGGGGATGGTGTTGAAACTTTGGCCTCTGGTTTGGACCTCTAGCGCTACATTTGGGCGGAGAGTGAGCGTTTGGCGATGCATAGTTTATTTTTGCGGTGAATAAAACCCTGTCAACTTTTGGGTGGGACACCATGTAATTCAGTGAACTTTGAAAGTAACTTGTCAGCAAAACAAAAAAAAACATTCTCTTTTTTGCTGATAATGGTTTTTCACCAATATAAATCCCGAATGCATCCACAATGTCAGCTCCTGTTTCGACGATATTAAGCTTAGGTGGACGTCGGCCCGTTAAAAATATTTTGTCTTTCTTAATTATTTTTTGATCCAGGTGACATCATGTTCTCAAACTTTCGTGTTCTATACCAATTGCTGGTGTCGTGTTCTAACAGAGTTCGAACTTTGTGCGGTGTATCGTTTAATTACGCAGGCCGAAAAACACACTTCTTTTTTCTAGGGAACGCCTGGTATTCGGGTCACGCATATGTTCCCCAGAGGTTGAGAAATCTCATGCCCGTATGCTGTTCTCCTCAAACTAATCCCCCTCCCATAAATGCCTCTCTTTTTATCCGACGCCGAAAAACCTCCAAATTTCGGGGAAAAAAGACACACCCCCCCCGCCCCCAAGAAAACACACCCCTGAATTTAAAGAAAAACAAATCCCAAAAACAGGCAACCCTAGCTGTCATCTGTTTTTTATCTACGGTAACTTTAAGAGTTTGAACACCACTCGGACATTTTGTACGAGTGAATGCGAGGAAAGTTTGGGACAAAGTTTGGGACAACGGATTACAAAGAGGCAAGAGAAGAAACATGGTTGCTCTCACATTGAGGTGTTCCGTAGTCTTGTTCTTCAGCGCCTCGCTGCTCGGATGCAGACGCTCAAAGATGACAGAGTCCGCACCCTTGCAGTAGAGTTTGAGTTGGCCGTCCTTCTTCACGATCACCTGCAAGTGGTGCGAGCTCAAATGAATCGCAAACTCGAAGCGCACCCTATCAACACCTTCTAGATAGCAAGCAGAATTGTGCCGCGCATACATCTAAACAGCGAAAAGTCAGTCAGCCCAAAAGGGTGTCTTGTGGCTCCGCTGGATGAGAAATGTAGCCTGTGTAGTGCGGCCGGTAGCTTGGGGTCTTTTTAAGGTGCATCACGCAGTAGTGATACACAACGTCTAGCCGTTAAGATGCTCCTCCAGATGGCGTGCTGACGCATGTGCTCTGTAGGAGCACGCATGTGCTGCGAGCTGCATGTGTTAGCAGACTCGGCCACTGATCTTCTCCGAGGAACCAAGGACGTTGGGATGGATTTTCTATGCCACCTACCGGTAGCTAGTACAAGACATAGAATGGACACAAAAGCTGCATTGGTGTTTGGCTGGGACCTCTGCTCAATTGGTGAAAACCCGAGTTCCAGCTGTCACTGACACAGTAATCGTGTCTGATTTGTGCCCTGCGCTGGGCTCTGGTAGGTCACAGAAAATCCCTAGGAAAATGACAATGTCCCATATTGGAAGCCGGTGATTCCTCCACTTTTTGTAGTATTCCACGTTCATTATCCGCTTAACTATCTCATGTTTGCTATACCTTACACCTCACATAGTGTTTTACGAAGAAGCATTCACATCCTCGAGGTGAGGTGCTACTTCTCAACGACACACAGCAAGTTCCTCGCCGAGAAGACGCTCTACCAGGGGCACAGATGAACACGTGAGAAGTCGATTGCGCTAGCTTCCGGCCAATGAAAACATAAAAACTTTCCATTTTCAAAGAGGTTAACTGCTCAAAACCATGGGCCACAAATATTGAAGTGAGTGCAGACCTTTTGAAACCCTTCCTAACACTAACTCCTCTAAACTTTGCATTTAGGTGAATCTTCAACTATCCAAACATTCTTGGCTTCCGAGGCCTAGAGGTTTGACACCATCACCATACAGTTTTGCGCACAAACCATGCACTACTTGGAAATTTGTTACTCTTCAGACGACTGCCTCTCACCCCACCATATTATATTTGCATTTATAATTACGGACATGATGAGGACAACAGGGCAGAACTTCAGTTGCCCCATTTGCAGAGTGAGCTTTCTACTTTTGATAATGCCCTGGCATCTCACCAGAACATTATCAAAGGCAGAAAGCATGATCATAATGTTCAGACGTCTCGCCAGAGCATTATTATTAGCCAAAGCACGACGAAAGGCCACAACCACATGCTGGAAGCTGGGCGCTTGAAAGAGACGCCCAGCCTTTCTCGCTTAGTCACTGACTATAGTTTCAACGTAAAAGTGCTAGAACAACAGAATACTAGAAGCATGCTCAAGAATACACAGAATGCCCCTGGTGTTGCTGTGCCTTCCTTAGATCACTCCATATTTTATTGCGGCGCTAAGAAAGTAAAGGACAAGAGAGAACTCGACTCACAGACATCCGCTTCCGCACATTGTTGAAATCCAGGATGCCAAAAAGCTCGTAGAATTCCTCCTGGCCCCAAACCTCGATGGTGATGCTTTTTGGTGTTCGATTCTAAAATTAAAAAGAAAGAAAAAAAGAATGGAGTCAAGTTAGGTTCGTCATTTATACAGATGCCCAGTATTTACTTGCAATTGAACACACTTTTTTTTCCCAAAAAATTTAATTTCCACACTTCGTGCAAATGTCATATTAGGTGCCAATATGACACGGCAAGGTACTGTGGCATGTCTCCACTGATGGAGGCGCACTCATGGCTGGTTGGGGGCGTGCCACAGGAACCATGCTTTACAAATTGCGAACCTTTTTAGGGCGCTTTCGGCGTGCCTTTTGCCACAGGAAAAGCACCCTACGAAGCTCACTTAGCACAGAGAGGAACGCGACCGTTCTTAGGCCTAACCACTTTCACAATTTCACTGTCTGAAAGCAAACCACAGACGATGATGTGTTTGTCAACATCAATGCATCCGATAGGCGAAGAACGCCGGGGCTGGGCAATTCTTCGACCCAAGCTTTGCCAAGTGTGTGCGCCGCTCAATTTCACGGTTGATCACTTCCGCAACTATGCACTTTCAGCCAGTACGAGAGCGGCTTGGCTTGGCTTGACTTGGCCTGACCGCTTGGTAGCAAAGGAAAATTGGCTTGGTGGCTAGCTAAGCCGAAAATTGAAGTTGCGTTCATTACGCGAGAAAAAAAAAAAAAAAAGTCAAAATAATGGTGCCCGTTGTGGGGGTTGCGTTTATTATGCGAGTAGATACAATACCTAATCGAGAGGATTGATAAATACTTTTGCTATATGCAAATATTGTTTCTTCAGTCTCGAATGATTAACTCAGGTTGTCAGGACATCCTTGCCTAACACACACTCATACACAATAAACAGTTTAATATTGAAAAATTTCTGCAATGTAGCTATCACCATTCACAAAGTTTCCGTTCCTTTTTTAGGGGGGACTCTACCCAGAAAAACAAAATTTCTGCCAAAAAGTGGATTTTGAAAAATGCCACATTTACATCCACCAACATCTAGAGTGTATCCTCAGAAAGTTTCATTTGTTTACATTGCATAGTTATTTTGTCATAAATTATTTTCAGTCCAGCGATGCTAAAGAAAAGATAGAGGTTTGAGCGGTTTGAACGTGTTTTTCTTTGTTTAACTTTTTGGCATAAATTTCACTTTAATAAAACTATTGTTTCAGTATAGGTGACATTCACTTGACGTCACTCGCTAGGTTCGCTGCCATCGCCCACCACGGTCGCCATCTTCGAGGTCTCTTGCTATCGCGAATGCCATCTGGCCGGACCATTTGAGCGTGGTTTAGCAGTATTTTACAACTTTAAAGGGTCTTTTTGATCGAAACTAGGGGCTTTTCTTATACTTTGGTGCTTTTGAATCGCCGTGGGAGTATTTTTTGTGTGTTTTAGTTCGTTTTTGTCGCTATCGGACTCGTTTACCGCGGCCGCGTTGCTCCCTCGGCTCCATGAAGCGCTCCGTGTCGCCCGCCGTGCCGACGGCGGTAGCTCTTGCAAGAACTAATTTTTCTACTTTGGTGCTTTTGTAGCACGGTGTGATTACTCTTTGTTTTGTTTTGCTAGTTCCTTTATTGTTTTTCTCTAGCGGATTTTCTGTACTACGGCCGTGTAACCGTGTTGCTCCATCGCCGCTGTGTCGTACATACGTCGTGCCTTCGGTGTTCGTTCCTGTGCAGAAACATACCGTGCGGCTCACAGAGTGCGCAGCTTATGAAAAATGCGGCGCAATTTTCATTAGCCCAAGCGATTTAAAAACCGGCTGTAAGCGATTTGGCGAGCGGGAAGACAAGCGACGGCGACCCGCTTCGCTGCCGCTCGGTCACTCGCGCGACGAGGCAAACCGCATGAAAGCGACGGGAGCACACGACCAAGGCGATGAGCGCTAAGTTTTCTAGAAATCCCCAAAACCGAGCTACGCGACGAGTGACAGTGAAGGGTGAACCGCATGTAAGCGATTTAGCGAGCGATGGCGACAGCGACGGGAGTCGGCGACGAGCGACGGCAGTCGGCGACGAGCTACGGAGATTTCTCGCGATCGGTCGTCGCGTCGCTCGGTTTTTGGATTTCTAGAAAGGGTCGCTTATCGCCTTGGTCGCATGCTCCCGTCGCTTTCATGCGGTTTGCCACGTCGCGCAAGTGACCGAGCGACAGCGAAGCGGGTCGTCGTCGCTTGTCTCGTCGCTGTCGCTCGTCTCGTCCCGTCGCTCGCCAAATTGCCTACATGCGGTTCAGCCTTTACACACGGTACTCGGCGGCAACAAGGAAAAAGGCCCGCCCCCAAGACCAACCTTTCTTCTCTCTTCTGTTCAACGAAGCTTCAACGATATGAAATTAGCACACACTAGCACCGGACGACCGCGTAGCGTACCCAAGCCAGTCAAACCGAGACCTCGAAGATGGCGGATCGACGGTGGCGCTCCCTGGCAAAGTCGAACCTGCAGGCTCGGTGAATACCACCTTATTTGTATCTTATATGCCAAAGTTTTATGGAGATGGTTACTATGAACTTAGATTTTGCATTTTTATGCTCCTTTATTATGAAACATTGAAATTTCAAAAAAACTCGGTAAATGTAAAAAATGTTCATATTTTTTTTTATTTGAAAAATCCATATTTTCTGACATTTCTTTTCATGGTAACTGGCAACAGGTATTCCAGTATGCATTCCACCAGAAAAATATGTAGTCATCAACACCATTTCTCAATGATAGATTAATTGAGCAGATTCCATGCAAACCTATGCTTTAATTCGTTCTGGGGGTATACTACCTCATAAAATTGGTTCACTGGGATGAAACTTTGCATGCCCTCCTTCTATACGACCACAGACACCACCTGCAAATATCACGCCGATTGAGTGAGCGGTTCAAAAGTTGACATTCCCAGGTAGTGTCCCCCCTTAAATACACCAGGCATATGCAAGCACCATCCTGCTCTGGAAATGTGCTTTCCTCCTAAGCAGGCATCTGCAAAATTCATACTTTTCAAAGTGTTGATCGCAGCATTTTAGCTTTGTTGAGCGCGCTCCTTACCGAGCACCGGTGCACTGCAGTGAAGCAACGTTTGCAGAAGCAAGCTCCGCAGGTGTTGCTTCTCTGCAGCGCACTGGTGCTCGGTAAGAAGCGTGCTCGACGAGGCAAACCTGCTGTGGTCAACATTTAAAAAAATACGAACATCGCAGTTCATCTTGAAGCGAATATCGAATAGCATGTTATTCGAAAATTAGAATATTCTCACAGCCCTACCATCCAAACTCCTGGTGACAGGGTCAAAATCCTGTTGCTGTGGGGCTCACCTTGAAGACAAATCCGAAGTTTCGGGCAGCCGAGGTGAGAGCGGATTCGTCTGGAGACTGTGCCTGGTACTCCAGGCGCCCTGTGGAAAAGACCATGCTTCCACATCGACCAGACACAAACCGATACCTCGACTCGGTACTCACATATACGTAAAACGGTTGACAGGCTGTGGCAACACCGAAAATGCCACGTGGCCGAGCTTGCAGGCAAATATTCTTTCGTGGGCATACAATAGCCCCACTATCATATTTTCTAAACTATAGACTGTGGACTTTACATGTATAAAAGTTGATAATTCTACATGCTGCTTTTTTCAAGATCATTCATTATGTTGAGACGTCGTGAATTTTGTTAACAAAAGGTTATATTAATGATGACTTCTGTATAATACAAGCTTCTTCGTGTGCCAATAAAGCAAGCATTTCTCAAAGTGTGCTGTGCACGAGAATGTTGAGTGCAAACTGTGCAGAAAGTGCCATCTGTGCACCCGGGTTGGACTATGCATCAGGTGCAGGCTATCTAAGAAAAAGATTTTTTTTTTTTTCAGTCGAATTGTGTTTATGCAGACAATACACTGGGTGTGGACAATAGTCTGGAGAATACAGTAAACCATTTTTCACTATTAGAGTAATACAATCTAGAACAGTATTTGACAATAACTGTCAATGGGCTTACGACAGTCGAGAATACCCATGCAATTAGGGTGCAGGACCTATTGTGAGGCAGAGCAGCAACTATTCAGAAATTTGACTTGAATGACTACTGAATTATGCACAGCAATGCAGAGAATCGAGCCATGTACCGCAACACAGGGAGTGCACTGCACGTGCGTTGGTGACGACGATGACAAACGGCGCATGCAGAAAAAACTAGCCAGAGGCTCACCGTCCTTCTCTTCGGACATAACAGTGTGGCAGAGTGCAAGTAGCCGGAAGTATTCTTCAGCATCCTTGTTGCCAGCGCGGACTTCTTTTAACAAGCTTGGGTCGTAGAAACGAAATCCCGGTTCGTGCTCGGGGTTTTCTCCGAAATCCACAGGGGCCATATCCTGCATGGGGGAAAAAAATACCCAACATGATTCTCATTCTTTGTTCATGCTGCTGTGAATTACACTGGCTTGCGTGAAAGAATGTGCCCTTTCCACTCTTTTACTCCTTTCCTGTTCAAGTCAAATGAAAGTAGGTCAGTTTAGTCCTCTAAGCCCCGGGACAACAATTAACTTGCTTAGTTCAGAATCAGTTTATTCTGTCTATATGTACAGACGATGGGGGCATGGGCAAAAAGCCAACACATGTTGGCTTGACTGGGCCCCACCCCGTTTTCTTGGCAGAGAAAGATAAGCAAATTGTCACAAAATGTAAACAAAATCTATGATCATGCAGCAGGAAGATGAGTGAGAAAAGCATGTAGACACTTGTAACTGGGAAATAAACCACTGATATCATAAGGCACTAGACAAAAATAAGTGAGCTAGAGAAACATATTTTTGATGGCACGAGGTGTTGGTGTTTCTATGTTGAAGTTGTTGCTCCTTAGATTATTCAATAATGATGGGGGGTGGTGTCTCAACACCTGCATTCCATAGTTTCTTCTCCTGTATGGTACCCTTCCAGACATCCTCATTACGAGTGGGATAAAAATTTATGTACTTCGTTCTAAACCAGCGACCTCTTGAAATAAAGGATTGTTCAGTTCACTGCTCAATATGTAACTTAAAATTACTGTGTAGTCATACAGGTTGGTAACTGGAATGATATGTAGAGTTTTAAAAAGGGGCTGTGTATGAGAATCATATGGGACATTGACGATACTCCATATGGCCTTTTTCTGAAGGACATGAAGAATATTTATGTTGGTTAATGTTGTGGCTCCCCGAACCAGATGACAATAATTTAGATGTGAAGAAAATAGAGAGTTGTATAAAAGAAGCTTAATTTTTACTGGGACGTCGAAGCAAAACTTGTTAAGAATGCCAACAGTTTTAGAAATCTTGCGAATGATACTTAAAATGTGAAAATTCCATGACAAATTTTCCTGAAAAATTATGCCTAGGGTTTTAGTACTAGGTACTATCTCAATGATGGAGGGTCCAATAACAAGGTTGTAGTCGAAAACCATAGACTTATTCCTCGATTTAAAGAGTACCGCCTTAGTTTTAGAAGTGTTAATATGAAGTGAATTTACAAAGCTCCATTTGTGAAGCGAGTCAAGAGTATGACTTGCAACTTCCACAAGCTTTTTCTTATCTTGTGCAGAAAAAAATAAACTAGTGTCACCGGCATATATAACAAAAGTTGCTTCCGTACTAATTTTAACAAGATAATTTATATATACATTAAAGAGTAGAGGACCCAGTACACTTCCCTGAAGGACACTAGCAGTTAACGATTGTAAACCTGAACGCTGATTGTTGACTTTAAAAAGTACCCGAAGAAATTGCAACATTGTAAATGTGCGATACTGCAGATGCTAACAAGTCCAGAACATATTTGACAGGCCTAATTTGAATATCGTCAATGTCACTCGATTTACTATTTTGGATCGCATTGAATGTATTGAAAACTTCGTATTCGTCAGAAGGGTGAGAAAAGGCACTGCTTTCATTGCGAGTTTCTAGGTACCTTGACGACAAAGACTGCTATGAACAATTTTAGCAAAATAGTTGTTAAACGAGTTTGCGAGTTCTTGTCTGCGCAATACTCTATCGCCAGTTTTAATTTCTTCAATGCTATTGTTCAGAAGAGATTGATTTAGGAGTTGAGTTACTATTTTATTAGTCGGGTATAAAGCAAGTCTAAAGCAACTACAGCACACACATACGGCACCACATGGTGCAAAAACTTAAAAAGTCTCTTAGAGATGAACACTCTATGGCAGATACAGCAGGTCGGAGCATGCGTGGTACGATATGCGGGCCGCAGCGTTAACTTGACAGCTTGCTCCTGTCTTCCTCCCGTGCGTAAGAAAAAAAAAACGAATAACATGCTTTTCTTTTTTTGCTTTTTTCCTCAGGAAAACCTACACTCACGAAATTTAAGTAGGATAAATGCGCCACCTAAAGACATCTTCGTGAAAACCCTCACTGCACTCAATCTATTGGCTTATTTATACAATTTTCTTTTTTAAGCTTGAGTAGCGCTCGAGAACATTCTGGCAATCCTTAAAGGCCCCCATGGGAAGCGCCCTGTTTGGAAAGGTACACGCCGCTCACCTCCGAGACCAGGATGGGCTCCCCCGTGGCGGGGTCCAGCACGTCCCCGTAGAGTATCCCGTTGATGGAGGCCTTGTTGAAGGCCATGATGTTCTGGGTCAGAGTGCCCGTCTTGTCCGAGAACACATACTCGATCTGACCCAGCTCCTCGTTGAGGGTCGTGGTGCGCGCCCTGGCAGGGGTGTCCTTGGGCTCGTAGTACATCCGCTCATCCCAGTTGATCCACAGGCTGTGGCAGAAGCGGATCACCTCCACACTGCAACCCAGACGGGGTAAGAAGTTGAGCTCCGAGCACCGGATGGCCTCTACGATGAAGCTGAAGGAGATGAGGGGTGGTTTGGGATCACCTCCACACTGGAACCTAACAGGATAAGGGAAGGGTTCACCTGAAGTAGGAATCAGACTGTGAGATAATAGGATACCTCCTTTCGTATGTGCTCAGCAAGCGGGATGTAGACTGCATTAACCAGTTTTCTGACATTGTACAATTTATTTTATTGAAAAGGCTGCAATTAGCATAAAATACCGTACAAGCGCCCTTTCCCAAGAGATCGCCCACCTCATTTTCCTGGCAATGTCTACAATATAAAAATTCTGAAACATCTCCTTTGTCATACATCACTGCAATGTGCAACGAAAATCACATCAACTGCATAATTTGCGGAACCAGTATGTGTGACGGGCGAGTTCGTTGTGGGTTGCCGCATGTTTATCGCACTGTGACTCGCAAATCTGCTGCGTCCGTTCCCGTGACGTGCGAGTTCGTAGCGCAATCCTGTGTTTTTCGTGCGCGATGTGTGCGCGCGATACTGGTGCCCGCAGCGCGCAAGTCTGTAGGGGTTTCCCACGTGTTTATTGCACCATAAAACATGAATCTGCTGCGTCTGTGATCAACGGTATCCCTTCTCGAGATGTGCAAGTTCGTAGTGCGATCCTGCGTTTTTTGTGCGCGATGTGCACGTGCGATACTGGTGCCCGCAGTGCACAAGTCTGTAGGGGTTTCCCACGTGTTAATTGCACCATAAAACATCAATCTGCCGCCTCTGTGATCAGTGGTCTCCCTTCTCGAGATGTGCGAGCTCATAGCAAGTTACCGCGCTGTGCTGCTGCGAAAGGAGTGAGAGAAGGCAAGAGCAGGCAGAGAAGGACCCAATCGCATCCCTCTCCTCCTCTCGTGGCCACGCCAACTTTCCCAAGCTTACCTCGCGAGCGCGTGAGGACACGGCTAGTGGGTTGGCGCAGAACGGTGCAAGATAAACAAAATATGCGAGTTTTTAAAGTTTTTTTTAAAGAGTTTGCGCCTTTTAAGTTAGGGATGTGCAAGTTACGAAAGGGTGCGAATTATGTGATTAAATACAGTATGCAATATATGTGGTAGAAAAATAAAACTGTCCGTGTACACCTGCGAGAATCAGTAGCAAAGAAGAGGATGCTATTTTCTCAAGAGAGCTTCAGTCGAGCCAATTTTTATTAGTGTGAAGAAATAAGTGCTTTAGTCCATTTGGCACCAAAAGGAAGAGAGCGTGTGACACCGAAAGGGGGCGACCCTATTTAATTGATGTTCCTGCCAAATTACTCTGCTGTTGGCTTTCCATTATCACTCCGCAGCCAATCAGATTGTGGCGTTACTCATTATGAATGCTGAAGAACAAAACAGGCAGCAAGAAGCACGAGCGTAATAAATCTGATTGCCTGCGGAGTGGTAACGGAAGGCCTGTGACAAAACAGTGGCGCCACGGTGCAGCTCCCAGTAGAGTCATTTGGCGGGAACATCAGTTAAATCAGATCGCCCCCTTTAGGTGTCGCACGCAGGAGGAAACAAAAGTCAAAGTGATAGGAGTTTCAGAGGACTGAAATTTGGTAAGAACAATACCGCATTATCAAACAGTGATCTTTGCTTTACTTATAGCTACGCTACCGTCATATCATGCAATGTTCCTTTCAACTGCGGTTACGGCAATGCGACCGTCGTTCCTGACCTGACGTAGAGGGAGATGGGCACCACGGTGTTGAGGACGATGGCGTAGGAGAAGAATACGAGGACAGCGATGGCTGTGGCACCGCCCACGGTGTTTTCGGTGCGGATCACCTTGTCCCAGGGTAGGTAGATGCGGAAGAACTGGCCCGTCACCGTTTCCCACACCCCGCAGGCGATGGTGCAGAACAGGCAGATGCTGAACAGGAAGAACACGATCTGCAGGAATGCGGAAGATGAAATTCACAAGAGTCTGCAAAAACAGGATCTGGAAGCACACAAATTTCAAGAATTCAGGGACGCAATCTGCAAGAAATCAGGAATACATACTGCAACTTCTTGAGGTTACAGCGCACAAGACAAGGACAAAACGAGAGACACACTTCTGTTTGTTTCTTTGTGTGTCTTTCATTTTGTCCTTGTCTTGTGCACAGTAACCTCAAGATGAATCATCAACCCGCCCAAGCTTCCGTATTAACAATCTGCAGGGATTCAAGAACACATTCTGCAAGGACACATACTGCAGGAATTCAGGTACACAATCTGCAAGAATTTCAAGAATTAAAGTACAAATCTGCAAAAATTCAAGATGGAAATATGCAAGAACACAATCTGCAAGAATTCAAGAACATGGTCTGCAACAATACGGAAGATGCACAGAAGCCATTCCAATTCTCGAATAGGTACTCGAAAGACACGAATTCTGGAAACTCGAATACAGGAAAGTAACTAACCTAACATAAGCGATTTGCACTTTTGCTCATGCTCATGTACGACATAAAGCAACAAAAGTGCTTCACATGACATCACAGTGTCAATTAAGTGACATCATACGATGTCGCAATTTGCCACTAAAATTAGCGGAAAATGCCTTGTGCAACATCACAGCGTCACGTGACACTGCGATTCTCGGCTAAACTTTGCGGGCCACATCGTACACGCACTGGAATGCACTGTGAGAGCTCACTAAAGAGAAAATTGCGGCTCACCCCGAGAATGAGGACGTTGAGTAGCCGGTCGAGGGAGGTGCGCTTGAAGATGGTCTTGCCGCTGTTCTGCATGAGCTTAGTGTCCCGGCCGGCAAACACCACCACGCCGTAGCACCAGTGGGTGTTGCGCAGGACGCAGCCACGCAGGAGCAGCTTGTCCTTGTCCAGGGAGTAGCTTTGGCCCCGCCAGAAGAGGGTGCCCTCGTAGCGGCTCAGGTTGTTGTTCGGTGCCTCACAGATGATCTCCCCTGGCGAGCAGTAAGACAAGTTACGATCACGCTGCCGCAGACTTACGGTGATCTCGAAACAATTTTGCAATCGTTCGACCACAAGGTGACCTTGTTTTCATAGTAAGTAGCTTCTCCGGTCAGCCAACTATATTGTTACGACCCTGTAATCCTACTTTTACAGGGTGCCTCACAGATAGTCTTCCTTGGTGAATCACGAAACTGTTGCTACCGAGCCACCGTAGCTTCATGGCTATCTCACCACATTTTCATGGTCATTCGGTTAGATTGTGACCATGTTTTTGAAGTAAGTTCTTTGGTCAGGTGGCTACATTGCTACAATTATGTAATTACATATTTACAGGATGCCTCACTTGTGAGTTGCAGAACATGTTACGATCGTGCCACCGCAGCTTTATTGTGATCTCACCACATTGTCGTAATCATTTGACCATGGAGATCATGTTTTCGTAACTCCTTTAGTCAGTCAACTACATTTTTACAATCATACAAACACATATTTAGTTTGACTCACAGACACATCCTTTTTGGTGAGTCACAAAACATGTTATGATCACACTCGTGTAGCTTTATTGCAATCTCACCGTATTATCCGTAAGTGTTCAAGCATCTGGTGAACGCATATTTCATAGTATCATTATGCTGTCATACTTCTTCTACCAAACGACTGTTTTTACAATCATGTAACTGTATCGCCAGGTTTACGAGTTCTTTTTTTAGTAAAATTCAATTTCACCCAATGGAAACAACCTGAATTCATTGTGTGAAAACTCAATAAATTTGGGTTTAATTTTATTTCTGACACATCCGTGTCGGAGATAAAATTATTATTATTATAATGATAGTCGAATACAGATTAAGCTTATGTGCACGAATGACCCACTACAATGAAGGAAACTACTAGATAGTACTCAAAAAGCACTTCTAAAATGCTTTAATTACATAAAAAAAATAAAGTGTGACACGACTCTTAAATTTATGGTATGAAAGAATGTTGCCTAGGCGACTTTTCAGGTCTTCAGACCTGACAAGTAATCATTTTCGATTTTTAATAATTGATAATTGATATAAGTTGAAATAAAACTGACTTTCCCCAGTTTTCTCAACAGAGATAAGCACCAGAATAAAAACTAGACGTTTAAACAAAAACAAGCTCACCGTCAAACCTTCCTAGAAGTTCGTTGTTATTACTCATCTCAGCCGTGTCAGGTGTTGCTTGCCTGCACTTGAGGTTTGTTTCCCTGCGAGGACACGAATTGGAGTATGAGGACATTTGATCGCTTTAGCTGATGTTCAGACAAAACTCAGAGCCTGGCATCTCAACAGAACCTTGTGGGCCCAAAGATACCAGTTCAAAGGCCTAAAATAGGCATCTTAAGTTCTGCATAAGCAACATTTGAAATGCCTACTGCACTCCTCTACTTGTACAGGATGTGCACACACTTGGTACCCATGTGAAGTCATGATAAACATCTGAGATCCAGTCGCCTTGAACTGTTGGAATTAAATGCTGCCTAATTAGCGTACATGGCCCACCCACCAGAAGCTATTCGTGGAAAACATTCCCGAACAGCAGCAAGCCACAAAGTGTGGGAGCTAGACTGAAATCTTCAGAAAGAAGGCTGCTACTTTTTAAAAATGTTTTTACAGTATACATATGCAGTACCAGTGCCGTCACCAGGGTCAGCAGCATCTGCAAAGGGGGGCCACTGCAACAACACAACACCCCCCCCCCCCGGCCCGTTGCCCCCTTCTTCTCCACTGGTTGCCTGCTGCTATCCCCCCCTACTGCCCAACTACACCCAAGGCAGTCCACACCCGCCCCCCCCCCCCCCTTATGACACCACTGTGCAGTACACACAGTATAGTAGTACAGTCCAATACAGCCGGTAGATGAGTGCATTCTCACCCATCCAACTCTGCAGTCTCAATGTAGCACAGCCCGTTAGGCTCACTCGTTGACAGCAACAGCAGGTCTGCCTACAAGAAACAGGTGCACCGTTGGAATCAGTACTGCAAACAGATTGGCCTTTCTAGTTTAGCAAGTATTTTAGGTACAAAATAAAACTGCACAAAAGAGAAAAAGACAAGAGAGTAGATGGGACAGGTGTTCCTTGTTTGTGTGCACAATTTTATTTTGTACCTAAATATGGACCAACTAGCCCGGCAGCATTCTTTACATGGTTAACAGGTCTTTTTTTTTTTTCAATGTTGAACACAAGCTTGCAAAGCTTCCAACTTTACCGACGAGAGATGGCAGAGGACCAATGGCAAAACCTTGATCGCTCCAGAAAATCAGGCACACACAATCAGTTTGCTACCAGATGCTGGTCTCTCCAATTAAACATTAAAAAAATTGACCATCATGGGTCTCATACATACCGTATTTACTCGCACAATGAACGCACTCGCGCAATGAACGCATCCTCCAAGTCGGCTCTTAAAATTTCAATTATTTTTTCTCTCGCGTAATAAACGCACCCCCAACTCTGACATCAAAATTTTGCCCCCCCTCCCCCGCCCCCCCCCCCCCCCCCCCCTCAACCAATGCGCGCGAAATGAACGCACTTTTCTATCCTGGTGCAGCGAAGTCGCGAATGCATGGGCATCGTGGGCGAACAAAACGCCTTGCGAGAGGCGTTAAAAAAAAAAAAAAAAGATCTAACGGAAGCAAAAAAAAACAAAAACGTAAAGAGGCTTTTTTTTTTTTTTTTTTGCACACAGCGCAGTTTTTGGTCCTGGTGGCGCGCGCCGCGCGCGCAAGGAGATAAGAAAGAGAAGCGGAGAAGCCCTCGCCTAAGCAAAGCGCGCATAATGAAGGCATCCTTGCCCCAGCCTGCCTTCGCCTCCTCCTCGCACTTTGGAAAGAGAAGCGCGAAGCCCCCAAAATGAACGCATAAAAAAACGGCCGCAAGAAAAGAAAACAAGATCCAACGGAAGCAAGAAACAAAATAACAACATACAAAGCACTTTTTTTTTTTTTTTTTGCTGCACACAGTGCAGTTTAGTCCCGATGTCGCACGCCGCGCGCAGGGACGCAAGGAGATAAGAGGGAGTTTTCGTAGATCGTTTTCGCCGTCCCGCAAGGCCCTCCGCAACCCGCTACGATAGCGGGAACTCCACAGTCAAGGCTATCGGCGCGCAGGCGCAGCAGCGACTTCTTCGTTGCGGAACGCTTAGCGGAGGGGGCAGCGCGGTCTACGAAAACTCCCTCTTAGGGAGTTTTCGTAGAGAAGCGGAGAAGCCAGCGCATGGGCAGCGTGGGCAAACAGAACGGCTTGCAAAAAACGGCAAACACGAAAAAATTTTTTTTTTTTTTTTTTTTTTTTTGCGCATTGCAGGGTGGTTTTGGGGTCGCGCGCCGCGCGCAACTCGCCCCCTCGCCTAAGCTAGAGTGCCTTCATGTCATGAAGGCACTCTAGCCTAAGCAAAGCAAAGCGTACTATGGATGCACCCTCGAGACAATCGCAGAGCGCGTGACGGCAGCGGGAAGAAGCGAAAGAAAAAAGTTTCCGCGGAAGTTTCCTATTTCCACCATTTTGCGACGGCGCTGGCGGCATCTTCATCTTCGTGTTGACTGACGACGCAGGGATGGGCCGTTACGCCAGCCACACGTGCGGATTCAAACTTAAAGTTGTGGAGCACGCCACTGAACATGGCAGCCGCGCGGCCGCAAGACATTTTGGCGTTGACGAAGTGCGCGTCCGGTATGGGAAACCGCTGCGTAAAAGGTTGCAAGCCGCAAACAAGACGCGTCGGGCCTTCCGATGACCGAAACAGGGAAAGTTTCCTCGCGTTGAAGAGAAAGTGCTCGACTACGTGACAAACCTTCGGAAGGAGGGTTGTGCTGTGTCACATGAGCTGATACAGAATCACGCACGAGCCGTTGCGAGAAAACATGGCATCTCAGCGCAGGCTTTCAAGGCCAGTAATGGCTGGACGTTATGCGACGGAACGGACTGAGTCTCAGAAGACGTACGACACTGTGCCAACGGCTCCCCGCGAGCTACGAGGAGAAGATCATTGATTTTCAAGACTCCATCCTGTCCCAGATTGGAAATGCCGATCAGACCCCCCTCAACTTCGACTGCCGAGAAGTACGACGGTGGAACAGAAAGGAGCACGCAGCGTCCACATCCGAACAACGGGTGCCGAAAAACAAAGGTGTACCGTTATGCTAGCGGTGACGGCGGATGGCCGTAAGCTCCCGCCGTACGTCATTTTCAAACGAAAGACGATTCCAAAGGGAAAGTTTCCCACTGGCATACTCATTCGTGTCCAAGACAAGGGGTGGATGTCGGCGGACTTGATGGTCGACTGGATCACCACAGTGTGGGGCTTGCGGCCGGGTGCCCTCCTCCTGCCATCGCTGCTCGTGCTCGACAGCTTCCGCGGTTACCTCGTCGACAGCGTTCGCCGCAAGTTAATCCGTACCGATACCGCGGTCATTCCGGGTGGCCTGACTTCAGTCCTGCAGCCGCTTGATGTTTCCCTGAACAAGCCCTTTAAGGACAACGTGAGGAGGCTGTACACCGAGTGGATGGCAGCCGGGAACTACGCGTTGACACCCGGGGGCAAGATAAAAAGGCCATCATCGAAATGCTCTGCTGGATCCTGGAGGCGTGGACGATGATTCCCGCTGACATCATCGTCAAGAGCTTTAAGAAGACGGGGATCTCCAACCGACTTGACGGGACTGAGGACCACCTCCTTTGGGACCACGACGACGACGATGCGGCTAGCGACATCGAAGACGCGGCTAGTGAGATCGCGGAGCTTTCCGACTCGGAGTGAAGGGAAAGTGAAAAGAAACAATAAATTGAAAGCGTGAATTGTGGCCGAGAGCGTAGCTGTCTTTTTATCATAAAGGTGAGTCGCAGCGTTTCGGTTAATGTATTTCCCATTTCAGCATTCCAAAATAATTGCTTGCGATTTTACCCCGTATCCCCCAAAGTTACGTCAGTTTTTCGAAATAATGTCCGTTCATTATGCGAGTAAATACGGACTCAAAAATTGTTACATCGCTTTTTACCTCGCCTCCGGCCACCTTGAGAGAAGGAGGAAGGAGGAAATCCCCTCACCCAGAGACTCTCTTTTGTGTGTCCCACAAGTAGCTCTTGTCTCTCTACAAAATTATAGAAGATTAACCCGTCACTCAAAATTCGTACAAAAGCAGCACCGCAACTATACTCCGTTTCACCTTCCGTCCGAGCGCAACGGACGCTAGGAGCCATCCCAGCCAATGCGGCGTTGAGGGAGTGTCATGCGACCTTGAGCTCCCTATGTCGCTCCACCCCACCGGCAGGTCACGCGCCTTTCTCCCGGCGCTGGATCGGCTGGGATGGCTCGTGGCGCCCACTGCGCTCGGACTAAAGGTGAAACGGAGTATAGCCCCTAGTTGCGGTGGCCCGATAGCTGGCGTGCTTCAGCCGCTTCGGTGGTTGGAACGACTAGGACATCCTCTTGATGTCAGCCTCACCGCAGTTTTGCTTGTCCTGAAACGAACTACGACACGATTGCGGCGGATATGTCACGTGCTCTCCGCTCCGCTCGGAGCGCTTGCCAGAGTGGGCCGTTTATAATGAAAAATACAGCCATCAGGCTCAAAATACAAACGTGCGATTGTCATTTACGGATATTGTGGATCATATTCAGCCTATTTCTGAACATGACGAGTATATTTCAAATTTCCTTGAAGTATCTCCTTAAAGCATAACACAGGAAGAGCATTGAAAGCGAGAAGCGAGTTGCTGCCTGAAGGGACAACTCACTGCGACGAACTGGTCGTTCTCCATGAAGATGACATCGCCGACTTGAACTTTGTGCCAGCGCTCCTCTACAATCTGTCCGCCACGGAGGACCTTTGACAACCGGTTGTTCACTTGGTTGTCACTCTGGTGGCGTTGCTGGAAAACGACGCAAAAAAACAGCTTGCACCCAAACACAGTCAAAGACAAAACAAACCAGAACACAGGAATGCAGCTTCTGGACTGTGTTAGTGCAAGTGGCAATTGGTGCTGGCAGTTAGGACCAGATGCCACAGCTTCAGAGCTCGCCGTTACCTGGTTCAAAGGTTACTATAAGCGATTTTCAGAAATTTGCAATGGGAAAATGGTGGCCAACAAAGCCCATGAATACATGGAGGTTAATGACGTCAGCTACCGGGAAGGGACTCCATTTTCACATTGAAAGTTTGAGAACATCATTTAAGTTTATAATAACTAAATGAAATTTTCACCGTTTATAGTGCTTATCCTTCTTTTTATAAATCTGATGTAAGATGCAATAAAGCTTGTCTTTTATCTTCATGCACATGCAGGAAAAACATGTTTTTGTGCAAACATGAGGCGTGGCAACACACTTAAAAGTGTTTAGTAAAATAAACGAATTAGCTCCTCTGAAGCCACTGAGTGCAATGAACAACAAAAATAATGTGTGTGAGACCTATTTTATTTTAAAATAAATAAAAATCGCAGAAATTCCATTTTCAATGGGCTAACAGAAGTTTCCTAAGGGGGGACACTACTCAGAAAAAAAATTCTGCAAAAAAAAGTTGATTTTTAAAATGCCATATTTACCCACTAACATTTAGAGAGTATTCCCAGAAAGTTATATTAGTTTACACTGCATAACTAGTTAACTTTTTATAAATTATTTCTGGTCCGCCGATGCTAAAGAAAAGGTAGGGGTTGGAGCACTTTGAACACATTTTTCTCCGTTCCATTTTTTTGGTATAAATTTTACTTTAGGAAAACTATCGTTTGTTAACGGGACAAGAGGAAAGATTCACTCATTGTATTTCCTAACTGGAACTTTATGGGCAATGCAACTGTGGAATTGTTTTTAGGGGCGAAGCTCCTTAAGGCCCGTTCACACTCTTGCGACCGAGTACGACTGAGTGAGACGAGATCTCTTAAGGCTCGTTCACACTCTTGCAACCGAGTACGACCGAGAGAGACAAGACCGGTTTTTAATCCTTTTACGACGTCTTAGGACCAGCTCCGCAGCAGCGCGCCTGGTCCTAAGAAGTCTCAAAAGGCTTAAAAACCGGTCTTGTATCTCTCGGTCGTACTCGGTTGCAAGAGTGTGAACGAGCCTTTACAACTTCTTAAATGTTTCTAGAATGAGGGAACACACTGACATTGTGGCGCCATCTACGCGGTGACCCTAGAACTGCATTTCACAAAAGCGAAGGTTTTGCGGGATTTCCGAGGTCAAATGTGCGTACCACCCATAGAAAGGCTCGTTTATCACATTGACAAAAGTTTTTCGAACCAAAAAAGAAAGGATATTGCGCGAGAAATAAAAAAAAAATATGCCGGACCGCCGAGTTTACACTGCTTCCCAATAGATGGCGCCAGTGTGTTCTCTGGTTTAAGAAGTTTTAAGGAACCCAGGTTTAAGAGGTCGCAAGCAGTCGCAAGAGTGTGAACGGGCCTTTAGGGTCTAGCCTTGTCCGGCGTCCGTGCTCACATCGATTGCCATCCCATTTGTCTTCTTAAAAAAAGAAAAAAATGTTTGCGCAGTCGACAGGATTCGAACCTGTGTGGGGAGACCCTAATGGATTTCTAGTCCATCGCCTTATCCACTCGGCCACGACTGCGGGATGAGCAGGGGGCTCTAAGATGTGGTAGTGACTCAAGAGCTGGGGATGTCATGGATGAAACGTTGCATGTAGCCGCTCAACGTCTATATAGGAGAGGGCACTGCAGTCAAACGCTCAAATAAAAAAAAATCAGCACCATTAGCACTACCTATGAACAAAATCAGTTTTTATAAGCACCACCAGAGCTTCGCCCCAATCAACATCATTCACCACGTGGAGATGCGGTCATTTTTTTTACTTTGTGGATGTCTTTTATAAAAGATGTTAAGATTTTGTCGACGACATAAAATAAATTACTTTTGAAAATTTTGTTTTCAGAGTTGCACTCTCCAGGTATTCTGCTGCAGATCTAGAGTAGAAAAATGTAGGGTATTACGTTAGTTTCCTAACTATAGTTTTCCTAAACGAAGTCTGTGTGTTCCTGATAAAAACGACTATAATTTATTTACAATTCATGTACACAGACGAAACTTTGCACTGCACTCTGCCTTGCAAATGCCAGCATATACAATAAATTTCATTCCTATTAAGCTATAGGTTTAAAAGTTCACACTCTTGGGTAGTGTCCCCCCTTACATGTTTTTATGAATAGAAAAAAAAATTCTTGCCAAACCTATATAATTGCTACATATTCTAAAGTATATGCATGCCAAATTTGGTTGTGATAGCACAATATTAAGAACAAAATTTCTTGCTGTGCAGACTGCCAAGATGTTCCAAAATTGCATTAAGAAAACAATGCGTTTGAATGTTACCATAGATTTGTAGCAATACTCCTTTGCAGCGAAGAAAAAGAATATTTTGTAAATTTTTCCATGAGAAATTGAAGCTACAGAAGACTTTGATAGAGAGGAGATGGCTAGGCCTACATGTCAACATAAATGGGATGGCGGGCGACGTAACAAAATGGCTCAAATTATTTAATGCTGTTCTGGGCTGCCGGGAGGTCTTCAAATGCGTATTTGACTAATTTTGCAATCATAATCGGCCCTTCACTAATATTTTTCTAGATAAAATATGAAGGATCAAAGATAATAAAACACCATAAAACCCATAATCACATATTTTGCAACTTTTGAATGAGCTAATGGTTAGTTATGAAACTTTGGCATCTGGTCCAGACCACTAGCACCACATTTGGGCAGTGGTTGAGCGTTCGGCGATGTATAGTTCTTTTGCAGTAATAAAAGCACTATGGTAATTTTTTTTCTCCTAAGACACGTTGTACATTATAGTTTTCTTTATAAACAAAGAAAACGGCCTCTAGAAAAAGACAAACAGCACCTCGCTGCATCATTAGAGCAATTTGCGCACCCTGGTATTAAAACAAGCCGTGCCGCACTCAAATCAAGAGGGTCAAGGGTCTCACAATGTCATCGATGGCGTCTTTCAGGGCAGTCAATAAAAGCACAACAACCAAAGGCACGGCGGTGGTCCACGGGGTCAGGGAGGAAATCTGGGGGATCATCTGCAAGGCAGCAGATAATCCCCAACCGGTGGATTAGCCATATGAGGATCATCGTTCAGGGCTTAACGAAACAAGAGCGACAGAAGCCGTACTGCAGCGATACCCACATGATGAAAGGAACAAAAGAGTAAAGCAGACATATAAAAAAAACACTCACAGACAATAGACATCTGAAAAGTAGAGCATAATTTCAGAATGGTGAATTAGCCACAAGGCAAAGCAGTGGATAATTCTGAACCGGTGGATTAGCCAAAGGGCAAAGCAGTGGATGGTCCCAAGCTGATGAATATTAGTCACATGGCAATGATGATTCAGGGCATAATAGCACAAAAGTGACAAAGTCCACACTGCACCAACACAAATGTAAATAGAGCAAATAAATATAGTACATGAAGGGGTTAAACAGCTCAGTAAAGGAAAGAAAAGACGCAACCACGACAGGACAAGGCTGTACTCGCCACTGAAGTTAAATGAACGAAAAGGGCACGGAAAAAGGAAGAAAAGTAACAAACAGAATCGCAAACCAAGCATCACGTCATCACTGAGATAAGAACCCTGCCCGACTCAATTCATTCTTGACCTAAGGAACACTATCTTTTTTAGACAGCATCACAGAAGGTTCGCGCAACCCTCTCCCAGGCTTCCAAGAAAGCACCCCTCACACAGGGAAAGATTGACAAGGGAAATTACTGACACAATCTTTATTGCACGAGGTGTGCGTCAGCACTGAACCTTCTGCGACGCCATCTGAAAAGGAAGTTGCATTCTTGAGGTCAAGGATGAATTGCGTCGTGAAAGGTTCTTATCTCAGTGGTGACGTGGTGCTTGGTTGGCGAGACTGTTTATGCGTGTTCTTGATCTGATTAAGATGGCTTACTTCCTTCGTGCCCTTCTCATGTTAAACTTCAGTTACGAGCACAGCATTGTCCTGTCGTGGTTGTGTGGTTTCTTTTTTTGCGTTTTCCGAGCTTTTCATATCCCTCAAGTACAATGTTTACCAACTGGCCCAATTTTTGCGCTGCTAAAGAAATAAAGCAATAATAATACAGAAACACAGAGACAAAGGATGGCAGAAAAAGTGGGAAACAATGATACATGTGGTATGTGTTCCCTTTTTTGTGTCGTCGCTTGTCTCCGGTTTTGATAGTGTTTGATGTCAACCAGCTTGTTTCTTCGTCGAGAAAAGTAGGTTGGATATGAGGTTCCAACATGCTTTGAATTCTGTTGTCTGTTTACAATTGCCACCTGTTTGTATTTAGCGATTATACAAGTAGGTAAATAAAACAGACATCAGAGTTTACCAAAACCTGGTAATACTGGAGTCTATGCAAGAATAAAAATAGCAAAATGGCACCTTGTACGGAAGGCTCTAATGCTATGAGAGTATTAGAGCCTTCAACTGAGACGGGGATTTTCAGCGCTCCACCTATAGGTGTACCCACTCTCACAAAAGGACCTCAAATCCCATACTCAAAATAGCTTTAACATTTGTGTTATATTATTAGAGACATGACAGTTTTTACAGAATTTATTTTAATTAAATATCTCTTTCAAACAATGACTGTTTTTTCAGAGCGCTTTTAGTACAGGTTGTCTTTACAAAATCTTTATCCTACAATTAGAATTTCACTCTAGAAGTAAGGACAGCATGAAAGTACTTTCTCGAAATAATAAATTTCTCATTGAAAGAAGAGTCCTGCAGTTCATTTAGAAACTAGAAAGCAGTAATCAACAAGTTCCCAAAATAAACTGTTCACATAAACTCTCCAAAGTGTGCAGCATTAGTTACATTGTAAACTTCACATAGCAAGGAGAAATTTCACCACTTACTTGCAAGACGAGGAGACATAGGAAATAGAAGTTTGCGAGCCGCTGGAACTGCTCAAACAAGTTGCGTGGCAGAAACGTCAGGAGGGAGTACTTGGATGTCTTGATGTAGTTGTTCTGCCGAGAAAACAAGACAAAATTCCTTATCAATCTTGAGGAAAACCTTGAGGATAAAGAACCGAAAAAAAAAAAGCACAACAGAGTTATGCATTTTGATTGCCTGTGCCGAACAATAGCATAAAAGCCTCACAAAAAAGTATTGCCCAAGGATAGTTGAATTTGTTACAATCTGAAAAGCTTACAATAAATTTAGTAGATATTATTTCTTAATAACATGTCCTGCATGCCAATATTATCTTGGTGATATTCCTATTCATTAGATGCATGGCTTCCAATTGTTGGTGTTTACCAAAAAATAAGTTTTTAGCATCCGTACAAAACAAATGACCAAAATATTTCTTTTTAAAACTAAATAAACAATGAAATGGCCATCGACTATCTTGATGAGTAAATACTGGGTAATCCATAACCTAATCTGTTAGAGCCATAAAAAAATGACAAACGCTTTAGTGTACTTTTCAGCAAGACAAGTAAAAAACACAACAGAAAATTACAAGAAAAGTAAAAGATGCAGCCAGAGTCGAAGAGGTCAGCCCCAAACTCACAGCGTAATTGAACTGCCCATTGTGTTCAGGGTCGTTGGCGCGGATTCGTCTCTCCGTCTCTGAAAGATGGCACAAATCGCAAACATTGAAACGTTGATAAACAATGTTTCAAGAATTAATGCTCATCGAACGAGCCAAAAACCATGATCCGACAAACACTACAACAGTATAAACCTCCAGTGCCTTTCTTCAATTAACGCTTTTGATCTCACACTGCAATGCACAGAGACGTGCTGCACTTCAATAAAAAAAATTCAAACCACTTGAATAATAACAATATTAAGAATAATCTTTATTTAAAGTGCCCCAAAAAACTACAAAGGTCTTTTAATCGGTACAGCTTCCCAAGAACACTATGAAACCGCCCCCCCCCCCCCCCCCCCCTTTCCCTCAGGAAAAAAAAAAACAACCTACATAGATCATTGCACTTAAGAAGGCACCGACACATTAAAATCATTTTTTCTAATTGTTTGAAAGGACTGAAAACGATGCCTGGACATTACCCTCAAAACTTGAAACTTGGGAATTTAGTGTTTGTGAAGTAAGAAAACAATTTCCAAATGCCGAATTTGAAGTTCCTGCGCGATACGCGCCAGTGGAGTGACGTCAACATCTGAGGGCTTCCGAGAGTCGAGTTTCTTTCGCGCCTCTGCTCCGAAAGCGAGGAGGAAGCGAGAGCGGGAGAAGGGCGCCGGCGTCGCGGGAACCACCGTACCGGGAAACCGGTTTCCTGCGTGAGTGCCGTGCTGCGCCTATCGCTTCGAGCAGACGACGGTGCCCCGGCGGTGTCACAACCGAAACTACGATACACAGACACCAAACCCAATTGTTTTGACCGTTTGACGATTTCCTTTTCGAAGTTTGAGAGGCCGTCGGGGTCTAAAAAAGACCACTTTGTCCGATTCCCCAATTCACCGATCACCCTCTGCTACATGCGCCGAGCGCCGCCATGTTTTCCGAGGGAGGATAAAAATCCAGAAGGCGACATCACAACGGACTCCGATTTTTGGTATTTCAAAAAGAAGGGCCGCAGTGCGTTCGCAATTGCGTTAAAAAACATGTTTTACGATTGCCGTTATTAAATGTTATAGAAATGTCGCCTACAAAGCTTCTAAATTTCATGATTCTTGACGTCACGAATTAAAAGAAGCGGTGAACAGGTGGCCTCAACAGGCGGCGGAACACAGAGGCTGATACACAGATGTCGTGATCTGGAGTTGGGATGCTGTTACACAGCAATGGTATTCGATAAAGAAGGAAAACGTTACACTGTAAAATGATTTAAAATAAAGAAAAGCATTTCTTGCACTTTTCCCTACAATTCTTGCATTTTCTCTATATAGTTTGCAGACAACGCACAGCTTTTCCTCTTTTCCTAATTAGAAAGAAACATGATTAAGCAAAGCCAATCTCTCAATCTCGCCTTCACATGAAGTATTCATGAATCGGGCAGACACAAGCCCCACCCAAGCACGACCGTGTTTGATAAGATAATCAATCAAACAAAACGTGAAGAGAAACAAAACACCTGAGACGACAAACAACCAAAGAGCGTCTTTCAGCAGAGATGAAACACCGGAAACATTGTGTCACAACAAGCAACCCTAGGGACTATGCCATATGCTCCTGAACTATTCATGTGTCCCCAACTGCATACCAGCTCAAGAAACAAACAAAAAACAAACAAACAGGAACACTTGAAAGATGAATGCAGTATGTACACAATTTTCTGGTGTCAATCCTCATGCAGTATTTTTTCCCCAGACATTTCAATTTAATTCTGCTTTTCGTGTTTTTGTCACTTTTTTATTTTAGGGATAGTATGTCCGTAGATTAAAAAAAGAAGGATGTGAGACAGAGGGAAGAGGCGGAGAAAAAATATTTTTCCCCACGGTCCTTACGACCTTAGTGACTTCTTTCATCAGCTTGCATTATTAAGGAATGCTACTTCTCCATCCTTCCACATTGACTTTGCTTTCCCCCGTTTCTTTCGTATAGATTAGTGTCCCCATTCCCTTTTCTTATTGTCTTTAGGGATTACATGCCGCCAAGCTTTTTGAAAATTTAAACAGAAAAATGGGAAAGGGAAAAAAAGCCGAGTGGAAATTGTCTTCCTTCCCCAACATCTCAATATTCTTACTCAATATCTTTTTCATCTTATGTTTCTGGGAAAAATAATGTCCCCATTTTTTTCCTTCCATACAATTACTTTCCCCTTACCTCCCTTTCTTTTTGAGGGGGAGGGGGAAGGGTAACAAGGTCCTTTGATTGAAACCGAAAAGGCAAAACGCAAATAATAATGTCCAGAAGAGGGGGGGGGGGGGGGGGGGGGGGGGAGTCGGGGGGCATCTCAGCTTTTACCTGATGCCTTCCCCCATTTCACATAATAGGGGAAGTCCCTTTTTCTTCTCCACTACCTCTTTCTTTGTCTTTTTCTTCCTCTCTGCCACGTTCATTCATTCCCCCCATTTCCCTAGCTCCAACTCCTTCCAGGAAAAACATGGACCTCGATTAAAACACGGAACACCACAGAAACAAAACAAAATTAGGAAAACGGGAAAAGCATCCCCCCTCCCCCTCCTGTTCTCACCCCAACCCAAACTGATGAGACAAAGCCTTCCCTGAATGCCTTCATCTTTACTCAATCAATGCCTCCGCCCATTTCTCTCCTTTTCCACCCACGGGGAGAACGTTGTATCCCTTTTTTTCCTTCCTGTCTATTTCCCCCTCCCCTGCCTTCTCCATTTTCCTTTTTCTCAACTAGGAAGTGCCTTTTCCCTCCCGATTTCCCTTTTTCCCCCCAGGCGGAAAGAGTTAAATTCCCTTTTCCCATGACCGGCTGTTTTTCCCCTCTCCTGCCGTCTCAATTTCCCTTTTTCCCCCAGGTGGAAAGAGTTGCATTTTTTTAAATCCCCGTCTCTTTTCTCCCCTTTACTGTCTTTCCCATTTCCCTTTTTTTTCCAAGTAGAAACCGTTCTATTCCGTTTCTTTCTTCTCTGTCCCTTTCCTTCCCTTTCCCTCACCACCTCCGTTCTCGAGGTCGAGAAGACACACCGCGTCGTCGTCTCCGCAGGTGCGCGCTCACCTCCACCTCCTCCTCGGTCCAAGGCCAGCAGCCCCGAGGGCTCAAACTCCGAGAACGGGCTCAAACCCCGTGAGCTTGTCTCCCCTTCCCTCCCCACGCGTACCTACCTCTACGGGCTGCTCACTTATTCACGCGTCGCGGACAGCTCTAGCGCGCTCCGCGTGTCGCGTGCGGTCGGCTATCTGGGTCAAACCCCGGGTTCTGGCCCCCAGCCTCCCCCTCCCCCAGGTGCCGTGCCCTCCAGTCATCAACGCGGGACACGCGGACGCCGTGCTTTGACGACGTGTGCCCAGGCTTGTCGTCTCAATGAACGCAACCTCTCTCTCTCTCGCGCCCTCCCTTCCTCTCCCGTTCGCGCCAGCCGAGGCGCGCGGTCACTGCCGACAGAGATCCCTGGCCGCGCCAAAGCTGAGTGACCCGCGCGGGCAAAGTCACAACCGTTGCGAAACGGGACACCACGGCGTGGTGAATAAAAATTAAGAAATTCGTGTTAAATGTTGCTGCTTAGAATCATGGTTGGAAATCACTGTTGTTTGAAGCTCATCTGAAATCGCGGGAGACGCTGTTCGGCCCCCCAGAAATGTTAAAAGAAGACCGCGACAATGCAAAACATATCGCCCTGAGCTTCCACACACCGTATATAAAACCGAAGGAAGTCGACTGTTCGAATCGCCATTATCGCCTATTGCGCCCCCACTGCACTGACAGAAGTGTAGGAATTATTCAGGAAAGGGGGCGGGAGGGGGGGGGGGGGTGACGGCGATTTTGCCCCCCCCCCCCCCCCCCTCTCTTTGTTTCGACGCCACTGTACACTGAGCACCAAAGTGGCGGTGCCCGCAACACAATCGCGCGGAATGGTGTGCGGGGAAGGACGAGGTTGTCCAAAACCCGCTAACTGGCACTGTTGCTGATTCCCTACCCATGCAAAGGGAGCCTTTCAGAGCCTGCAATCCAGGAAATTTACGTCAGCTGGCACAAATTTAAAAGCGCGGTCATTTGAAACGCGTCGCACGTGGGAAACCGTGGCGATGAGCGCTAGACGCTTGTAACACTTCGATAAAGCCCGATGGCGTTCTTACTATATAACTACTCCCATACTTTTTTTATATACATATATTTTTTTAGAGCGCAGCTTCTGGGCGTCCATTTCCGGGTATATCGGCGTCGCTGTCGCTGTCGCCGTCGGCGTAACCGCTCACGTACGCATTATGGGACGTCACAGACCTATACACCAATTCAATTTCCCGCTAAATTTAGCGAAGAAACTAAACGGGTGTGTAGGTATGTGATGTCTTCTAATGTAACAGTGCGCATTCAGTTTCTCCGCTAAATCTAGCGGCAAAACTGACGTCACACGACCTCAACACCAATTTAGTTTCCCCGCTAGGAAATGAATGGGTGTTGAGGTTATGTGGCGTCAGTTTTCCCGCTAAGTTTCCCGGGGACACCGACTTTGTGCGTAAGTCTCGTGACATAAAGTCATGTGACATCACTTTCTCCGCTGAATTTAGGGGAAGCTGAATTGGTGTTGCGATCACGGGACGTCAATTTTCCGCTAAATCTAGCGGGGAAGTGAATTTATTGATAGGTGACGTGACACGAACTAATGTGACGCCATTTTCCCCGCTATATTTAGCGGGGTAACTGAATTAGTGTTGAGGTCACGTGGCGCCGATTTTCCAGCTATATTTAGCGGGGAAACTGAATTGGTGTTGAGGTCATGTGGCGCCAATTTTCCAGCTAAATTTAGCGGGAAACTCTAACGTCATGTGACATCACAGGCCACAGCTTCACGAGATACGACTTAAGAAAATCCGAAGCAACTAGTGAAAAACGTTTCACGTTGAATGAAAGAAACGTATATATATATTTTTTTTGTCACTTTTACATTTTCTATTACGGTATATCACAAAAGCAACATACCTCAAGAGCTGCGCTCTAACTTCGCATTACAGAGAAGCGTAAACGCCTGTA